AAAGAGCGAATCGTGAATACTCTTCATTCTCTAAGTCACGACGTGGTGGAAAGTGAACTGTCCAAACATTTCGACTTCCGAAGCAGACCACTCGAAAAAAATTAACACAATTCACGTGCCCACTTAACATGTTCATTATGCGGCCAACGAAAGCAAATTGTGAATAAATCATGACCTGGCTTTAACCACACTTGATATACTGTCTTTAATAAGCAGTTAAAAGACCGAAATTCACCGTACTTTCTACACACAGCAAAAAATCATCGGACATGAGCATTTTTGCAGAGGAATCGATGTTGTAATAATGAATGCAGCTCATGAACATAAATTAAGTGTTGTTGCTTCCGTGTTCTTGGCCGCTGAGGAATTAAATAAAACTAATCGAAGGAAAAGACAACTGAAATTATCGTGTTCTATTTCAAACAACAAAAATTTCGATTAAAATTCGCTTGTTAACTAAATTGCTGGTTTAATGAACGTTAATGCAAATTTTTACGATGCCTCTAGCAATTTTTAAAAGAGTGTTGTCTTCGCTTTAACCTACTATTTACACTCGGAATTGGAATTAGTTGTGGCCTTAATACCGCGAAACATTGACATGAATCAAAGAACAACAGTCACCAAAATCGGGCCTGCTCCACTTGATCCATCGAGACAAGATGGACTTGCATTTTTATTACAAATCAAATTTCAGCAAATAAGTTAGTCGATTCCAAATATAAATAACAGTAATCTTATTTCCGTATAATTATTCATAAGCTTTGTAAAGATACAGCCTGTTCTTGACAAGCTATTATCATTTTATCATTAAATCACAAGATGAATAAAATGCGTGCATTTTACACCTCTTTGCCGCTTCTAAAAGAATACAATTGTACACTATTTGCACAATATAATGGAATTTAACTATTTTTTGCTTTGCTTAAAACAAAAAACCAAAACGAATATTGGAATAGGATGCAGGATTCAGGCACAATACCTTGTCCAGAGATTAACGAAATAACAAAGATTTAAAAACAGATTTATTTACAATATAGTAGGCTCTAATTATGCATTTCTTTGGTAGTAAAAACCCAAAAACCTGTTTCTCCTATTGCAGAAGTGTTGACAACAAGTATTTTTTTTATTTTCTTGCATCCCTTGGCCCAGGTCTAAAAAGAAAAGCAAAAAAATGTGGAAAGAAGGTATTAACAACGTGTATTGAAACCCTAGGACCTATGTATTATGATTTAATTTAATTTAGATATTATTATAAAGACGGTTGGCGCTCGATTTTAAAGAATTTTTGCCTCGCTTTACCTAATGCGAATCTCTAGAATTTTTTTATTCGGGGTAAAATAAAAACTTAAGTGTCGATCAAAAAACGTGTAAATCTGGACTAGCTATAAGCAGTCCTTCAATAAAAGTGTGAACAAGCCGGTGGTAGTTTTCTCAAATCATTTCTTCATTTTTCGAGAAATAAAAAAAATTTGCTACTTTTGTTTGTCACAGACAATTTTCCTGTGTCAACTAAAGTCCTTGGAAATCAATGTTGTCCAGCCGGGATTGATCGGTTTTGGTTCCGGTGGTGCCCTGCGACGTCCTTGACTCGTCCCATCGTCCATAATGCCCCAGAATGCGATGGTGCGTGTCTAAAATTTCGAGCGTGACAGACCGCAAGTTACAGAATCCGTCGTTACGGGACCGATTCATGTATTGTCCTGCGTCCTGAGTGCAGTTAGTGCATTTTAATGCTTACCCATGCATGTCAATTTCTTCGCAAATATGCAAAAGCTGCGAAACCACCGATGCTCTTCAACAATAACGGCGAGAATTTCATTATTGTAACCGTCGAAGATAATTAAAACAAAAAAAAGTTGAATTACGGAGTTACTGTTAGACAATGGCCGCAAGAAAATTAGATATCAGTGATTCTGATCTTGAGGAAAAATCGACGTTAATCACGGCGTGCTCTTATTATGGCAGCTGGGCAATAAATCACTAGATTTGTGTGAAAAATTGTAATTATATGCACGCCCGTTTCCTGCTCGAAGGCCGAGGCATTCTTCATAATGTTGCCGTAATTGAAAGATGCATGTATCGAGGGATTCTTTTCGATTATCGGTGCTACGGTTCTAATAGTCGGAAATGATTCAGCAAACAATGGCCTTGTGTATCCTCAGGAAATCGCAAGGAAAAATTCTCGATTATGCAAGTTCGCGCCTACCGTTATCCTAAACAATATCCAACAATCTGATACCAAGATTTATGTTAATCGACTGGAGGACAACAGATTATTATGCAACGATTCTTAACATATCATTAGCCTGTCATTAATTACTCATATTGCATCATGCACTTTTTTCTAAATCCGCGTTCAAACACCTCTTTAAAATAATTCCCACTATTTCAGTCTCGTTTAGCAGACGCCGGCAGCAAAAACAATTGCCTTATTGTCCAATTAAAATTCATTTTTCCGCCGTCAACTTTCAGTTAATAATGTAATTAATCGCGTTATTCAACGTTTTAAAGTCTATTACTCGGCACTTTGTCGCCTTTTCTACATTTCATTGCTAATTGACTTAATATAAACAAATATTTGCAAGTAATTAGATTGATTTGTTATCGCAAAACTTTCACTAAAAATCATCAAGGGGTTCTCCATAGGCCTGACTTAACCCGGTCAAAAAGAAAGCGTTTGCGACGATAAGTGAATTTAATCGATCAATTTAAAGTAATTCTAATTAACCACCTAACGTTGGGTTTAGAGAGGACCCACTTATCAAGTAGAGTGTGCAATTTCGTTATTCCTCCACCGAAAATCATTTCATTTTTACTGCCTTCATTTGAATACTTTTCATTTTTATCGTTCCCACAGTCTTGACATATGAATTGACATTTTTTTTCAAATAATATACAATTAGATGTTCTCACAGGAAATTATAGAAAAAACCTTGAACCTTAATTTCAATGGAGGTAACACAATTTTCTCTCTCTGCGACTTCGGGTCTCACTCTAGGAAAAACTCTTGAAATGTCATGATTGATTTATATACACCCAAACTCTTCCTCTTTTGCCCAAAGTAGAAAGTCTAGTCATCTCCAAAATGATTTATGCACTTGTTGAGATAAAACTGTTATCAAATTGTCAAATTTTCACTTCATTGATAATGAAAAATCTATCTGAGATTCGTTCTGAAGTGTGTTGAACTTATAGCTTCCCCCAATTTACCTTACTTCTACCTATCAACAAAGTCCATTGCAAGCCAGTCTTGCGGCAAGCGTTGCAGTGAAAAGTCTTGCCAGTACACTAGTTCAGTGTTCACTCTTGCACGATGTCAGTGTTCTAATATTTGGGAAAATGGGTGACGAACATGACTCGCTCCCTCTTAGTTCACTCGACTGTTGGGACTATTCCATCGAATTGGAGTGCCTTCAAGGGACACAAGGTTTGGCCATTATGAAACCGCTTTCCAACTTACATAAACTCGAATTTATTTATAATTAAACCGAGCTGTTACGCAAAATTAAGGCTTTTGTCAATTCTCGAGTACTTTTCTCCCGATTATTGCCGGTTATCTTAGGCCTTGGACGATGAACCCTGCACCAATTGCCCACCTCCATTTTAATCAGTCGTTTTGTTGTTCACTTGTTTACTGGTTTTTAACCGACCTTCTATAGTTTCATATTAGCGATTCCGAAAGTCTTACTCGACCAGCACTAATTAATTCATTCCTTAAAAAAAAAAACAAAAACTGTGGATTTTTCCTGACTTTATTGACGTTCGCCAAAATAAACTAAGATAACTGATTTCATCACGGATAAAATCCCAAAAATCGATGAAAATAAATATCCGGGGCCATTCATCGCGGCTCCGGTTTCAGTTCAAGAAGTCGCGTTTTTGTCATCTGATTCATCGACATTCCTCAAGATCAATCGTTTTTCGTCAACCAGAACCGTCTGTTGTTTTTTTCTTTCACGTAAACAATAGGACGCGTGTAACTTAAGAAACCGTCATTAAAATACTTGCGGGTAATTGGAATATGAAATTCAATGTCACGCGGGTAAAACAACCACTTTCGTATTGCTAATCGGGTGGATCTGAAGAAAGTCTAAAGATAAAAAGAGATTGAAGAATGAGATAATGCGGATTTTCTGCAATCTTCGTGAGAACTAGGAGAAGATATTGTTATGTCATTTTTTCTTCTTTTCTTAACAATGGAACCGAGACAGGTCGATGAAGATGTTTACAATATAAGCAAATAGTTGATTTGTTATTTAAAAATCTAGATTATTCTGAACTTTCACCAACTTATTGAAACACTGTAATGAGACGAAGAAAAAGAAAAAACAGGGTTTAATAGAAATTATGATGTTTTCTTGAGTAAATTTACATTCGAGTATTGGTTAAAAAGCAACTGGCATTTCAAACGACCTGGAGCTAGTAGTTACTTAGCTAAAACTAATTTATTTGATTATATTCAAAGTTACAGCTGCGAAATTAATGACCAAACATCTGACAAAAAATGTAATTTGGAAATGACATTCAAGTTTAATGATGATGTTAAAATTTATTAGCTTACAAGGCCAATGATTCGAAGTTTTTGTCTCCAAATCATTTAACAAATTTCAAATATAGCCAAATAAAAGAAATGGACTGTGACATTCTCTCCGATGCCGCGGTAATAACAATAATATAGCAAAAAAAAATAGAATAGAATTGCAGTTTACGCAACATAAACTTGTTTGGTCTCCTTTCAAAACATATGAAGTAATTTTCGTCCCCAAAAATTTCTACTTCAATTAGATGAATTTCTTTGAATGTTTGAATTGCAGCATCGCGTGTACTGCCCTAAAACAATTGATTAGGGTCATTACTCGCCATAGATTTTTCTTCTAAAAGTCTCAAATTTCTCAAGCTTTCTTAAGCCACGACTCTTGAGATCGAATTACTTGTAAAAAACTAGACCATGTATAGAAAAGTGTCCCCTCACTTGCCTTTCATTGATTTTATTTTTCCAGACCTACAACTAGCGGCCGAATTAGGAAAAACACTTCTAGAACGGAATAAGGAATTAGAAACTGCCCTCAAACAACACCAGAATGTTATCGAAGATCAGGCACAAGAAATTGAAGTCAGTACTAATCATCATCCGCTTGTGAAATTCCACTAACGATTGATTTTTTCAGTATCTTACGAAACAGACAGTTGCACTTCGTGAAGTCAGCGATTCCAGACTGAGGATCTATGAGCAATTAGAAGTGAGTATCCAAGATCTGGAACGAGCCAATCATCGCCTAGTCCTTGAAAATTCCGCCGGGAAGAAACACATAAAAACCCTAACAACAAACATCGAGAGTCTCGAATCTCGATGTGAGGAACTCCAAACTACTATCGATGATTTAAGACTGCAAGTGGACGCGTTGAAGAGGAGGGCACAGAAACCCGTAGAAGTCAAAAGTACACCTCCTACCACTATCACACTACGACATGTCGAAAAATACGACGAGGATACGACACCGACGAGTCCCGAACCGAAAACGCACACAATAGAAGTAAGAACGATTAAAATTATTATTATGGTTTTCTAACGAGGTTTTACAGACACAGTGCGTGAAAAACTCAACCCCGATCAAGACTGAACCCCCACAAGTCAATAATGAAGAGAAGGAAAAAGACGACAACATGGAGCAAATCTCGCAGCTTATGGCACAACTTAGGGAGACCAAGACTCAGGCTAGTAGAGACCAGAGGAGGATCACCGAGCTAGAAGAACAGTTGGCAACAATGATCCAGCAAAATCAGGCACTGGAGAACCAAGTCATACAGTTGCACCATCGAGACGACGACATGAAGAGCATGTACGATGAGCTCAGCACTCTTGAAGAAGTCAGGTAATATCTATTCCAAAAACAATGATCAAGCTGCAAAATTAAAATTCGCTTTTATTACAGGAAGGGTCAGATGTGCAGCCGATGCCTTCGTAACATTGACCGGGGCAGCGACGTGCCTGAAGACGACGATTCCAGCATCCTCGACAATCTCATGAACTCTCCCCAACACCACCGTTCTTCCTTCTCTCTGGATGTACAGGTGAGGCCTGAAATAGTTAGGGCTCTCGGCTTTTTCTCTCTGTCGCAATGCTTTTTCTAGTCGGTGTTGGTTGTTATGTTTGAGTGTTTATAATTTTTGAATAAAGCAAATGTTATGAATACTCCACCTTTATTTCTCTCCGTTTTTGAATGGTGCATGTTTTAGTTGCTGTGTTTGTTTCACAGGGCGAAAACGAATTGAAGGATATGCTCCGTAGGGAGATGTCCGTTGTATGGATTTCGCCTACTGCAACCATTTTATCCTTACTTATTGACTTTTGCGTCTATATTAGAGACTTTTATTTGATTCCGTTCCTCTGCAAACCGTTCAAAATTCCCTTTATCCTCATACACTATTGTCTCAAACACAATAAGATACACTGAAGGTACGTACGGTTATATTTTTATCCAATTATTCGTCGTTGAGGTTCATCCGGTGACAGTTTTCTCTTCCAACTTCTCACACTTCCATGATTACATTCGGGTGTTTACAAATCCATACATTGTAGTACTTCTTCCCTAATTTCATTATAGTCTTCAGTTTATTCTTCCCCAAATTTTGTCAGTATTATAACTGAACCTCCAGTTCGGTGATTTTTCCGGTGCCATTTCCGTTCAAATCAAACAATAAATAGACTATAATGAAACTTGCCATAGTCGGCATGTACTTAATTTAGCTTTGTATAAGCCCAAGTAGCTGTATCGTTTTAAACAATAAATTTTATTTTGTTTTACACGAGTTTTAATTCACACGCTACTACATTTATCCTATCTGTTTGATCGAGTATTTCGACTTGTGACCACTTCTTATGATTTTAGGAGCACGTAAGGACTCCTTCCGACAAAGAAACCGGCAATTTGTACAAAGACTTAGTCGAAAAATACGAAGCCCTCCTTGAAGTCCACCGCCAACCTCACCGCCAAGCCAAACGAAACAATGGCGTATCGTTGCAAGAAGAGCTCCAAATGTCGGGCGACTTCAGTGTGGCCACTACAAAAGATACGGATGAGGAGAGCGGTCTTGATAGTCTCAAACAAGTCCATCCGAAAGCAAGGATGACGATTTCGCACACACCGACCGACTTCTCCGAAGCCGAAACAAGCAGTTCGGGCTTCTCCGACGAAACGAGTAACAAATACACCCAAACTGAAGATCGGCAAGGTGCGTTCCTCTGCACGATCGCCGACGGTGAAGACAGATTTAGCATCTACAACGACGCTAGCCCCATTTCCAGTCGGTTCAAGAACCAACCGGAATACCAAGAACTCTTTAAAGAGATCTTCACAGTTCTAAAGAAAACTGCCGAAACGAAAACCGAAATTCCAAAAGTCGAAGAGATCACTTCTCCGAGAGCGCTTCCAGAGGAAGAGTCGCAAATCACGGAACTTGACGATGACTCTCAGAGTGTCGTCTCGTCGACAATGTCCGAATTGTCGATGTCCCAGAACGAGCCAACTACGATCATCGAGAATATAATCCAAGCTCAGAATCAGCCAATCCCGGACGCGGAAGTCCAGGAGAAGCCCGAACAAGTGTTGAAACCTTTAGTGCGCCAGCCTTTGGAATACCTGTCTGTGGAAGTCCGAAAGCGGTCGTCGAGTCGTCGCAAGAACAAATTCGCCGAAAGGTCCGACTCACCGGTTACTCATATTATCGGAAGTCCGAAAATCAGTTATTCGAGTCGGCCTTCGTCAGGACGAAAGCGACGCGATTTCAAGAATGTGCCAGAGAATGATACCACCTGGAACGGTAATTCTATACAGTTTTGGTCATCCAATCGCAACATTGCGTCACCTACACCGAGTCAAGGCAGTGGCAAGTTCGAGTTTCGACCGAGTTTGGCTTCACAAGAGTTGCACAAATTGAAAAAATTGGATCTGTCGTATGCGGAAGTCGTTAGGAAGGCTGATAGTAAGAAACAAGTCGCCAGGCAAAGGAGGAAATAATCGCATTGATGTATATTGTTTATCCTATTATTTGTAAATATTCATTTATGTACGTCTTTTTAATTTTGATGCGTCTGTTTCAGTATTTTACGTATGGTTTGTTCGAGAGCAAACTTTTGTGCCAATCATAAAATTTTAAATTTATACAATGTAATCACAAAAATGTATCTAGTAGCATCTAATTTAATAACGGAAGTTTACATTCCAAGTTACTTATAGGTTTCGGACTTAGGCGTAGCTTTTTACTCATAAATAGGAACGGAATCATCTACATTTGTGATTATATTACTATATTTGAAATAAAAAGTATCAATCAACTCTATTACTTATTATTTATTACCCATTTATAAGGAAAATTATAAACAACTTACATTTATTAAGGGGAACAATAATTTTTAAATGACAATACAAAAAAAAAGGAGCACGCAACTTATTTCCTCTGAAATAATACTTTGTGGATTGTGGATAAATCCGGTACTAACTTATTTGAATTTGATGAACTCGAAACTTCTATGGTATTTAATAATCTGAAACAGAAAACACTATGAGGTGACAACTTTGAATGACACAAACTAAAAAAAAAACTTAACGTGAATATTTACCTTAGGTAACATAAAAATTTAAAACATGAGCCTAAAAATAACAATAATAAGAAATACAATCAAAAAAGAATTTATTTTGAAATACATTTTAATTAACGAAAAGTGCGAAGCTAGGTTTTTTAGTAACATTACGTCCAAAGAACCTAAAACAAGGAAAAAAAAAACAAATCAAAAACAGGCGCATTCCCTTATTAAAACTTTTTCAGAAGTTTGTTTTTGCTAAATTTTCCCAAATTACACAATACACACATCAAAATCACATTAAAAAAAGATCAAAACAAAAATAAAAATTCCAAACCACATAACTTGTATTTGGATTATATTTTTTTAATATCTCAAATGCTAGGCAATCTGTTCACCGAAAATATTTAGGATAATTTGGCTACCAAAAGTTGTAAATACATTTGACCGAATTGTATGAGCTGAAATGTAAGTACGAGTATGTACAAGTTTAGGTATAAATACTTTTCGTAAAACTTCGGAAATAAAACTATTTTTGCGGTGATATTTTGATTTTGTGGAAAAAATGGTTAGAACTTGAAATAAACATTTTTAATTCTTCTTCACCTCACTTACCCTTGACTCTCCATTTTGGTCAAAGCAGGGGCTGTTGGATTATTCAAAGGTCGCTTATTAACCAAAAGACATTTCATTGGTTGCCCATCCAACTGCCTATTATGATAAGTATCCACGGCCTTCTGTGCGTCTTTCAAGTTCTTGTAAATCACCTCAGCGACTCCTGGGCGCACCAACCTAGCCGCCAACAATTGCCCAATATCTTCGAACAATTCCTACCACCCCAAGAAATTAAAATTCTCGTCAAAACTACTCAAAATCAACATACTTTAACATCATCCTGCGTAACCGTAGGTTGCAAATTGGACACAACTATTCTATGTCCTGCCGGAACGACAACTTTGGTCTTAGGTTGTCCGAAAATCCCGTGGGTTTCTGGCTCAATAGGGCTACCATCTAACCGCGAATGAATATTTGAGATTCTGGAGGAGCCCTGTAAGGTTATCGTTTGTTTAATTGGAGCGATAGGAGCAAGAGGCATCTCCTCATCGTCAACAGCGTCAAGATCAATGTATCCAAGAGGCGACCTAAGGGGTCTAAAATTACGTTGAAAAATGACCAGTAAAGAACACCATACTTGTTAATGGGGAAATTCTGCCAGCCTTGGAAGACTTCCCCTTTGGCCCCACGGACCCGCCCCTCCAACGACCCAATTAACTGAGACGCGGTGGTCCGCATGCCGGGTTTGGACCACTTGTACAAAGACGGGTCGTAAGTTCTCATCAACATTTGATTATAAGGATCAATTTCATTTAAGACAGCTTGTCTCACAGTCTGGGGCACCCTGGAAGCCGCCAAGGCCCTCCGTACGACTGCCTTTTTGGGCGAAGTGACGAGGCCCAACTCTTTTTGTATTGTGGCGTTCATTCCAGTTGAAGACTTGGCCTTGTTTGTGACAAGACTGATTTTACCGTTGCTGTCGATTTTCTGGACGATATTTTGGCCAATTACTTTTATATTTCCATTGGCGGTGGCTATTGTGCCTCTTTTTTGTCGCAGTTTGTTAAGCTTGTTGCGAGCATCTTGACCTTTGGCTATTTTGGCCAAAACGTCTCGAGCGTCTTTCACCGTACTGAGCTTTTTCTGGATGAGTTTTTGGCGGGCATCTTGCACTTGGGGCTTGGTGAAAACGCGCTTTTTCACAATGTTGGTCTTTCTGCCGTTTTGTATTTTATTTATTTGGAGACGTTGCTTGTTATTGCTGAAATTGGGCACAGTCAGTGAGTGGAAAGAGTGGAGGCGAAGGGACTTACCGTATCGGACGTTTTGCCATTATTACAACTAATTGTGGCAGAAACTCTTCTTTTTTATAGCCTTTTGCAGGTCTGATGAGATTCACATACAAAAAACAACACAAAACGCTCAAACTACAGGATTAATTGTTGCTGACTTACAAATGACAGAAGATAGAAACAAAATGGTGGACAGACGACAGCGCCGTTTAACATCAAACACAAAAATTCAAAATAATAAAAATTTAAAACAAATCTTAAAGATTGCTTCTATTTCTTTAACTTTTTAAATAAATATTTTGCCTAAACTATTTGTTATTTTATTTTTAAAGTAAAAAAAAGGTTATGCAACCAATTATACAGTATAAAGTATATGACGTGTAAAACTGTGAAAATAACCTTGAAGATTTCACAAAATCAATTATTTTGTGAAGGATGACAACAATCACAAGACTTTAGATTTAGATAATAACTAGCTTTAGGTTCTTGCGAGTCATTCTAAATCGTTAGTGAAGTTTACACAATGGGTTTCATCACAGGTAGGGCTCTACACTATGTCTTCAAAATCCCAGATCGCAAGCAAACTGCTATATTTTATCGCGATATTTTGGGTATGAAAGTCTTGAGACATGAGGAATTTGCGGATGGATGTGAAGCTGTGTGCAATGGGTAAGCCACCACACTTTTTTCTTGTTAAATCACAATTAAAAAGCACCGGGAATCTGAAACCAAAAATTTGTATAAAAAGAAAAATTTCGAAAATAAAATGCGTTTTGCTTTTACCATCCCATGCATAAAAACTTGTTCTAGTAATATTGATAATCCCATAGGTCATAAAGAGAGTGTAGGAAAAGTGAAACATCTTTTTTTGTACCTATAGGAAAGGTACTTAATCAGAAAAACATTTTACTAAGTAAAAGTAATCTACGCAACGCAATCAAATTCCAATTTTGCTTCATTTTATTTCATAAAGGAAAGTGAATTTTAACTTGAATGCAAGAATTACAGGAATCATCTAAATGAGATTCTCGTGGGAGTGATCATATTTTATTGAGGCAATTAACTTTTTACCTCGTTTTATTGTTACAGTCCTTACGCAAACCGGTGGAGTAAAACTATGGTCGGTTATGGTCCTGAATCGACTCATTTTGCCATCGAATTAACTTACAATTATGGTATAAAGTCCTATGAAATGGGCAATGATTACCGCGGTATTACAATACGCAGCAAAGAGGCCTTGCAACGTGCAAAAGAGAACAAGTGGCCTATCTTAGACGGCAATATCCTAGAAGCACCAGGTGGTTACAAATTCCAAATAATCGACGAACCCCAACCCACCAATCGTGGTAAGTAAACAAATGCTTCAAAAATGATTTGTCTAATATTTTATTGCAGATCCAGTTGTAAAAGTAACCTTGTCTTGTTCGAATTTAACGAAATCTATCAACTACTGGAACGGCGTTTTGGGTTTGACGATTTTCGGGAGGACCGACAAAAGTGTTTTGTTAGGTTTCAAAGAAAATGAAGCTAAATTGGAGTTGGAGGAGATTGGAGGACCGGTTGAGAGAGCTAAAGCATACGGACGTATCGCTTTTGCTTGCCCCGCTCAAGAGCAGCCGAAAATCGCTAAAAAAGTCGAGGAACATAAACATACCATCTTTAAGCCTCTGATGTCGCTGGATACGCCAGGAAAGGCTACAGTTCATGTGATTATTTTATGCGATCCTGATGGACACGAAATCTGTTTCGTGGATGAGGAAGGGTTTACTCAACTATCACAAGTGGATCCAAATAGTGATAGGCTACTCGACCGTTATATCGCAAGAGATAAATCATAAATATTGAGCTATTAATTTAAGGGTGGAAAGGTGATATTATTACAAAAGTATTTATTCTTTCATATTATATTGTTATAAAAATAAAATATATAAAGTTCCACAACAAAAAAAACCATTTGACAACAACCCACTTATCACAATTTATTCTTGAAATCGGCGTTCCAATGAACTAGTTCTCGCCACCATTTCGGCCTACTCATGGCATGAGGTGACCGAAAGATCGCCGATTGTAGCCTTTGATAAACCCGCCCATCGGAAGCCCCCAAAACCGAATTCAAGATAAAATCAGGAGGCGCTATTACGTCAATCAGAGAGACTGCATCGTCTTTAATCTCATGACAAAGTGTTAAAACACCTTCATGGATTAAATGAGTGGCTTTCGGGCCCTGGGTGTACCCCCCTTCATACAAAGTTGCCAAAAACTTCTCTAGGCTCCACAACCCGTACAAAGAGAACAGTTTTGAAAGGATTCTCTTATTATCAGCGTCGTTTGCTTGATTTATAACAACCAACATTCGTTGCAAGAAGAAGTGCTACAATGAAATTCAAATTAATAGCTATTATGAGTGGCATTTATAATTTTTTGTTCAATGCCTTCATACCTGAATAAAGGCGATTGCCAGGCTTTTTGCGTAATACACTTGAGTATTATTTTTAGCCCAAAACTCGCCTTCTTGTTTCATTAGAGTGTCCAACTTGTTCTTTGTTTGTTTTAAAAGATAACATACCAGCCATTGATAGGCATCTATGATGGTATCAGGCCGATAAACCTCATCTAAACTATTAGCAGCAAATTTATGTTTGAGTATTTGAGAAGCATTTGTCAGGAAGTTGGCCGATTGCAGAGGAGTCTCAATTTTGGCCCCTCTTTCAATTTCGGAGCACAGTTTGATCAACCAGTTGCTGGTCTGTTGAATTAACACGTGATTTTCGCCTTCGTATGTGCAATTAGCATCATTGTCATTTCTGATATCCCCAATTCCGGCTATTTTCAAATACCCGTGGCCCCCACAAGCCTCCCTGCACTCCTGGATCACGTCACGTGCTAACCAACCCGCGACGGGTTTACAAGCCGATGAAATCACATGGATCTCCATCCCCAGGTCGCCCAAAGACTCCTTATTCTGATTCAAAACTGAGTCAATAGTGAATTGATAATTCGTCTCAGAAATGTAGTTACTAAACACCCTCAAGACATAAACAGCAGCCAAGTACGGCAAAAGCCGGTGTTGCTACAAAAACACTATTAGAAAGACTTTAAGCCGAGTTTTTCTACTCACATGTGACTGATATTCCAAAATTGGAACTTCTTCCTCGCCCTCTGGCCCAAACTGTTTTCTCACAGCTGCATACCTAATCGCAATCGTGAGCGCCTTCGTGGCGTAACTTTCACAAATTCCGGTTATATTAACACGACCTATAGACAGGGCCCCCAAAGCAGCCCCATGTCGATCCTTTGGGTTCTTAAACCTCGTAACGTACTTGCCTTCAGGGGTCACATCGGCGTTTTTACTCAGAAGGTTTTCACGCGGAATGCGGTAGTTATCAAAACTCAAAAAACTGCAAAATAGTCAGAATTGGAACTTATTTTGATGGTTTCGGTTTACTCAATTTTCACAAAAAACAATAAACGAGCTTGACTATAGCTTTTTTAACATTAACTTGAAAAAATTAAAAACAGATGCCCAATTAACTCGTATGTTATTCGACGATTAATAGCCTTGACAATTAACGCACTCGCTACGCCCGGATATAAACGTTTTCTTCCTTAAGAAGCTCGTTCGCTTTATTATTGTGAGAACCGAGAAACTTAATTAAATACCAACCCATTGTCGATCCCATTGAGACCGATCTTTTCACCCATGTCCCCTACTATAATTCCGGGATATGGTAGTAATGTCTTAGGGTCTCTGATGGGTGCCACAAAAGTGTGGAGTCCGTGGTGTACACCATCGACATATAATTGGGCATAGACAACGGCATGCGATGCCATCTGACCCAATGAGCCCGCCCAACACTTCGCTGCTTCGAAATCAGGTGTGTGGAGGACGAACTGTTGGGTGTTTTTGTCGTAAGTGGCACAAGTTCGCATGCCCTTGGTATTGGTTCCATGGCCGATTTCCGTAAGGCAGAAACACCCATGGATCTAATAATTTTAATCATTATTGTAGTTTCAGATAATTGAAGCTAACCTCGCCACGCTCTGCTAAATCTAAGATGTCGTAGTGTCTTTCAGTCCCTTGGCTTCTTATAACGTTGGTGAATAAACCCTTGCCCACTGAGTACTTGACGGTGGCGGATGGGCTCAATTGCATCATGGTTCTGGTCATGACGGCGCCTGTTTTAACATTTTCGATTAGTTTGGGGACGGATAAGAGGTCTATGTCGGCGTAAGCAAGGGCTCGTCTCATTGCAATACGCCGCTGTTCCTCGAACGACTGGGAGAGTAGGTCGTGTTGGTACTCTGGGTGATTTTTCAGTACCTCGAAAAGTTCATTCTGCCAACAATAAGAAAATGTTTCCTTTTACAAAACCAAACTTACTTGATACTTGACGATTTCTTCAGTTTCTAGAAAAACTTTTAATCTTTTCCAATCGAATGACGCCCTTTTCCTATAAAGGTCTAAAGGGCCTGGTGGAAAATTTTTCAATAGATGTGACATTTTCATAACAATAATACGCCGCACTGTTTGAATAACACAATTATTTACACTGAATTTATATATCTCGCGAGTTGCGATAACATTAAAAATTTTGTACTGTCATGTAGTCTATTAGTTCACTGACTTGACGACATATAGCGGACTTTACACTTGCAAGGTTTAATAGATACTTTTATAGTTTTTTTTGTAAAATTCATGTTAACCTAACCTTGATCTTTGATGCTTAACGAAATATTCGAAATATTACAGAAAACTGTACCAATTTAGTGACAACTTTCTAATTTAGCTAATAGAGAGAAAGGAGATAATAAACATTATGTAAGAAATGCGTGGCAATGTAGAGTACCCTCATCAGGTCGATGCCGGATATTAACAGAATAGGGGAGACCCGGGCAAAACTGCGAGCCAAACGGACTGCAGACTAAACAAATCCCCAATTAGCACAATCACAAATCCACAATATTAAAAAATAATCAATTTTGATCGAGTTTTGACAATTCCACGTATTTCACAAAACAATTATTCGGGAAAAGGTAGAATTTTCGTTAAAAATATACTACCTGCATTTGCAAATATGAATCAATACAATTTCGAATTCAAAGAATAAAATAAAAATGTTCCTTCTTGATATAGGTAGATTTATTAACTTACGAGTATTAACATTGTACCATTTTTCTCCAAGTTAACATTGAAAAAATTAAAATTAAAATGTGCAAAAACTAGGTTTTAAAAATGTAATAACTACAAGACATTTCTTTGATAAACTTGCTTTTTAATTAAAACTAGTAGATTACATAATTATTGCAAATAGATGTACGAGTATATGTAATTGAAAAAGTACATGTATGTAAATAGCAAACACTCGTATTACAACATTGAAAAAAAATGTTTTTAAATTATATAGTCTGGTATAAATATTAATAATGTTAATTCTTGAAAATTAGTAGGAGTAAGTTTGGTTGCCTATCCAACCGCGCAACAGTTTTATTTTTCCAAAATTCTTTACGTCTATTTTTTCTGTTTATATTTGCTAAATGCGTGTACTTGTGGAAATTTTAGGCCAAATAAATCTGATTTGAAAAAAACCAGTTTATCAATGTAGATAACATTAGATTGAAAACAATCACTTGAATTACTAAACACTCCAATTATTAGTTTGTTTGTAAAATAGATTAAAAACGTGATAAAAAGACAGATTTCCAGTAGTTAGAAGTTGAGCGGCAGTTTCAAAGAACCGTAATTTTAAAAATCTCTAAAATCCCTATTTATTAATAAAATATCGCGATAATAACCAAGAGTGGGAACCCGAGATTGGCGTTCCAAACCGAATTGTCAGTCTTGCCGCGGCAGCGCTAGTCCTCAGCAGCTTCGCCATTCGCCTCTCTCCCATTTGAAACCATGAAGTGCGTCCGTCGTAATGACAGTGTAGGCCCAAATTGCTCCCAATCTTCCAATAATGGAGCCTAAAGCCGCCGCCACTCTCCAGTTCAACGCGAGCAGAGCCCACAAAATGGACGACGTGAAGGCAAGCGCCGTCCCGAAGCGCCTCAAGACGGACCCCGAAGACCGCCACTGTGATACCGATGCTAAAGAAGCGAACCAAAGAGCGCCCTCGCCGAGCTTCCGGCGCGAGAACAGCACGAGGTCTCTGAGGTCGGCCTACGTCGGTGAGATGACCTTCGCGAAGACTAGCAGCGAGTCTGGCAGCCACCTCTCGAAGCCGCTGTCCGACGCGGCGTCGGTGCGCTCTTGGGCCTCTGTGGGCATGGGCTCCACCGACGGCAAGAAGATGATCGTGAGGAGGGTGCCCACGTCGCCCGTTGAACTCTTCAACATCGTCAATCCGCCGACGTAAGTTTGGAATGTTGCACTGGCCTCGCCGCCTTTTCCTTTTACTACCAGTTTCTGCTAAGAACCGTACAACAGAACGAAAATAGAAACTTGGAACCACGAGAGTACACAGGGTTTAAAGATTTGTATGCTTCTCTCTATTATTTACAAGATGCCTGTGATTAGTTCGTGTCATGTAAAAGTCAAATTAATACCCGGTGATAACCCAGCTATCAACATTTCATTATTTAAAAGTACCACACTTTACGCCAATTAAGATAATTTCATATGAAAAAAATATTTATTTTTAATTTAGTTTTAAAAATATCACATTTTTAAATACGTATAGTGAGAGCACTTTGTCACTTGATAGAAGCTTATAAACCTAGAGATTAACATAATTTATGTACAATACAATGAATGTACATCATAAAATAATGACACCAGTAGCTGCTTTTATTACTGATCATTTTACAGACAACACCCATTAACTACAAGTAATTCAGTTTTATTACTGGTTGTTTTTAAATCCGTTTTACCAAAGGCAATAATATAAAAATCTTAAATAGTGCTGTTACTCTCTGAAACGAAAATACTCGTACCCCCAAAAATAGATTTTTGTCATTAGTTCAAAAGTAGGTTAATGGACTTAACACAAAAAAATTTTTTTGATAGTTGGGTAAAATAAGTGAAAATAATTAAACCAAAATAAAGAAAGTCTAACGTTTATTTGAAAAAATCAAGTAAAGGAATATTTTTGCCCACATTTTCATAACAAAAGCTTGAAACGATGCTTTGATGATTGATTGATTGGAGAATGGAATTTAACATGAAGTTGAGTCAAAAAGTGTTTTTTTTTTTCATAACTGAATTCTCAATTCTTTTACAAAATTTGTAAACATAAATAGTACACTAATACGAAAATATCATTTTCGATAACCAGGAGAAAATGTATTTTAAAGACAAAACAATGATAACAAATTAAGAAAAAAACTGTTTGGTAAACAATGAAAGTTTAATTCTGACAAATCATTTCAAGTTTAACAAAGACGCAAGTCATATGGATGGCTTAAAAAAATTGTAAAAATTGATAAACAAAATTAAACAAAACAGTGGAACTTTAAATACCTTCTTATCAATTATTTTTTATTTTAACCAAAATTATGTGTTTAACTTTTAACTCTTCTTCTTTTAGGGAGCATTAGTACACTTATGTAGGTATACCAATGTGTTGTATTGAAACTACTTAAATAAATCCACCAGAAAGTCGTAAACTTAATAAATTAATAAAGCTTGTACAAAACTTATTAATAAAGCTTGTTTAAGTACAATAAAAAATACTATGTATATCTCGGGACTTTTGTATTGCCAAACTGTCACTTTTCACAATGTTTTTTCTTTATGAAATAGTGGAGCTTCTTGGCTTTAAATTTCTCAGTAGGATCCAGCTGAAGTACTAATTTTTCTTTTATCTAAAATAAAGTATTTGCGACGTATTTCACCTCAAGAAACGTATTTGCGAGTTGCCGTCGCATGGTAATAGAAAAGTCTCGAGGTATATGTCACGCAGAAGTAAATAAGTATGACAAAAGTAGTAGTAATAGTAAATTATTATTTAGAAACGAGTTTAAAAGCAAAAAAAATCATTATAAACAGAGGGATGAAAAATATGATACGTAATATAAAATAGTTAATTCAAGTTTTTTTAAGAAAATAATTTAAGAATTTTACAAAATTTAATTCTTTATTATTATTATTATTTAAAAATTCAAACGATGCAGCAGTTTTGTCTACATTTCTACCATAACGCTCTGCAATTAAAAAAATTTTTTTTTCTTTTTTGAATAGAACAACCAAAAATTGAAAAATTCACTTGAAATAGCAAAAATAAGTATACGATAAATTTCATGAATGACTTGCAAAATTTCAAAAATTTGTTTACCGTCAAAAAGATTTTAAAAGCTACATTGACATTGATGTAAATCTAACAATATTCTATTTTAATGTTTTTTGGCAACTATTAACTGCCTTTTAACAATAGAAGTTACAATTTACCTTTGAAATGTATTATTCTACAACAGTGATAGATGTTTTTTCCATATTTTCTACCAATTTTAATCTAAAATTTTGACAATTTAAATTTCTTGGATGGATGTAAAAATAAAAACAGTATTATGCTAATACATATTGTAATACTGGGCCAACCCATATTGATTAAAAAATGACGTCAAAAATACAATCATAAAACAACCAAATTTGAAAATTTCACTTCACCGTTATTCTCGTTAAGATAAATTTAATTAGGTTTCCAAAAATTCGATAAAAACCGACTTTCATGTTAGCTCAACTCATCAGTTTGCAAACATTGAACATTTGTAATAAAAATTTGAAAATCTGTTTCATCACGGAAATAAAACTATGACTATCCCAGCTATTAGTCATCCAAAATTTAAATAATCAACTTCATTCAATCATTTTGCTTTCGTTTTCTCTCAACCACAAAAGCTGATTTCCACTCCATCGTAAATTGGACCTTGTGTACCGAATCCGATGAATGGCGAATGAAACAATCCACAACATCGAGTAAAAATACTTAAAACCAGAAAAACTGAATGAATTCAGTGTGACAAGTCGTAAAATTTAACGCTCCGTTAGTGTCAACGTTGTAAAAATTATCTGACCCGAGATCGGGTTAACGGCCCGAAATTCGTCGGATTTTGAGTGAAAATCCGCGGACCTTGAATGAAAAACGCGCTTTGTTTTAACGATTCTGGAGAGTGTGTCTGCAGCCGCATGACGTGACGGCTCGAGGATACGATGAATTTGCATATTCCAAGAGTCTTAAGTTATTTGACCTATCGTTAGCAAAATAATTTTGAAAAAACGTCGAGGTTGCACAGTGGACCACACAAATAGTCCAATCCGGGACAGGAACGGCTGAATTAGAGGTCAGATTGGCCAACAAGGTCGGCTATTAGCGCATCCTCTGCAGGAAGTAACCGCTTTAGTTCTGCATGGTACCATCACTGCATTTGGAGACATTTTCAGAATTTTCGTTCTAAATTTAATTCCGCTGAATTAGCGGCTTAATTTGTCACGAGCGAGACTCACCTTTGCACAATACTGTTTCAAATATTTACATCTCGTTATAAACAAATTACTTTACACATTTATCATAATTTATTAAGCAATCTTTTCACATGACGCTGATTGTTTTCGATTGAAGTACGGGAAATGAGCGAAAAGGGGCTCAACTTGCAACAATACAAAGCCCATCATCCTTAATTAATCTTTTTTTATACAACTTTTGACGACACAAAAATGATAAAATTTTAATCGTATACGACACAATGTAAATAATTATGTCGAAGGCTCTTTCTCTCCAATTGACCCAGATTCAATTCAATTGTCTCAACATTTTAAAATAAATGGAAAATATATTTATTTTAAAATTCCCGACTGGCAATCGGCCAGAGTCACACTGCCCTTCATGGCAAATTTTCACAACGAAATTACTGTTGACAAACTAATTCACAAACTAAACTAAATATAACGTGCTAATATTGGTTTTTACCGTATAAATACAGCGAAAAGAACTTTAATTTTATTTTTCTGCAAGAGTAAAAGCAGAATGGGTGCTCGCAAAGTGTACTACCTTAGGCCTAAACCAAGGATAGATCAGTACGGATTCATATTTCCAACGGTTTTGTAAGTACTCACAATAGAATATCATTATTGTAAGGCAAGGTGAACAGTAAATTATGTGATATCACGTGTGCTCCATGACGATTTTTTTTAATATGTATAATGTCGGTGTAGTGTTTAAATTTCGGAAACAAAAACTACAATAATTGTGCCTGAGCCATTTATCACGTTAATTGGGGGGTACAGGATTTTCCCCCTTTGATTTCGTACAAAAAAGATTGAAGATAGAAATATTAAAACGCAGAATGTAATTGCGGATTACATGTCAGCCGCTTTAACGGAAGTAATTAACAAGGTCGGACCGAGAATCGCATTACAGAAAGTTTTTCGAAATTTCAGGCCCCCCGAAGAATATTTATACGACGGCGAGAGTGACGACGGCAGTGGCGATGACGAAGACAGCGTCTATATTAAACCACGAAGACAAACATGGTCCAACAAACTCCAATTCGTGTTGGCTTGTGTGGGCTACAGCGTCGGTTTAGGATCAGTCTGGAGGTTTCCGTATTTATGTTACAAAAGTGGTGGAGGTAAATAAGGTCTAGGTGGAAAAATAATTCATACACAATGTTGAAAAAGTGTGTCAGATGAGGTCGCGTTGCGTAAATGTGCCGATGATAAAAGGAAAATCGAGTCGTTGAACTTGAAAATTCGAAAAAGATTTTGGGAGGAAATCGCGAGGTCGACTTGGTTGACTCAGAGTTTGAATTAATCAAAACCAAACCTGCTCCGAGCTGAGAGGAAAAAATGTTATGCAATGAAACACGAAATTAATGACACATCCTTTGTTTTATTGTTATTACTTGGAAAAAATACTCTCGACTAAAATCACTTCCATCTCATTGATCGATTTTTGACTTAAAAGTTACAACTTTTCCCAACCCAAACACTCATGTTTCGAGTAGCTCAACTTTAATGACTTATTGTTGGTTTCCTCAATTGCAAAATGAGATAAAACTGTCATAAATGCAATGTCTCATGCTTCACCAACAACAATAAAATTACAAACCAACTAATTCTAACGAACATAAGCATTTCATGAAAAAATAATACTCATGCTTTTGTAAATACATATTTTTTAATGACCGAATTTACGTACTCAACACAAATACTATTCCGACTTTTTAAAATTATCTCAGATTGACCGATTTTGCACATTCACTTCAAAAATTAACTGAACAAATAAATAAAATCCAGTTTAATTAATGAAAAGCCATTTCCCGTACATAATTATACAATTAAAATTGGAAAATTATATCATTTCAGTGTTCACACAATAAACAGTCAAGGCTTATAACGCAACATTTTTGTATAGTTTTCGCAATTTCGTAACGCAGTTTGACAGATATGAGCAAACTTTTGTTAAAAAACATGAATGCAAATTATGAATACTTTCAAAGATAATAGGTATTTGTATTACAAGTGAGGAAAGTGTATCTTTTCCTCCAATGTAAAACGATTCAGCAAGAAAACCTGCGAAACTAACAATTTCTCTTGATATTCCAGTTTTTCCCTTATATCTAGCAGCATGTGTGGATGAAGGAGGTAAAATTTTTACCTCCCTGGGAGGTAATTGGCCACTTAAAATTAGGGTGGAAAAACTTACTTTCTGTTAGGGTCGTAGAAAAATTTTGTTGTTCTTTTTTTTGAAACTCCACCTGATATCAAATAAAACCAATTCAAAAATGTAAAAAGTGACATGATTGCGTAAATTTTTATTATTGTGTTGTTACTGATTATATCATTTCCAAGATAAATAAAACATTATTCAATGAGATCGTGCATTTTCAACTTTTTAACTGTAATAGTTTCCTGGAACATAAATTTGCTTAATTCTTTGTTAAAAATATGTTTAATTCCATTTATCACTTACAAAAAGTATCTACAAAACGGAAGCTTGTTACTTTTTGAAAACAATAATTTAATTCAAAGAAACTGATAACGTAATCAAAAATATTGTTTTTCAACTGAGATGATATATTTATTTATTACTAGTTCTAAATGTGTTGATATTAAAACAGATAACATCGAAATATCGATGTCCTAAAACTAAAGGTAGTGTAAGATCTAGTTTCAAATCTATCCGAAAAATGCCAACATCGCAAATACATTTTTTGAGCTCGAATGATTAAAAAAATTAACGGTAAAGTAACATAACATAAAACCTGTCTTCAATTAAAATCCCAATCAAAGTGGCTTGTGTTTGAGTGACATAAACACAGAAAACAGAAAATTTGACGCGGCTTATATCATATTCTCTGTCTCAATACTACCTACCAACTTAATTTTAGAATCATAGGCCACTTTGATAGGTAGTAGGTGCCGAGAATAAAAAGCAAGTCCTCTAAATTATATTTTCGCATTGAAAGCCCCTTTTTTACTTAAATATATCTCAATCTTTTTTTTTTAAGACCAAAAACAAAATCTTGACTCTGCTTAGTGAAAGCACTCGAAAAACCATGTTATGTATATTTTTTAAAATTGTTTTAAGACAACTATACCAAAGATGTAAAAATAAGTGTTTGATAACCACTTAAATAAAATATTCTCAATAATAAACAAAAGTGTGATCATTACAATGAATCTGACACACTTATTTTACTTATTTTGAATTTTTGGTTTCCTGAATCTTGAAATTCCAGGTGTATTTCTCATCCCTTACGCGATTATAATGATAGTCTGTGGCGTCCCCATGCTGTACATGGAACTAAGCGTGGGTCAATACACCGGTCGTGGCCCCATCGGCGCTCTGGGCCACTTGTGCCCCCTTCTAAAAGGTATTCTAACTGTTTCAAATCGCGCCAACTCTTACTAACTCTTTGTTCAGGAACCGGTCTAGGTAGCGTAGTTATTTCATTTCTCATGTCAACTTACTACAGTGTGATAATAGCGTACGGAATTTACTATTTCTTCACTTCGTTCAAAGCGAAACAGCCGTGGGAAGACTGCTCCCATCGTTGGAACACGGACGAGTGTTGGGTGCCCGGCAAATCCTCCCCCAACGTCGCCAAGCCCAACGACAGCCAAACCCCCGCTGAACAATTCTACGAGTAAGCCCTCACCAACGATGACACCCTTTCTACTCGAAATTTTCAGCAAAAAGGTTCTCCAAATCGGCGACGGCATCGAAGATTTTGATAGTCTGCGATGGGAACTCGTCGCGTGCCTCCTCTGTGCGTGGGTGATGGTCTATTTCGCAATATGGAAAAGTATTAAATCTTCGGCTAAAGTCCGGTATTTCACCGCCACTTTGCCCTTTCTCCTCATCATTGTTTTCCTCGCAAAGAGTTTAACTCTGGAGGGAGCTGACAAGGGCATGCGGTATTTTTTCAAGCCCAAATTTCATCTACTACTCGATGCCAAAGTGTGGGTCAATGCTGCCGCTCAAACGTTCAATTCCATGGGTATTGCCTTTGGTTCCATGATCTCGTTCGCTAGCTACAGCAAATACAACAATAACATCCTACACGATACTCTAGCCGTTTCGTTCGTAAATGCCATAACGAGTCTTTTAGTCGGAATTTTTGCCTTTGCTACCATTGGAAATATAGCCTCGGAGCAGGGAACGTCAATCGAAGCCGTCATCGATGATGGTAACATCTAGAACTCACTTAAGGGCAATTTTAACAGTCTTGTAGGTCCAGGATTAATCTTCGTGGTGTATCCTCAAGCCATGGCGAAAATGCCAGCAGCACAACTCTGGGCCGTTCTCTTCTTCTTCATGTTGATTTGTCTGGCTTTAAACAGCCAAGTAATGATAAAAAAATGTCATAAGTATTGTAATATTGTTTCATCTAGATGTCTTCTAGTTTGCTATTGTTGAAGTCGTGGTGACTTCCATTCAAGATGGATTCCCAACATGGATCAAAAAACACCTGATGTGCCATGAGGTCCTGGTCTTAATCATTTGCGTGGTTTCACTCATTTGTGGACTACCAAACGTCACGCAGGTAAAAATCCTTCCAAATTTCACTATATTGCACACCCCACTCGGTACTATTGCGAATAAGCAATTTTTTTAAATACAACAGATATTACATTTTAAAAATATTTATATATTTATTTTTTTTACTTTTTTTTTCAAATTTTTTTTCTAACTTTAATAAATATACCTGTATCCTATGTAATTTTGTTCAAAAAATCTAAAAATGATCACCACATTTCTCTATTTTTTTGTTATTTTTGTTTTCATATTTAAAGAGTGGTCGAGGTAATCACTCATATTCACGATATAAACTAAACTAAGAAAATGTATTAAACCATTTCTAATTTTAAATTTTAAACTACACAAAATGGAACACCAGATAATAAATTAAACACAAATTTAACAAAGAAACATTTTCAAGAAGTTCGTTTTTGTCTTTTACTAGGAGTAAAATCTTCCTTTTACAGAAACCTGCAGAAGTTCCCCATCATTATCGAATCCCATATATATCTTGATACCTTTTTTCCATGGCACTAATATCTTGAAAACGCTCTTGTTGATCATTTACAGTCCTTAAGTTTTGTAGAAACAAATCGAATCGGAAAATGCACTTTTAGAGACACACGGCAGTCGAGTCTACTATTTTCAAATAGTTTTTAGATAAATGTAGAATAATTTTCATTTCTATTATTGCCAAGAAATCTGTTGACTACACTCTTAAAAGAATTTCAAGCAGTTACATGTATCTAACTTTTGCACAAAAACTTCAATATGGAAAACTTCGATATGGATTTGAGGTCCTAAGAAAATTCCTTCTCGGATTTGCGCATTACTTACTTGGACAATTTTGTCTTGATACATAAAGGATTCATTTTCTTACTTGCTTAAACGGAAAATAAATTGATTTGCGATTACAAATCAGTTATACGGGATGAAATTTAAATTTATTTCTGATAATAATGCCTTAGATTAACGTTTATCAAATAAAATTATTCATTAAAAACGTGACGTGTTGGAGGTTTTTTAATTTTACCATTATAAGTTTAATGGCGCGTTTTAAAAAGACTATGTACCAAAAATTATGCTTGTTAGAAAAATCATGTTGCCTGGTGAATTTGCTACATACAAATTGGCTCTTTAATGGAAATCACTACACTTTGCAGAAGTTCTAATTATGAATAAGCACTTTCAGACATAACTAAAAATGTTACTGTCCCAACAGTAAGTTTGGGGTAAACTGTATTAATTTTTAAAATGTAGTAGTCGAAATAACGATGCAAACACGTTATGTTTTTTTAATAAAAACCTGATTTTGCTTTTGAAAAAGTATGTGTGGATACAAAACCGGAATCTGCTAAATTTGTAACCTTACCGTTGTTGTTTTAGGGCGGAATTTATTTCTTCCAGCTGATAGATCATTACGCTGCTTCGATTTCCATAATGTATCTAGCATTCTTCGAAGTGATTGCAATTGCGTGGTTTTACGGAGTGACAAGATTGAGTAAAAACGTGAAGACAATGACTGGCCGCCAACCAAGTTTTTACTTCAAATTCTGTTGGCTGATAGCAACCCCTCTTATGATTTTCTCCGTTTGGGTCTTCTGCATGATCGATTACGAATCACCGACTTACAACAATGGAGAATATCATTACCCAATTTGGGCTATAGTGATTGGTTGGATAATCTCCGCCTTGTCGATTTTATGCATTCCTATATACATGGTGTATGTGTTTGTGAACTCTCCGGGCAATACGTTCATGGAGGTACACCAATAAATATTAAGTAAAAAAAATCTAACATTGTTTTCCAGAAATTGAAAAGTAGTTTAAAATCGGACCTCTTCGACAAGTGCCCAAAATGCGAGGAATTCGACTGCGAATGCATGGTGAAGGAAGGCGAAATCGAGCCGATGTTGGTGATGCACAAACCGGATTCGAAAGACTCCAACTCCACAACAGTACCTTTCTACATTCCCCTGAGTCGCGTGCCCACTGTACACAAATTCGATTTGGAGAAAGTCGCCGTGCAAAAACCCCTTTTTTTGAATATCGACAAAGTCCAGCGTCACAAACTGGACAATTCGAAAGAAGATGTTCTTAAAAATAGTGTTCAAAACGGGACTATCCCTGAAGAAGACAGATTTCAGTCCGACGATCCAGCGTCCGATAGTACAAATACTGAAGCTCATCAAGAAAAAGATTATTCGTCTCATTCTAACATACACCTCGCGACGGCTGATGCAACGAATCAGTGTGAGAAAAAAGATGAGGAAGTGCAAGTGAATGAAAATGAATGTGATGGCGCCAAAGAGTAGTCGTTTCGTGTGACCAATGAACATTCCCTTAATTAAGCTCATTTTGATTAGTTTAGTTACAAATTCATTATAAATGAAACAATTGTGATATAGATAGAGTTTTAACTTAAATTGGACCTAAATACGTAATGTATCAAATTTTAGACAATAAATCAGCAATTACGATTTACTGTTTTAATTTTTCATTAACATGTTTTTTAAAGACGGATTTTTCTGTCTAGTCATTGACGCAAAAGTGCAGTTGTCGGTCCGTGTGATTAATGGCTTTGGATGTGCTTTCATGTACGCTTGATAACCAAAATAAAATTTATTGAAAATTTAATTATGCTTCGGAGCGTTTATTTAAAGTTGCCAATTTTTCAAGCCTTTTAAAATGCATAATAGAGAGGTAAATATTTATAAATAAATTGGCTATTTCTTTAAAGAAAGCGATACTATTGTTAATTTATAAATACAATAACTGCTGATAGATCAAAGTATAACAGATCCGCGTTATCTCTTACAAAACTCATATCAGTGGTAATAACTTGTTTATAGTTATTGAGATTTATTATTCAAAATTGATTGATGACAATTAAAAAAATCTGTTACGATTCACTGAAAAAGGGAATAAAGGTATCTGACATGATAATTCATTCATTATTTTTCATCATTATACATACCTATATTATTACTGATTGTTTGAAACAGTGTATAAAAGAAATTAAGGACTGTAACTTCAATAAAATTTTACTTACATGTACTATGAAACGAATTAAAAATAACAAACCTGTCACTTGTATTAAAGATAAAAAAATTATAATAAAAAACTATACATAAAAATAGCATTTATATCAAAAGATAAAGAGGAAGAAGTCTTATTAAAAATACTGAAAATTCAAACTATACAAAAATTGTGTCGCAGTTGTGTTATTTTTTTAATTATGCGTACGTGTAATTAGTTATTCTTGATCAGAATAAATATTTCTTATTAGCTTTTCAGGTATTTTAATAATATAATTTAGCAATAGCATTCAACTTTATTTACATTTTAAATATAAATACCTTAATTAATACTTCATCCTTTAATAACAGCAATCGGCCTCAACTTAATACACTTCTTACTAATCCCGGCTGCGTGACATGTATTCACAACATCCGTAACATTCTTATACGACTCTGGCGCCTCCTCCATCACGAGTTTCGGTGACGCAACCCTAATCGAGATCCCCATCTCCTCCAACTTATTCAAAACGTCGGTATAGTCCAAATTTCTCCTTGACTTGGCTCTTGATAACGCTCGTCCCTAAGCCAATCCAATAACAAAAAATTGCCTAGAAATATTACTGCACTTACCGCTCCGTGGCACGTAGACCCAAACGTCTCCAACATGCCTTGCTGCGTTCCAGTCAAGACATAACTGCAAGTCCCCATAGTACCCCCAATCAAGACCGGCTGACCCGTCAACTGATAGTCAACGGGAATCAAGGGGTGGTGAGGCGGAAACGCTCGAGTTGAGCCTTTCCTATGCACCAAAAGTGTCTTTTGTTTGCCATCAACGATATGTTCCTCAATTTTAGCAATGTTGTGAGACACGTCGTAAATCACATGCATGTCTAAGTCATCGGGGGCCATATTGAATTGTTTAGCAAAGGCTTGTCGGGTGAGAAAAGTCATGGAACTGCGGTTGACCCACGCGAAATTCGCTGCAGCCGCCATGGATTTCAAGTAGTCTTGGCCTTCTTGAGAGCCAATCCGAGCGCAGGCGAGTTGACGGTCATTTGTTTCGATTTTGTCACGTTTCATGGCTTTCTCCATCTGGACTAAGGCATCGGTGGCGACTTGGTGGCCGAATCCGCGACTACCGGAGTGTATCATGACACAAACTTGGCCTTTTTCTTCGATGCCCATTTTACAAGCCGCCCATTTATCGTAAATCTCGTCCACGACTTGTATCTCGGCGTAGTGGTTGCCGGCCCCAAGAGTGCCAAGCTAACAAAAAGTAACGTTTTCAAACTATGGAAAAGTATTTGAAAACAAGTAATATACCTGTGGAAGGCCCCGTTTTTTGGCCCTCATGCTCACTTTAGACGGATCCGCATTGAGCATCCGGCCATACTCCTCACAATGTTCCTTGTCTTCAGCCCAGATGTACCCTTCACGTAACGACCAGTCCATCCCCATCTCCAAAGCCTCCTCCAAGTCCTTGGCATTCATTGGAATAATCCCCTTAGAACCCACCCCCACGGGAATGTGATCAAACAAGCTCTGGGCCAGTTGTTCTTTAACCGGTAGAACGTCTTTTTCAAAGAGATTCGTGCGTAGTAAGCGTACACCACAATTAATATCAAAACCGACGCCCCCTGGAGACACTATAGACTCAGGGTTATCTACATCAAAAGCTGCCATATTTCCTATAGCAAAGCCGTATCCAGAGTGGACATCTGGGAGACCGACAGACTTTCCGACAATGCCGGGTAGGGCAGCAACGTTTGCAATTTGTTTAACTCCCGGCAGAAAGCCCCCCGCCATCCCGGGACGACAAGCATTACGCAATTCTTCCAACATGAGTTTCTCGAGGGTTTGGTTGACGTAAAAGACACCCTCCACGTTCATATTAGGCTGGAAACCCTTCTTAATCCTCCAGCAGTAAGGAGAAATCTTCTCAAGGTATTCTAGTTCCTGGTTGTATTGCCGCACCACCATTTTCACACTTTTTGAAGAAATTAGCGATTCTCAAAACACCAAACACCGGTTTTTTGAGGTTGACAACTACAGAATAGTTGTCGTTTCCTACTTTATCGACCTTAAGAGAAAAATTCGAAAAATTGTTATTTTTGTTTATAAACCCAAAAATGGTGTATAATAATATTACTTTTTTTTATCGAAAGTAACATAATGATAGAATTTTACTAGATATAATAGTTATTGAGATATTATTAATAAAAATTAACAATATACCGGGTGACTGTAAATGATTGCGATTTTTTTCCTCTAGTTAGTGTCAAATTTAAAATTTTAGTTTGGCAACTCTAACTTACAAAATCAAATTGTCATTCTCTTAAACTTTTTCACAAGTTTTTAGTAAGAATAAATAATTTAAAATATTTGTATTCATCAATTATAACATTTTTTATTAATTGCTATGTATTAATAATTATTAAATGTAAAAACAAAAAAAAAAAACAAAAAGAGCAAAGTAGCACAAAAAGATATGAGTTATATTATCTTTTTGGAGTTTTAAATATAAATTCAAGTTTCAGTCTGTTTACTGCTGCTGGCATTTTATTCAAGTTAAATTTTTAATTCATTTATAAAATATTAAGATATAGGTCGTAAAGAACAGGTAGTAACACAAGTAAATATCTTATTAGTAGCCATTCAATGGCATGCAAAAACACAAAACGTGAGAATTTTAAACCTGTTTAATTCATCAAGTAAATATTGTTGATATTTTCTTTTACATTTTCACAATTTAAATAATGAAAAAGAAACAACTGAAAAATAATAACTTAGAAACAAGAACATATAAATAAGTCTCAAGAGTTCTTTATTATCATAAAATATTAAAAATTTTGATAAATCAGTACCTCTCCTAATTGAATCCACACCTCTGTTTAAAATAAAAAATAAGTTAAAAACATACTAAATTACTACGTCTTCCTCTTCGTCACAATGCAGTGCTGACGGAAAATCAAAAATATCAACCGCCAAAACATCGACTTTCGCATTCATTATATCACAAAGTGAAGGCCTCGTCCTTCCAAAATCCCCATTAATGAATTCAGGTACGTGCAAACCGCACTGTGTACACAAATCTAGCTCAACTAAATTACCTAAAAAACACGTTTAAAACATCCTTCCATTTTATTCTCATTTACCTTTCAATTTCCGAGCCCTAATCTGAAATATCCTCTTTTTCCTATTATAAAATTTGCGCTGCTGGTAAACTTTTAGTGGAATTTTTTGCCAGACGTTTAAACTTCCATTCATATTCACCGCGTTTATACAATAATCGACATTTTTACAATTGTACACCATACATAACACTTTGTAACTTCGCGCACCGCGTTGTTCATTGTCCAGGAGGATGGAAATGTCCCGTCTGAGAATATAACACAATAAAAGAACTTTATTTATTAAAAAAAAAACTCACTTGTCAGTTTCCCGTAAATTTCGCACAGCCATTACTCTACTGCTCCTGATAATCTCTTCAATTACTTGGCATTGTTTCCGCGAAAGTGATTCAAATTTGGGATCGTTTAACTGTAAGTGGAAGGTTCTGCCGCTCCCAAGGACTCGAATGTTTTGATCGTCAAAACCAGACGATTTAAAAATTGCTTCTTTGAAGTTACTACAATAAAGCATTAATTTTTGTATTATAATTCAATAATAACATACCTCGCCACATTTCTTATTGCATTTGTGATTATCGCTTCTATACTAAAATCTAAGGAAGCCTTATTAACTGGATTTTGGGCTTGAAATATCTCTCTAGAATATTTAAAGTAATTTCCTGCTAAATGAATAGCTTCTGAGTAGTACTTCAATGCTTCAAAAGTAACGGAATAAAATGGGACTCTAGGGGGTACAGTTACTAAGTTACTAAAATCGCTGTCTGATATTGTTTCTAACATGTCGCAAACGCGGTGTTTACTTAAACTATTTTTCGGTATATCTTTTAAAACTCGCTGCACTGCTTCCATTTCCTAAAAACTTAAATTAGAAAAGGAGTCACTTGTAAATTACAAACTGACATCATCTTCCAGCTGATACTTGGTATAAAAATGCAAAGTTAATTTAGATGCATGACTGTAACTTTTTTTCAAAATTTGGGAGAGTCTGTTCTCAACAGCATATCGCCACGCGTTGTTCACTTTTATGACTTTATTGCCTAAAATTTGTCTTAAATATAAAACAGTTATCAAGATTTGGGTAAACTCACAATCAAAGGTATTTGGAAACAACCGCTTTAAATACAGTTTCATACTGTGATCCCTTAATAAAATGCATGTGGGGAAAGTTATATAGACCACAAAAGTCTGATTCAGGTACTCAGAAATATTATTCAATTCTTTACACGCAAAAACTTCTTCTATGGCAGGATCTTGCAAAAGGCCTAGACAAACTGAACAAGGGTTAATTTTCCGAATTTTTGCCTTTCGTTCTTCTTCAAACTCTTCAATAGGATCCATGTATCCAAACTGGAATCTTCATTTTATTACTGCTACAAAAATAAGCAGAAACTTACATTAACTAAACAGGTATTGGGGTGTTCAAAAGTAAGCAAAGTTTTACATTGTCCCAAATACCTCAAAGCACATCGCTTGCAACACCCTTTATTTATTATTTCATTGTAGATTTTAAGTTCTGCTTCTTCCACCATGGTGTTTGCCAATAATGAAAATAAGGTTATGACTAAGTGTTTTCCCAAAATTGTAAACCTGGTCCACGCTTGCAATTCCGGGAATTATTCGACGAATTTAAAGTCGCCTTTTCATAGAAAATTGTGGAAAGTTTGTGAAAATTAAAAAAACAAATAAACATAACCTCAATCGCACTACCAACCTTGAAATCTTGTTCCCTCAACTAGAAATTTAAACAGATTTTTTTTTCTAAAAACAACTCATAATTATTTGGATAACTGATAACGAGTAGTAGAATTGAAATTAGTTAATTTCCCGAAATTAACTGGAAATAAATTGGAAATTTATGACAATTTTTTTTTTGTAAATTATGGGTGCTGAGGTAAACACTTCTTCACTAGATAATCCACTTTATTTCACACATTAAATATATAGATATAATATGTATATTTCTAAAATTAGTTTGTGTTACAAAATAATTACAGTACGAATTAACAACCTTGATTAAAATTAATAAAAGTATAAAAATAAAATGGCAACTTGTAATTAATCGTTGAAATGCAAAATACAACAAGTGCATCATACGTGTTCTGCAAAATAAGAATTTAAAAAAAAATATGGAATTAAAAGATTTCTATTCGTAATAATAAGTCATTAATGGATTAAGCAAACCTACTTGACTTATAAGTCTAACTAACATTTAGATAGAAATACAAGTTGGTTTTTAATTAAACAGTTAAAGGAGTCAACTTCCACTTTTAGCAAAGAAAATTAAGAAAAAATTTAGATTTAAAGGAAAATTCAGCTAACCGAAAAGTTTATCGAAACACGTATGACAATATGGCTTGTCATTTTGTTCCTTGAAAGTGCCCTTATTTAGCTGCTTAAGGCAAAATGCACAAACGAAATGCTCTGGATGAAATTTCCTAAACATGGCTGTGATGCACCGACCGGAAATCGGTTTATGGCAACCGGCACACAACGAACCACGTTTCAAATGGTAATGGGTCTCGCAGTATGGCTGACCTTCGTGGTCAAAGAAGGAGCCACCTATAAACGGCTGGCGACAGTCCTGCAACAACAAAACATGATACAGTATTCGTAAAAATTAATTTTCTTGAGGTAAGATAAATAAAAAAACCTTGAAAACGATATTATTGAAAAAAAAAAAAATCAAACAACTCAAGTGGATGGTACAAACAAGAGTAATTTTTTCCAGTAACCTTAATTAAAACTGATGTTTTTTTTTTTAATATTCTTAAATTTTTGCATACAGGATGTTCCAAATTCGCGCCCCGGAAAAAAATACTAAGATAAGATAAGATTCTGGGGATTTCAATTTTGCACTTTGAACCTATTTATTTCTGTTTAAAAAAATTATTTTGCATGTTTTTTTACTGCAAGTTATTAGAAGAAGAAACAAAGAATCTGTACCCTGAATTATAACTATTTTTAACATTATTTATGGCAATTCTTTTCTACCTTTACTGAATAATTATGAAAAAAAACACAAGATTACCGGTAAAATTAAATGTCAAAATTATTTGGCAAATATAATTTTTTAAACATTTTTTCCATGTTGTTCTGGTACCTTATCTTATTTGGCATTTTTCTCTAAGAAGCGAGTCATGAAACAGCCTGTATATAAAAATATGTTTTTCTTTGTTAACTTTTTGATTTTGACGTGTCCAAAAAACCCATAAAAATATAGAACCGCATGCGTTGTGAATTTTAACATGTTTTAGCACTAGTAATTAATTTACATTTTCGTCGCCATAAAATAGAATAATAAAAATTTACAAATCCATTAACGTCCCTTCATTACCGTCTGCTATTAATTGAGCTGTCTTGTTTCACGTCGCCATTAAATGGGAATTAAATTAGCAAATTGAATGAAATAAATCACGTAGAGAAAAATTACATTTCGAGTTTGGCTCGTCTAGTTGCTACAAATCAAGGCCAAAAACGTGGTGCAACAAAAACCATTAAATAGAACGAGACAGAATACAAGTTTCATAAATTCGTCCTATATTTTCGTCTAGGTATACAACCTATAAATAATCCTGGCTTAAATATGATGTACAAAGACGTAGCAACTGACCCAATAAACACACAATTTATGAAACAGCCACTAAGGCCTCACCTGAGCAACAACGCAGCGCTTATGAGCGCGCAGAAAATTGCTCTTTTTTTTTGAATGTGTGTATTTTTTGTGTTTTTATTTTTTATTAAATCTTTATTATCTCAATATAATACAAATATACAAGACTTTGCTCTTATTTATGGGACAGGGTTAATATTTATTTGGGAGTGGTTTATCATATTTATTCATCTTCTTCGTCCTCTCTGCCGATGCATCCTGGACACACCGGTTTGCCTTCAACCGCATAAAACGACTTCCCTTGTACCGGCAACTTGCAATCCTATGATTTTAACTTTAATACCTGCTTTCCTCATTTTTTTTGCTTTTTTAATGTGTGAAGGGCCCCGTCGATACTTACCCTGCAAACAAAACAATCGGGATGCCATTGCGCATTCAATGCCGAGATGTAATTTTCCATAATGGCCCTATTACAAGCCCCACACTTGGGGGCAAACATATCAAAGTAATCGTCCCTACAGTAGGGTTTCCCTTCGCGTTCATGGAACCCTTCTTCGCCGAATTGCTTTCCGCATTGCGCGCAGAAGAAGTGTTCCATGTGCCATGTTTTTTCCAGCGCGGTCACGCATTTCTGTAAATAGACCGGTCAGAAAGTAGTTTTTTCAGCACCCGCTGACCTACATCCAAGATAGGTCCGTTACAGTACGCGCATCGCGGACTGAAAAGATTATGGTAATCCGGCTCGCAGTAGGGCTTCCCATCCCTCTCAAAGAAGTTCCTCGTGCCGAGCTCTTGAGTGCAGTGGGCGCAGGTGAAGTGCTCCGGATGCCAGGTCTTGCCCAAGGCGGTGATGACTTGTCCTACGATTGGTTTATCGCAGGCGTTGCAGCAGCCCTTCTGGCTGGTGTTGACCCCTTGTCGACTCATGTCGGCCTGGAGATTACCAAGCATAGAATCCAAATTCTGTTTGGGAGCGCTGTGGGATTGCGTCGCTTTCGTGGGGCGCGCGTACTGTGAATCGGTGACCGTCTGGTGCTGGGGCTGGCCCTGGTTCACCTGCGAACAGAAAGGTCAGGGAAAAAAAGCGATTTGGTGGTGTCGAGAGACCAACCGTCGATGAGGATGTTCGGAGGAAACTGAACAACCGCCTGCTTTTCACGACCAAGTAAAATTTTCACTCCCCTCCCCCCCCTCCCGGCATTCCCGAAAACCGGGCTATTTTTGTGGAACTGTGGCGGGATTCTTATTATGTCACAGTGTTTCTTCTCTAGCATACGAACGATGCATAAGCCGCTTTGTTATTATTATTTTCACTTACATCACGGTTCGAAAAAGCGCGGACCAGAAAATACGCCCACGCGACACGCATGATTTTATTCTTTTCGGTTATTTTTAATTGTTTTTGGCGTATTTTTAACAACCATTCATATAATTAAGATACAAATGTATTTATAAACCCATTAATCATGCCGAAAAAATTCCACTTACCTTGATTCCAGAGAGACTCGCCATCAAATCATCGAGTTCCCGAGTGGCTGTTGAAGCTGCAGGGGCCGTAGACGTGGTGATATGAGATGATATCAATTCTGTCTCGCCAGGATAACCTGTCTCGGTTTTTGTTTCTTTCACTGTGATCGTCACTTTTTTCGGACCAGTATAAATCACTTCACTGGAAATTATTTAGTTATCAACGTGACTGACATTTACATTAGGAAAAGATGATACCAACCGCATGACTTATGACCAGTGGCGCAACTCATTGTCTCAAAACAATGCGCAATTTAAAAGAAAATATGCAAAGTACGAGAAGAGAGAGAAAAATCAAGCATTTTGTGTATTAAAACAACAAATTATTTAATAGTAACACAAAATAATTTTGTCTCTTATTAGTTCTTGAGTAAGTCTGTAAAAATGTATTGCTTAATTGTTTTCAAAATTAAAAAGTTGACTAAACTAAACAAATGTGAACCCTATTACGATTTTGCGAAACTTTGTTGGATTTAAAGCAGTAAGTAATTGTCTGAAAAAAAATTGTACGTGATATTAGGGTAAAGTAACATTACAGTTTGAACACTGTAATATATAAAGTAATAAATTAGACTATTGCACTTTCTAGAAATAATACATTTCGTCTGAAGAATTTCACATAAATGAAATAAATATTAACATTTTATTTCAATACAGGAATTACAGGATGAGTCATATAGTACAATAAAGACCCTAACCGATTTTCAGATGCAACCCAAAATACATTCTCAGACATCACTATGCGTTAATTAATGTTCTGTTTAAAATTTTTCAAAGAAATAAACATAGATACCTGTGATAGCTTTGACAATTTTTATAAATTGGAACCCTACGGTGTACCTTTGACGGTTCAGATTCAGCCACAGCATTTTGTGGCATTCTCCATTTGTCAAAATCATGTCAGTGTTTTCATCGTTTGAGTATACAGGTGCGCCAGAACTTGCGCCCCAGAACTCGCGCCCCAGAGAAAAATGCCATATAAGTGAAGATACCAAGAACATAGAAAAAAATGTTAAAAAAATTTTATCTATAAAAATTTCGATGTTATGAGGGTTTAAAGTTTGCATTTTGATTCTATTTATTTCTGTTGGAAAAATAATTTTACAAGTTTTTTTTGCTATAGGCTATTAAAAGAGGAAACAAGGAAGCTGTATTCTATATCCTATCCTATATCCTATTGTAACTCTGTTCTACTGTTCAATGTTACTTGTGGCTTTTATTGGCAAAATTATTGTCCCTTTACTAAATAATTGCAAAAAACAGATACAAGATCATTAGTATCTTTAAATAGATATAAAAAAGTGTAGGATGTCAAAAAATATGTCAAAATTTTTTGACAGATTGAATTTTTTAAACATTTTTTTCATGTTCCTGGTATCTTACCTTGCTTGAAAATTTTCTCTGGGGCGCGAGTTCTGGCGCACCCTGTATTTTGAATTCAAGAGAAAAAAAAGTGGAATTTTTGACACTGCCAAATTTAACAAACGACATATCAACAATTACTTTGATTTAAATTTAATGAATTAAATTTTTCAAACGCACAAAAAGCAAAGTTGACTGTGAGAATGTATTTTGGTTTACGTCTAAAAAGCGGTCAGGCTCTTTAACATTGTAATGGTTGACACGATTTTTATACCTTCGCTGAAAGTTATAATTTCTCATAGATTTTGAGACACTGAGTCCAGAAAAATATTTAAAAAAGTCCACCACATCACGTATAAAAAATTAACAAAAATACAAAAACCGCCAAACAACAAATGCAAAATGTGTTATTTTTATTTTGCTTTGTTTTTATACTTTTTTGGATCAGTTTCTCTTATAACAGTCTAACAGTAATTCCCTCACATCCCAAAAAAAAACCTTTGTGCCGATCTTGTTGAAAACGCTCGCCTTGTGTAAGTGACTCATGCAGCCTAAGTTTTCAGAAAAGAAGTCCAAATGCGAGTCAATGAAATGTTTTTAAAACCCATTTAGACCCATCTGGTAATAATTTTGTAATAATTCATCAATAATTTGAATTTTAAATAAATTTTAAATCGGAGGTATTCATGCAGAAAGCAAGAAAATTATTGTTCGTAACAAAAACGTGACGTGATAAAAAAAGTTAAACTGTTATATTTGTTCTAGTGTAATTAAAGAAATATTAACGCTAAGTAGGTACAGTTGTCACTTGAGTGACATTAAATTGTAAAGTATGCTTTAGGACTGTTAACCTTATTTTTAGCTACTGTCAATCATAGTTGACAAATATGTACATAATTTAAGAAAATATAATAGCTGTCATTAATTTGAAATTGTCATTCATTTTAACGTTAAAGCTTGAATTACATTAAAGTGTCAGAAAAGTGACGACCAAAGTATTTTGTCTCCAACTGTACACTATTCCCCTCAATCCGCTTAATTTACAATAACATGACAAGCTTAATTTCTTCAGTTCGGACGAGCATCAGAACCATATCATATTTTGCCTTTGTATCATAAATCTATCGATAACTTAATTTAATTTTTCTTAAAAAAATCAACAAAACAATAGTCATTGTTTTAACAATCTTCGACAGAACAAAAAATCCTTCATAAAACTAAATTACATATTAGCAAGAAATTAAAAATTATATCATCTACTTGATCATCATAAATATACATTTATCTAAAAATATTTTTCTAATTAGATTTAGAGGTGCCAACACTAATGATTTATCTCGTTATTCGTATAAATACTATGAGAAATATAACATTTTCAAAAAATTGAACTTATATTTTAATAGGTAAGTCGTAGATTATTTGAAAATACTGATATTTAAAAAAAAAACGGTATTTCAGTCAAAAAAAAATATCCTTTCTGATGTTGTTACGCCACTGGTGTGACAAACAATGTAACAAATTACACACATCTTGAAACGCTTTACAATTGTCCGCCCAACATTTTTCAAATCGCGCAATTTATTTATCATTGTAGGTTCACATAAAACCTAGTTGAAGTAATTACACACGAGCATTTCCACCTACGTGAACATAACAACGACCAACTTGTAAATTTCTATTTCTGTAAGCGCACTAATAGTCAAAAACAAATCCTTCATTTGGCACAAAACTCTCAATAAAGTTGTTTGTTAAATTTAGATAAACACCTGGTTTAAAAAAAATAGTTATGTTTTATTCTCAATCAGATAAAAAAAACACCTGAAGTAATTAATCACATCTGTACCGAAATAGCAGTAGGTCAACCCGGTGACTTACAGAATCGGTACGTTAACAAATCTTCAAAGCGATAAATTTTCCCATATAAAAAAATATAGGTCGCATTACAACGTTAATGGCTCCGGTGATATAAACCTGATTTTAAGCCAAGAGAAATAATTCTTGCTTACCCGGGATTTAATTCTTCCAAAAGACTATCGACTGTGCGTCTGTTTAAAGTACTTTGGGCACTCGAAGGACGGGAATGAGGGCTCAAACCGCCCGAGCCGTTGTAAGTACTTCCGTTCAAAGTTCCATTCATTCCGTTTTCTGAAAAAAAAATCAATAATAAAAATAAAATTGGAATCAAAATGAATTTTACCTGAAATATTGCCATATCGTGAGTTACTCAAATCCTGCAAGAGAGTATCAAGCTCTGACAGATTGTTATTAAAAGTTCGCTTCTCGCCGGTTCCAGGACCGGAACCATAAYCATATCCCGGAGTTCGGGTACCAGAAGTCGGTTGGGTTTTCCCATAAGTGCCCTGAAATCACAATTAAACGTTTCTATATTCGACATTCAGGGTGTGTTGTCGACTCCGAATTTATTTTCGGAGAGTTATATTCGCTTCAGATTAACTTAAATTTTATATAAATATACAAGACGTGTGTATCTCGGCCACTTAACCAAACATACAACTGTTAATACATCTAAACAGCCCTGTCCTACCGGGAAAAAAACCTGAAAAGAATTTTCCTCGAATATGAGAATCTCTCCTCGCCGAAATCGCACGACCACTTGTTGATCATAATCAACAGGTGGTCGAAAATCCCTCTGGAAAACTCCGCCGACGGATCATAAGTCCATCAATTAGGTGACAATCCCCACCATTTCGGATTTGAAGTAATATTACTCAGTGTGCGACTGCACAAGGTCCCTTTATGGAGCGATCGGCATTCAAATTCGGCGAAAAGAGAGCGAAATAGAGACGTCGACGCTGCCGACGGAGACGACAGGAGTATCGCGACGCCCCACGAGTGGGGTGAGAGGACGGTTTGCGCACGGCGCGACGTCCACGATGCGAGAGAAAAAATTACTCAAAACAAGAAAAGACTTTATGAGAAAACGTATCGTATTGTCTATAAATAAGGATTTTCAGACGGTTCGAAATTTTCAAATCGGATTTCTATTTCGGTGTGCTTCTAATTTTGTGGGTCGAATGCCAATTTTCGAAATTTAATAAACGTGTTATTTTCTAATTGGCCATTTCGAAATTCGATTTTTTTTTCATTTTATGACCGTAAATTATGCGGATAATGAGTTGGCTCGGTCCGAACTATGCTGGACTTAATTTGAACAAGTTAACAATGTTGTCACTTAAATTTATAAAAAATATAAAACGAGATAAAAAAATAAATCGTACAATGTATTTGAAAGTATTTGAAAAAAAGTGGTAAACAAGTTAATTACGTCAAAATTATGTCAAACAACTTATCAAATAAAGCGCCAACATTTTTGTCAGCACTCGTTGTTTCTTGTGTTTATAGAATTCTCACAATTCTAATTATATTCGCAAATGTTTAAAATCATTTATATAGCGATATTTAAATCTTAAAGAATCTTAATCTTAAAGAAAAAGACGTCCCTCAAAGATAAGAAAAAACAGTGACGTAATAGGCCCATCCATCAAAACACATTAAAACTTGAAATTGCATTTTGACGATTTAAAAGGTTTTTATTGGTGCAATAAAATCGACGTTTAGAAAGCATCGGTTAAATATAGCACAACTGGCGCTATCTATTGGAGTGTTTTGGCGAATTCCCGATATTCGCAAAACATCTGCAAGCTTGTTGTTCTAAATATATTATGTATTTGCGTGGTTAAATAAAAGATACCGCCACAATAAAATAATTTTGATGTAGTAAAATTTGAATTTCCAAAATATACAGTCTGTTCCCGGATTAAATTTACAAGAGGAAAAAAAAATTATCTTCCATTTTAAGCCGAAATTGCAAAAGAAAAACATTTTTTACTTCACCTGAAACAAACTAATTCATTTTTCTCTTGATTTTGGACTTGTAATAACTGTAAACTTGTAAACATACAAGTATAGAAAAATTATATAGGAAAATGTAACTGTAGTAGAAAGAATGTATTTTAAAAATATGTGCCACATTTTTCACTTGCAATTAATTTCTCTGTTACATTTTAGATGATAAAGAAAACAACGTTTTTTTCGATAAATCTATTCATACATTTAAAATCTTATAAGAACGTGTAACGCTTTTGTTTTTAAACATTAAAAATGTATTTTCAATATTTTTGGTGCCACTGGATCAATTATTGACAATAATAATTATTTTAAACTACATATTTCTCATGAAATAATAACAAATTTTAGATTTCAAAACTAAAAAGTATACTATGCGAACATGGAAATGCTCCTAAATGTGAAAAATCTCTGTTTTACAATTAAGGGATAAAAATTCTTAAATCCTCATAGTCCCCCTAATTCAAATGGTCACTTTTTTAATCGTAGTGCTAGATATATCAATTTTGTAATCAATAAGTGAAGTAAAGAAACATTTTTCACGCTAGATTTATAATATACATCAAAAGATGTCGCCACACAAATTACAAAACAAAAGCAAACAGTTTTGAAACGACGAGACGTTTTTGAATATCTCCACCTAACACATCGAGATTTGTGACTGTGTTATTCTCAGAATAACTTAAACAAACTTTTTCCAGATGGCGTAACTAATCGTTTACACAGTTCCGCCAAAATAACACTCTTGCCAAAAATCAAAAAGCGACTCACCGATCTAACACCATATGAATCGACTTTCGAGGCGGGACTTTCAACCCCCGATTGTCGACCATCCCTCGAAGTATTCAAAGAGCCATAACCGGAACTACTACCGCCACCCGGAGACACGGTATTCTGAAGATCCGCCAAAAGAGCATCTGCAACACAAAACAAATAATTCAGAATTTAAAACCCACTAAAGAAGTCACTTTATACCGAATTCAGCATACGGGTTTCGAGTTGCGTCCATTTCGTCCGACTTTATCATAATTAATAAATCGGTTGATGATTGAGAGAAATTGGACAAAATGAGTGACTCTCAATTACTCGAAATTAAAACCGCCAAGCCGATAAAAGATGCGTCACAATTTGAGGGAAACAAATGTTATCACCCGGAAAACGGTTATTAATAAAACAATGTTTATAAAATGAAAAATGACAAGGTGGTAGCACTGATTACTTGGAATTTAATAGCAATGCAGACGCATCCTTGGCTTGCAATTAACTGAATCGAGTACCAGTTGTATCAATAATGGACAAACATGCAATTCCTTATCATTGCAAAGTTAACGAACGATAGGCGGAAATTTGCAGTATTGCAATCATTTGATTTTATTTACATATGGAAATTCTTTTCGCATGACCCCATCGATAATCGATCAAATTTGTTGTTATTCAATTTATGTCGATTACATAAACAAATTTGTTTTAGTAAAATTAGTTCGACCTTGAGGACCATTTATGTGCTGACTTATTTTTATTCAAGACGTAGTCGTGGGCTTGCCTCTCAATTAACAAAATTAGTTATGAATTGATATGTCAATAGTGAATCCTCACGACTCCAACTAAATTCGTGTCACTGGTTGCCTCAATAACAATAAAAATAAAAAATGTTAGCACATTTTTGACTTTGTTCCATTTCCAGGACCCCACGTGACCGCGTACCTACTTACTTAAATATTGCTCCCATTCGGCATGCGATTTAAACCTCATCACTTTCTTCTTCCTCTCCAGTGTCGTCGGAGGCGAAGGGTCGAAAGTGACCGTTTTCGGTGACGGCGTACGCGTGCGTATTTTAGCACTCATTTTATAATTATTATTTTTTCAAACACGAAGCGAGAAAAAAACAATAGTTTTGGGAAGATCCCGACTATGACTAACTGTTGCACCCGCGAGTTTTGGCAAACCTGGACGTGTCCGGTTATAAATAGACCACTTGCGGAATCACGAAAACTCCACCTTTTCCACCTTACGTAAGTCGCATTTTCGCAAAATTTTCCGGAAACGATTTGTCGGAAACGTGAACGACAAGACTGAAGTAAATTTAGACGATGCGAGTGTCTCCACGATCGACTGATTTAGAAAATCGTCCAAGGATTGAAATACGTCCAGAGTTACAACTTTTTATTGAAAAAACCTACGATTGTTAAACCTACGCGGTATTTATGACCGTGGACTTTTACAGACATTGCGTACTGGGAAAACATAATTGGAAATAAAAACAGGTGAAATCGAAAAATAAATGCCACACATTTTACTCGTTTATTCAACACTCTCTTGAATACAAATTTTATCAAAATTAGGTCAACATGAAATAATTTTCTCTAACATTACTTTAACTGGAAATTCAAATATAGTTATAGTTCAGTAAAACTAAAAAGTCAATTCCGGAACTTCCCCTACAATTCAAAAACGAATCTCAAATCAACTTCAAATTAAATAAATTCCTTTATACAAGCAATTCTAACGCACTGGATGCCAACTTCTCATAAATTTACTAACACCTGGACTTCAACAACCCTCTCTCAACTCCCGCAATTCCGGTCTTACACATGCTTAAAATCTTTTCCACATCTTCCATGTTTTCCACTACTATTAATTAATTAATTAATAATCAATAACAAACGCCCGAAATTTCACTAAAAAAATTTCAATTAAAAAAGATGACATGCCTAAACATTTCAAAACGAAATACTCTTACTTTTAATCCACTGTTATTACGATATAATTGAAAAAGAAAACACCTTTTCACTCATTTATTCGGTATTTTCATCACTGTAGTCCAAGATTGGTTCATCACAATTGAATTTTTCCCTAACAATCCTCAAAACGGACTTTTGGATCAACTCAACGTCCTCACTCGGTGTATAATCATCCTCTGTTGACCGTGACACAGTCACAATCACTGGAGGTGTCTTCAATCCTTCTAAAACTCCCCGAAAACGCTCAAACATAACTCCCAATTCTTCACAACTTGACACATGATGAGGCAGCTCCGTATCATCACAAGTGCAACCCGCATCATGAACCAACTCCCAATCGATTTCTTCCTCCGTGTAAAACTTCAACAACTTATCTCTCAATTCCCGAACTTCACTCGGAACGTCATCCGGGAGACACTTCCTTTCTTGCATGTGCTTGAAAATCCTTTCCAAAATTTCAATCTGCTTTTCCCGCTTTGACATACATTCAAAAATATCATCACAGAATTTCTCAAATTTATAAATCTCTTTCAATTTGTTGTAAGTACCAGCCTTGTCATAAATATTCTTGAACGGATTACTCGTACTGAAAAAATCCAAATCAATGTCCAGAATGTAGGGTCCCTCGACTTCGGTCAAAAGTTTTTGTTCAAAATTCTCCCCCAGTGTTGCAACCCTCAAAGAAATTTCTCTAACACCCTCCAAATCTTCCGTTTTGGCGACCAAACACTCCGAAACGAAATAATTCTCTTTACAGTCGACCCGAATGTGGCCGTTTTTATTCCTCCCGATCAAAAATTTCTGATCACTGTCTTTAATCTGATGAGCCCATGGCGGCTTGATCCACCAAAGAGTCTTGAAATGACCAGCGTAAGCCCCTGGTAACATCCAATTTTCGATACTAATTTCCTCGAACAGTTTCTCTTTTTCGTACACGAAATTCTCAGGCATATTTTTGGGAATTAACATATCAGGATGCGAGTCAAAATGTACCATTGTGTTACCCTCCAAAGGCAAGAACTTCGCCCCCATATTGCGATAAATATGGGGCAAGACTTCATGATGATACTCTACCACATAAATCGGAATTTTTTCACGTTTCCGGCAACCTGTTGACGAAAAATCACTTTTAAACACTCACACACCACACCAACGTTTCGTTCCGCGTAAAACCGACATCATCAGGGCGAAAATTTCCAAAACTTACCACTCATTTTTCAAAGTGAAACAAATCGAAATCACCGACAAACCGCACTCGTTACCTTTTACAAATGACATCATCTTGACGTCAGTAATGTACATATGTGAGTGTTTAGACACATACGATAACAATAGGGAAGTTACAAGATTTGTTGGGCGGAAATATCAGACGTTCGTGGCATAAATGATTGATAAAAAAGAGTTCGTTGGACTCAAATTTTCTCAAATAAAATTAATTTCGATTTATCGGTTTGGAAGAGTGTGAAAGTGTGAATTAACGGTGTCAAGTCGCAGGAAGAGGACACAAACAGCAAAGCTGCAATTATGTTGCATACTTAGCAGGAATTGCTAATAAATCAAATGTTTATCGAAAAAAATCACAATTACGTAATTTACTACTTGAAAATACGAATGAATCAAATTTACGACATCTATTAATACGTCAGGGTCTGTTTTAAATAATTTCAATCGCAGAGTTAAAAAAAAAGGATGTCTTTATTAGAGGTATTAACAGGAAAAAATAAACATATCAAATTGGTGATAAAATTAACAAAGTATTGAATAAATTTTGGAAAATTCTGACTTTAATGAGGAAGTACCTAATCATATCAAATTGAAAATGATCTCATTTATCTCATGTGTGTGCTATTTTATAACAAAACGCGACTACCAGACCGAGTAACCCCAATGATCTTTTTGTTTTGTTGTTTTTACATCAGAGTCGTTTTAGACAGCCATTTGGACACTTGCCATCTTTATACAGACAATAGATAAAAAAAGGGAAAAAATCTCAATCGAAAAGAAAATTTACAGATTGATACACCTGTTTACAAGTTATTTGTTTTTAAAGAGGAAAAAAATGTAAACAAACGACTTACATCCGGGGGAAGTCCCATTTTTGAGTGTGCACTGATAGGGGTGTAAAGTCCCGGGCACAATTTTCCCATACATCGTACGATCCATGATCGCGTAAAACAAAAACTAAAGCGCCAAATTCAAACGTCTGTCAAAAGTTCGCACACGGCCAAATCACGTGGTCTTCGCGACACGACCGAAAACATGAAGAAAACTCGCGGACATATCTATGATTATTTTTATTTTCCATTTTAATTTTATTTACAAATGTATTTTGGCGCGTGCGCGACGTTCAAATTTAGACTACTGCCCACAAAACGATACCGGCGCCAAAAAACAAGAGAAACGAAAAAAAGAAGAGAATTTTACCGGAAATTTTCGAGATTAATCACATTTTCCGACACTTATTAACCGGTCCAATTTTAGCCGGTCATTAAAGGCTTTATTTTCGGAGTGCTGTAACGGCTCGACTAAAACGACTTTAAATATTTACAAAATAACGAGCGGACAATTAATGCAAAACTTGTCGATATGGAGGGGGGGGGTTTCACATGGTAATATAAATATGATGTAATTGTGTACAAACAATCGTCTTTTTGTGAGATTGGCAACTTCAAGGTCCCATCTCCTTAGAAAATAGGTTGCACTTTCTCGCTTTGCCTTATATGTGTGTAGATTTAATTTGTCGGCGACGTAATATGTTTCATAACGAGGTCAAAATGGACTTTTATTGAAAACTGATCCGAATTTGTTAAGTTTGAGATGACACAAGACTGAATAATGAGACAGGAAACGCTAGAAATAGTCCTTCGCATCCGACTGAAAGAGTTTTATAAAAAGACCCATTCATTATGTAGAAAGATGAAGCTACAAATACTGTTTTATAATTCGTATTGCCAGCTGCCGGCAAATTAAATTTAGAATAATCTAGACTGAATTAAAGAAGTTACGTCAGTTTAATTGACACCTGTCAGTCTTCAATTGTTTACAAAAATTACACCTCGTTAACATTTTTGCAACCGCTGATCGCTGACCTTCCACTTTATCAAGTATTGCACTAATTTCCAAAAATTCCAATTTGGTATTATCAAAATTACCGTTTAATTTAATTTCAATCATTACTGATGGCATCCGTATTAATAATGTGTTAACTTACAAATAAATTTAGGTTATGCGCCAAAGCAGGTGGTTTAGATAAGCGAAGCGTTTGTGTCCTTACCTAGGTCATCCATGATAACTAGCTGCCGTTCTAATACTAATTTTAAGTGAAATTTGTAAACTACATCACGAATTATGAGCACTTTTAAGGAAAATGACCTTATTTAGACATTTTCGCAGAACCACAAATGTCAAGATATAAAATTCCAGACGGTCAGTGTGGGCAACCTTGAAAGAAGTAAACAACGATCAAACAGCGGCTCTCAACAAGTTTTTGCAAAATTTTGAAAAACGAAATGTGGACTTTTACAGTTTAAGAACGTATGAATTATCTTAACAAGTTGCTCTCTTTATCTATGACACGTTATAACAACGTAGTGGAAATTACTTTGAATTATGATAAAAGTCAGTGAGGACCTTAAAAAATGTGTTAATAATTTATGATTAATATAAAGGTAATATTAGATTAAAACACTGAAAATCTTTAACATAAATAAAAAATTGGTTTTATTGCTATCGTTTTTTTTATTTATTTTTGTCATCATCAATGGTGAAGTCCCTTGTCTGTAAACCCCAAAGTCCCAGAGATAAAAATATTCAAATCATAGACCCCACAGGTCATCGTTTATAAATGCAGAAATTCGCGGAGGTTACTTTCGTGTTGTTCCATTAAAGGACGTGCATATTAAATAAACAATAAATGAATTAAATTTTGCACACAAGGCAACAGTTAAATATGGAAGGAAAGTTCGTGCTTATTTTTGCAATTTTGCACCAAATTCTCGCTCGAACAGGTAAAAAGACGTCGTTCAAATCCCATTTATGTTTTAATGAGGTAGTTTCCAGAGTCAAATCTGCCGACAGTATGCCCCGAAATTGTGAGTCGAACTAGATGGGGGGCACGCACTCCTTTGGAAATCGATTACGCCCTGATCCCCGTTGAAAATGTGGTCGTCCATCACACTGTGACCAATACTTGTAGCACAGAAGACGAATGTGCGGCAATTTTGCGAAACATTCAAAATTTCCACATGGAAAACTTGGATTTCCACGATATTGGATACAAGTAAAATTTAACATTTGTTTTTTATTTTTTTAATTTTTTCCACAGTTTTTTAGTGGGTGGTGATGGTCAGATTTACGAAGGTGCAGGCTGGCACAAAGTGGGGGCTCACACACGTGGTTACAACACTCGATCCTTGGGCCTCGGATTCATTGGTACTTACACGAGTAAGTTGTTTTTTTCATGATATTTTTATATTTTATGAGTCTTTTTACAGCTCAACTTCCAAATAACAAGCAAATACAAGCCGTTAAAGATTTTCTTCAGTGTGGTGTTGAATTGGGAGAGTTGGGCAAAAATTTTAAATTGTTTGGGGCGCGTCAAGTTAGTTCTACTGAAAGTCCGGGCCTGAGACTCTACCGTGAATTACAAAACTGGCCTCACTTTACCAGATCTCCTCCTAAATAAACTGTATTATATTTATTAATTGTATTTTTAAAGTGTTTTAATAAAATTAAAAAAAAATCTGATTTTGTTTTTGATATTTAATTTAAAAATAGCGCCCTGTTGGTGTTGTGGTTGGTTGGTTGGTGAAAGTGGGGTTATGTTATTTTGATTTTGCTAAGTTAGGAAGTGAAAAACATATAAAAATGCCGAATTGGGATCAAATTCAAGCGCAGTTAAAACACCCAGCGAACCCAGTTGTGTTTTTTGACATTTCTGTTGGAACTACGGTATAAAATATCATCGAGATCTTCAAAAACAGTAATATTTCTTTTGTAGGAGATCGGCCGAATGATTTTTGAGTTATTCGCAGACGCGGTCCCCAAGACCAGCGATAATTTTCGCCAATTTTGCACCGGAGAATTCAGAAAAGACGGCGTGCCATTGGGTTATAAGGGGGCTAGTTTTCACAGAGTTATCAAAGATTTTATGATTCAAGGGGGCGATTTTGTCAATGTAAGTATTATTTTAGTGTGATCTCGCAACTAAGATATTTTTTTAGGGTGATGGTACCGGTGTTATGAGCATTTATGGTGGCGGAACGTTTCCTGACGAAAATTTTAATCTTAGACATGACGCTCCAGGGCTTTTATCCATGGCAAACAGTGGCAAGGACACCAACGGTTGTCAGTTTTTTATAACTTGTGCTAAATGTAATTTTTTGGATGGCAAACATGTGGTTTTTGGACGTGTTATTGACGGATTACTTGTTATGAGAAAAATAGAAAATGTACCCACAGGACCTAATAATAAGCCTAAAATTCCAGTCACGATTATACAGTGTGGCCAAATGTAGTAAAATAAGTGTAATAATTTAAGATTTTTTAAATAAAAGCTCTAAAATGTGAATAATTAATTTTTTGTTTCTTTGGATTGGTAGACCTGTTTAATAATCTATTCATAACCTCAGTTGTCAAAAACGTAAATAAACGCGAAATGGAAAATAAAAAAATATCCTTCGGTTTCAGCAAAATTAGTAAAAAGGCCGAAATTAAGTCAAATATTTCTAAACCTGAAAATAAAGTACAGTTAATAGAGTGTTTAGAAGATCAATCAATAAAAATAAAAGAGTAAGTTTCGCATTTGAGGTTATGTTATTTTTGCTAAAAATTACATTTTTAGTTGTGTTGAAGAAATAAATAAGCCACTAGTGATACCAATTCAAGGGCCATCAAATAAGTTAATAGATCAAATAAAAAAAGCAAGAGAAAAACACATCAAACTTGAAATTAAAGAGGAGGAAAATTCTGTACCGGACTCTGCCCTGTCTCTTGATGAATTAGCAGCAAGAGAACTAATTCGAGGTAATTTCATAATGTTTTAATTGAAATGTTTTAAATTTTTTATCAACAGAGGCGCAAAATCGTAACACTGTACAAAGTGAATCAAAAGTTTACTCACTGCCTTTAAACGAAGAAAAATTTGTGGCGGAAGGGGCACAAGAATCTTCTCTTGATGATTACGAAAGTGTACCAATTACAGATTTTGGTATGGCAATGTTGCGTGGAATGAACTGGAAAGAAGGAATGCCTATTGGGAAAAGAACTAAAAAGTCTGTTTAATTAATAATATGAAGACTTCCCTAACTTTTTTTTTTCTAGAACTGAGGTACCAAAAGTCCCAGAATTGCGGCCCAAAGGTTTGGGTTTGGGTGCAAATAAAATGGTAACTTCTAACACTCCTACACAAAGTGTAGACAAAGAGGGAAAAGCGCTCCAACTTGTAAAAGGGGCTTACGGTAAAATAATAGCCGGAAATCACAGAAGTCAATACTGCCAAGTCCAAGGTTTAGATGATGAAAACTGTAGAGTTATAGTAAAGACAGCTCTCACAAATGAGATTTTAAGTTTAAATGAATTTTTAATCGTGCCTGTTACTAGTGAGGAGTATAATAAATGTTCAAGGGTGATAAGTGAGTAGTTTTCTCTTTTATCAAAGTTACGATTAACTACTTGGTTTTAGATAACGCTAAGTATGAGGAACATGTAGAAAAATCGCGGAAGATGGAACGAAGTTGCTCAAGATCACGTAGCAGGTCTAGGGAAAGAAAACGTTCTCCAAGTCGCGAAAAGAAGCATAAGAAAAAAACAAAAAAGAGTAAAAGCAAGTCACGAGATTCAGATTCCGACAATGACATCAGGAGGAAGAAGAACAAGAGGCATTCAAGACATGAAAGTAGCGATAGCGAGTCAGAGCGTCACTACAGGCGCAAGGGCAAAAATAAGAGATAACAAATTAATTAAATATATTTTACTATAAACTTTTTCTTTTGTTGGCGGTAACCTCTACAATTACTGTCCCTGTTCCAATTGAAATTTATGTGTGTCATTTTGGCCAATTACGGCACCAATGCGATTACAATGGACTTGCTGTTAAAATAGACTGATTTTGGCTGAAGGTGTCGCAGTGCTGAATTTGCGGTTTACTCATTCTTGGCGACTATGAATCGTGAAATAAACTGTTTGTGAAAGTCACATTTGATTGAAAAATATACAACCGGTTTGTAAATGCAGTTTTAGCAAATTACGGAATATATTAGGAATTTATTAGTTACATGACACGGTAAGTTACCACGACTCAATTTTTCTATGTTAAAAATTTAGAGGTGATATTGGGTATTAGTGGTAATTTATTAAGAGACATTTTTAGATTATTTTTCTCGCAGTGTGATAAATTACGAGTGGCGACTACAAAGGAATTTCCGTGAGTTTTTTTTATTTATAACATCCAAAAGTTTTATTATTACGTTTTATTTTGGGCAAGTTCAGAGTTGATGCTAATTCAATTACGATTGCAATATATTATGTACAGAGTGTTTAGCTCCAACCTGAAAACCGTTTATTGTCAAAAAAAGGAAAATTTAATTATTTTTGAACATTACGACTTAATTGAAATAAAAGGCAAGAATTTCGAAAAATCGGCATGGTTTAGTAGTATTACTTCCGACACATTTATCTAGAAAATTTCAACTGTGTTTACCGTTTAAATAAATTTATTTTTAAAAGCTTGTTTTTCAGAAGCTACACAAAATTTTCTTCAAATTTTCTATTGCTTTCTTATAGACTTGAATGTATACAGTTTTAGCATAAAGAATAAAAAAAAATGTTTTAAGTATGAATTTAATTTGCAAACAATGCCATATCATTAGCGCAGTTTAAACAATTTAAATTCTCGAAGCAGTAATCATCTAATTGCATTGTAAAATCGTAATAATGTATTTATTAGTGATTAGTGAGATTTTGTTGATATTATACAAAAATCAATGAGCCATAAAAAATTAAAGCAAACGAGCATAATTTAGCCCCTCATTAGAGAAATTACATGTTTTGCGATAAGCTTTTACCACGTGGATAATCAACCGTTTTTAACAAATCGTAAAAATGCCTGTTTTCCCATTTTCCATGTTAACGTATAAGCGCTGTGGGCCGAATCAATATCTCGCAACTGGAATTAGTTCAGTTGTGCAGTTACGTTTTGAATCCTTTGCAGATAGGTCTAATCGCTTTCTAGCTTAAATTTTGCTTTGCTTTTACCAATAAAAGTGTCAGTAATAAAAAGGATTTGTAAGATTAATAAAAACGGCTAACAGAAAAGTTTTTTATTTACTGGCCACTCCACACGTGGAATGGAAGAAAAGTCTTCAAGATTTTCGGGTAACGATTTGTTTTTCCTTTCATCAATTTATAATGTTAATTGATGACCGGCTTAATGAAGCGTTATTAGTTAGGCGCGACTTGCTTTATTGCTATAAAAGCGATATATCAGTCGTGTAAACAGTTTTGTGGCTGGGTTGGCAGTGTGGGGCAACATGAACAAAGATGGTATTTTTTCAATTTTTCCTATCCCAAAAATATCGACTTTTGTGATTTAACTACACTAAAAATTCTTGCTCGGGTAATATATTGATTTTATGAAAATTTTCCTATTTAGTGCCCATTTAATCAATTCAAGTTGACGGAATTAGGCCAAAGTTCTCTCACGTATTTTGTTATTTTTGTAAAAATAGATTTTGCTATGCATTGGCGCAATTGCAAGCTTCGTATGAATCCATGAATGAAATTTAGGTCAAGTCAGAGTTTTTTTTTTGTGGAACATTTCTATGTTTCTCAATTATTTATTGGAGTTTTTGATTAAAACATGTATGATTACTAACGCGAAATTACAAATACCACTATCAGTAACTATTTGTTATAATTTTCGCTACACTTTTCTGAAATAATGGAGTAAGTGCGTCATCGCCCCATCGATTTTACAAAAAATTACTTATGTCTTATTGTCTGTGGACAGTAAACACGTAGATACCAATTGTACGCTTGTAATGGCCATGTGCCAAGTCAAGTTAAAACCAAACAGCAAATGTCTAGCATTTTATTCGATAACCAAGTGCTTTGCCCTTCCGCACCTAATTTTCTCTTGTCTTCATGTTTCTAGACTATTTATTTGCCCAAATGTCATCCGACACTGCCGATGCAAAAGTGGAATGTACAGAACAGCCAGGTGAAAACAAAGAGTTGACCGGAATAAAAAAATGGATTGCGGAAAATTTACTTCTTCTATTGACCCTCCTAGGAGTTGCCGTTGGCGCTATTGTCGGTAAGTAAAAATCATGTATTTAATTCGGGTCGAAAACCTTATCCTGGTATCCCAACAGCTGTATTTGAACACGTGTTTGTATTCAAATAAAAATGAATTAATAAACATAACTACGCATTGGCGAAAATTTTCCAACCGATTATCCGAATTTGTTACTCGGGTGATTCGATCAATAAGTAATATTGTGTCGATTGGGAGTGCAGGAGTATTAAACAAGCAAACCCTGATTGTAATAAGCTTTCGCTCGGATTTGCCAGTGATGATTATCACTTTTTGCATTTGTAAATTTCTCTATGATGCAACAATCTCTCAATAATTAACCTTGGCCTTGGATTTATTTCTAAATAAGAAGATTTTTATTGTGTGTTATGGGTCTTCTTTTAAGTACATAACACTTCCGATACTTCACACGCGCTCTAAACTAGAGTAATCGTCACAGAATTGAAAAAAAATTCCGAGTAAACAAAAATTATATTTAGCGTCGCGTCAACGATTAATTAAAAATGATTTTCTGGGTTCAAAAATACGCCTCCCTTTTCCTGGACTGGCATTATTTCAAAACGTTAATTGCTGCTCCAAATTCCACTTTTTCAGGTTTCGGCCTCCGTCCTCTGCCTCCATCAAAAAGCACAATAATTCTCCTGTCATACCCAGGAGAACTGTTCATGAGGATCCTCAAACTGATCATTTTGCCTTTGATCATGTCCAGTCTGATCGCAGGAAGTGCGAGTTTGAATGCACGCCTCAACGGGCGAATCGCCTTGAGGACCTTCCTGTATTTTCTGGCCACTTCGGTGATAAATGCAGTGTTGGGGGTGATCCTCGCCGTACTCATGCATCCAGGTGATCCCGGACTTAAAGCTGACAAAATCGAATCGGAAGTCCAGAAACGAAGCGCTTCCGTGTTAGATAGCTTATTGGACTTGGGAAGGTAATCACTTTGGCTAAATTTAATCCGACGCAACACATTCGCCACGAGCAGGTCGGGTTTTAGTTGACATTGTACACCAATCGAGAGACACGCACACAAACAATTTTGGTTTACTTGGAATTTTTATTTTTAGAAACGTCGTCGCCGATAATATTTTTCAAGCCACTTTTCAGCAAGTAAGTACTTACGGGAGCTGACGAGGGGTACTTATTCAAATTCCAAAATTTTTAGTTTTAAAATAGGCAACCAACAATACATTTCCCGCTGAAACAAAATGGAAACTAGCCTGAAATTCTGTAGAAACTTAATTTTAACATACCTAAATGTCAGCATGGAAAACAATAAAAACTCACTTCAAAATTCTTATTTCTCAAAAATGCAATAGAAAAACTTCTACAAAATTTGTTTTATCGCTTCTGATGCTGCTAAATCCGCCGTTTTGAAAATGTTTATTTTAGAATAGGGATCCTTACTGTGTTAAGTAAGTTCCAAAAATTACAAGTGGGTTCCATGTTACCAAAACTAAATAATAAAATTGCAATTTCAAGGGGTTGGTGCAAAATTTGATCTCTACAAATTTCAATCTGATTAAAATTCGTCAGTTCTTTGACTAAAAAAGGGAAAGGCGAAAGGTTAATTGTCGTTGTCTATTATTATCATGCTAATAAATAACTACCCCCTGTCTAGTCCCGGTTTGTTTGCGTGATTGCGAGGCAGATGGTACAACATTTCGATTTTCCAGGCCCACACTGATTACGTCAATGTGACCGAAAGAGTCTTTAACGAAACAAGCGGCGTATTTTATACCATTGACGTCACAATGGCGGTAATCAAATACAGATCAGGAACCAACACGATAGGCATCGTTGTTTTCTGCCTGGCCTTCGGGACAATCCTTGGGACTCTGGGTCAAAAGGCCAAGATCGTGATCGAGTTTTTCTCCGTGATTTTCGACGTTGTGATGAAGATGGTCACTGGTGTGATTTGGTTGACTCCCATTGGGGTCAGTAGCGTCATCGCCGGGAAGATCCTCTCAGTGAACAATATCGCCCTTGTGATGGCCCAGTTAGGTTGGTTCATCGCTACTGTTATAATAGGTGTTTTCATCTATCAGCTCGTAATAATGCAAGCGATTTACTGCTTATTCTTGCGCAAAAACCCGTTCAAGTTTTACTTGGGCTTGGTCCAGGGGACCTTAACGGCCTTTGCTACAGCTTCCACAGCTGCTGCGCTTCCTGTCACGTTCACTCTCATGGAAGATAAGCTCAAAATCGATTCCAGAATCACGAGGTTTGTTTTGCCGATTGGATGTAATATTAATATGGACGGGACGGCTCTCTTCGTAGCAGTAGCGTCGGTGTTTTTTGCCCAAACCAATAGTATTTATTTAGGAGTTGGAGAACTCATCACGGTTTGGTAGTCCTCATCCGATTTTTATCGACAGTTTATTAATAATGTAATTCCAGTTTCGCATCAACTGCGGCATCTTTTTCCTCTGCCAGTGTCCCTAGTGCCGCGCTGGTGCTCATTCTGATGGTTCTCACAGCTATTGACATTCCTGATCAAGATGTATTCCTCCTATTTGCCGTTGATTGGCTTGTGTAAGTTCTAATAAAACTCACTGCTTTTCCAATGACCTGAATTTTTTAGAGATCGATTTCGTACCACCAATAACATGTTAGGTGATTGTTATGCGGCTGCTGTTGTTGAAAAACTGTCGAAAAAAGAATTGATGGCTTGCGACGCAATTCTTTTCCAGGTAAAATATATCACCAGTTATAAATATTGTCTTACAATTTTTTTCTGCAGGAATCGAGCAGTTTCGATAATAACACACAAAAAGACTTCGAACCTAGTGATATTGTTATAGATCGTGGACTAAACAATGGTGCTACAAAGTAAAATGCAATATTTAACAAAACCCTAAATTAATTTGTGATGCTAGTTTGTACACACCATAGTTTTAGGACTTTAGCTCAATATGAATAAACATATTTATGTATACATATCGAACATTATTTTTTATGAAAATAACCTTATTCCACCTACATTTCCAGTATTTTAAACCCAAAAAGTTCAAATTAAACTTTTGGCGCGTGGAGCTACCGTAGCGCCACCTACCACAACATGCGCTTGATTTTTAAAATTGATTAATTAAAAAATTAGATAAATAATTTCTTAATTACGTGCATAAGACAATATAAGTGATTTTGGTAAGTTCACCCTTGTAGCGTGTTTGGTTGTTAAATAATCGTAGCCGCATTTTAGCATAACCCCACTTTCAGTTGTTGACACAACACACAACACTAACCTCAATTTTTTGTTTGGCGGTGCACGTGTTAATAATGGGTGAAATAAAAACGGAGCCTCAAGACGGGGCCGACGACCAGAAGGAAGAAGAATTGACCTACGAACAGAAAGTTAATAACTGCAACGCAATTGCAAAACCAATGGCTTCGAAGAAATTGACAAAAAAAGTATACAAATTGGTGAAAAAAGGTAAATAAACCGCAGTTTTGGCCACATTACTGATAATGGGGTTTGTTTTTAGCTGTAAAACACAAAACGTACGTGCGGAATGGCTTGAAAGATGTCCAAAAGCGGATTCGTAAGGGGGAGACAGGGATTGTGATTTTCGCAGGTGACATAACTCCTATCGATATAATGTGTCATTTACCGGCGGTTTGTGAAGATAGAGATATTCCTTACGTGTATGTACCTAGTAGGAGGGATTTGGGGGGCGCAATGGGGATTATGAGGGGTTGCATGTTGGCGTTAGTGCGGCCTCATGACGATTACAAGGATGTTTTTAATGAGTTAACGGAGGAAATTAAAACTTTAGCTGTAGAATTATAAGTTTCTGATAATAAAAAATTCAAATTTAATACAAATATTTATTAGAATAGCAAATTATTGCACACATACATGATTGTTGAGTAGGTAGATGTTTTTATAAGGAAAATCATAGACATCTCCCTATAGTTTGCCTTAACGAAAAAATTAAAAATAATCAAGAAAAACCTAGTTTTTTAATAAAATTCATATTCCACTAGGATTCAATTGAAGGTTTATATAATAGGTGAATGGGTGCATATTTTTCTGAATTGGTGCTTAGACTTGGAAAAGCGTCAATTTGTGGAATATAAATTTTACGGTAAAATCAGTTGGTGTCACCTAGAGTTCGAGCCGAAAGCAAACTTTAATGTAGGCTATACTGACTTTCATTTTTCCGAGATGGTGCTCTTTATACAGTGAACTAAAAACTACACCTAACATAACACAGTATACTTTGTATAGTCCACACTAATTTAAAAAATAATAAACGAACACATAAGATGACAAGTTTGCTTAATAAAAAATCGAGGAGCGCCTAACTTGTCGTCAAAAAGTTGGTCCTAAAACGAATAAATAAAAAGACAGTGAGACACTGATCTTTAATATTCGCACATGAGTAGAAAAATTCTTAATATGGGAGTTGGGAAGACTAAACCGACCTTGTCACTACCATCACCTAAAACTAAAATTGACGCGTCTACTTGATGTAGAAAAATAAGTGTTTCGTCGATATTTTCTCGCTAAAGCCACCTAGTGCACTTCTGTGGGACACTCGAAAGCAGTCAGGTCGGTCTAACCTTTCAGGATGTACTTATACGAAATCTAAAATGTGCAAGTGTACAGAGTATCTCGGCGATTTAGTCGATACTCTGTACATCGTGGCCGCTTGCACTTAATCTACGAATATGTCAAGACAATTATGAGAGAAGTGTGAAAGGTGAAATGAGTTAAATGCATTTGAACAGTCACAGTAGTCCCGGTCAGAGTTGGCTCGAGGACAGGGCCGGGTCAGACTCTGATTTCCGAGAGAAGCATAAACAGCCCGAACTTGTTTTGATTGTGGGCTTCAGTTCTTTGTCGCGTTCGGCCAGACACTTTTGATAATAATCGTAATCCTTCAAGTACCAAACGGGGGGCCAGCGGTGTTCCACGAGGTACGCCTGGTTATCGGGATGCAACAGACGGAGGCTGCGGGGCGACATCCGGCACAACTTGTTGTAGTTGACGCAGAGATGGTTCATGCACCAGTCGGCCAATTGGTGGCCGTTGTGCAACTATTGAATTCAGAAAATTCAATAAAACGATAAAACGGAATTTGAATAAAGTACCTTGACGGGTTCTAATAGCCGCAAACAATGCTCGATGGCTTCAGACGGCTGCAAACACTCCAAGTCCTCGATGACCCGCTTTTCGACTAAATTGACGAGACGCGGCAAGCAAAGACGATTAGCTAACTCAAGTAAATTGACGCAGCGGACCGCCGACACTGCTGGGATTTCGTCGGTGTATAAGTAACACAGTAATTTGTGGAAGGTGTATTCGCGGACTCCGGGGAACTCGATCTGCAAAAGGGAAACGACACGAAATGAAGAGAAAAAATCTAGGCAATGGCTCTTTGTTGTTAAAGAATAATAATTGTTGACATTCAAACAAAAAAAAACAATTTTTATTACGAATTTTTCAGCTATTTGATGTAATTTGGTCACTATGTTTCCAACTGAAAACGTAGATTAGAAACAATTGAAGATTAATAACTAGATACAATCAAGGTATTATAACAGCGATTATATTATTTTTTGGATTTGGATATTGGCTTTTTGGGCTGATCTTTTAATAAATAACGAGATAAGTATAGATCAAAAAGATTTCTCTTTATAACTTCCAAATTTCATTTTAAATTTTAGAATTTTTAAATTTATTTTAAATCTATTTGTTTGGTTTTGTAAGAATGTCATAAACTCATCGTCATTAATAATAAAATAATTTTTTGTAATTAAAAGAACATTTCGCAAAGAATTGTACAAAGTTTTGTTCTTTAGCTTGCCTTTTTATGGTAGGTATAAAATATTTATTAACACAACTTTGATAATATAAACTAATGGAAGTCATTTGGAATAATATAGTTATTCAGCTTTATGAGAATAAGAACTCTTTACCATTCTTTCATATAATAGGTACTCGTATTATACAGGGTGCGCCAGAACTCGCGCCCCAGAGAAAAATGCCATATAAGGTAAGATACCAGGAACATGAAAAAAATGTTAAAAAAAAATATCTATGAAAATTTCGAAGTTATAAGGGTTTAAAGTTTGCACTTTGACTCTATTTATTTCTGTTGGAAAAATAATTTTCCAAGTTTTTTTTGCTATAGGCTATTAAAAGAGGAAACAAGGAAGCTGTATCCTAAATTGTAACTCTGTTCAATGTTATTTGTGGCTTTTATTGGCAAAATTTTTGTCCCTTTACTAAATAATTGTAAAAAAACATATACAAGATCATCAGTATCCTTAAATAGATATAAAAAAATGTCAGATTTCAAAAAATAAGTGTCAAAAATTTTTGACAGAATTTTTATAAATTTTTTTCATGTTCCTGGTATCTTACCTAACTTGAAAATTTTCTCTGGGGCGCGAGTTCTGGCGCAGCCTGTATAGTCATAACAAACAATTTTTTGCACTACAAGAACGACTGTTTTAACATTTTACTTTAGTTACATACCGATATTATCCTTGTTTTTTTTTAAATGCATTTGAGAAAAAGCTGTTTTATTATACTTTTTAAGTTAATAACTTTTTCCACTTAACTATGCTACGCCATAATTTTATTGTAATGTACTTTATTTTTCATGAAGGACAATAATGATCGTTTATTATGGACTGTTTTTCTATTTTTGTCATATTTTATACTCGTAATTGATTTCTGAAACTGGCTCAGGTTTTGAAATGACCAATTTTTCGCTTCCATCAGTTTTGAAATATAAAAATATTAATAAATATTATACAGTGAGCGGCAAAAATATGGAATAATTTTATTAAAATTGAAAATATTTTGTTTTTGCAAAAATTCTCGAACAGGTTTTTCTTTTTAAAAAACACACAATTTTCAACTTGATTTAAAATTTTACACTTTTTGGTTTTTGTCATTGACATTTTTTTTAATGGAAACCCCTATTTTTTTAGCCAATTCGATATATCTTTTAATAATTGTCAATGACAACACCAAAATATTAAATATGTATTACATAAAATTAAAAAAAAAATCATCCAAAAAGTGAAATAATATCAACAAGAAACAAACATGAAATTTTAAATCAAGTTGAGAATTTTGTATTTTTTAAAAAGAAAATTAGCATTTTTGTCGAAACAAAATATTTTCAACTTTAATAAATAAGATTATTCCATAATTTTGCCGCTTACTGAATAATCATTTTTACAGGTGACATTAAATTGTATGTAAAAATATTTTACACTTTCGTGTAATTGGAAACAATATGTCACATTTAGCTAATTTTTGTTACATGCATTCAAATAAGTTTAGATGGGGGGAAAATATAAGTTTCATTGTTTTAACTAGCAAGCAGACTGTAGATTGATTTGAAATACTTTTTAGCAAATCAATAATAACAGCTGTGGCGACAATAGAGATAACTTTTTTTAGTAGATTGACGAATTTAAATCAATATTGTAGAGAGAATTGTTTGTCATTTAGTAACGGGTTGTTTAGTAACCTTTCGGAAGTCTATACAAACTATAAACAGATACACTTAAATTTTCCTAAAATTCATCTATTAAGTACTAAATTAATTTGATATTAATTTAAGAAGGTAATTTTAAAGAGTGTAATTTAGGGGCGCATAAGTGTCACACCTTACAATTAAGTTCATTTACATACTTACAAAATTAAAAAAAAACTTTATAACTGATTTACAACAAAATGTCATCAATAGCTTACTCTATATTTTATTAAGTTTAATAACTAAAGAAAACGTTGAAGAACTTTAGTTTTTTTCTTTTTCTAGACAGTTATAATTTTCAAACAAGTGACATTTACCCAAAGAAAATCTTTATTATGATATTATATGTATCTATGGAGTGGTCATTGTGAGAGTGCAATTGTCTATACATTTCGTAATAAAATATACATACGACTTTGGCCTGACTTTCCCGGAAGTCCCCGCTAAACATAGCTTTCATGACGTCACACCTCGCCGTAAGCATTGCTTTATGGGCCGCGCACGCCCCATCGTCTAGCTCGAAGATAACATCGGCGAAAAGTCCCTGATCTAGACAAATATCCTGCAAGCGCCTCTTGAGAAAATTCTCATAGGTCTCGTCCGGATGATCGGGCCCCACGAACGGATGTTTGGTCAGCAAGACCAGCAATTGCGGTAACTCGAGAAACTCCGCAGCCTCCCTCGTCTCCTGCAGGTTGAGGGCGCTGCGGTCGATGGTGCCTGTGTAGGCGAACTGCAGACACTGCCTCATCGCGCCGGGCGTCACAAGCTTGCTGAGCGTGACCACCGTCTGGCCCTCGGGCTGCACGCTCCTGATGCAGTGGAAGGCGGGGTGGTCGAGCTCGCGAGCCGAGGGCAGCGCTTGGCAGCTTGCTCGTCGCTTGCACGTCTTCTGCTCGGCGCGCACCAGACACTCGGTCTCGTCGGCGAAGTCGCCCAGCGAACTCACCATGCTGGAGTCGCTGGTGCTGCGCGCGATGAGGTCGGCGGCGAGCAGCCGGTAGAAGGCGCGGCTGCAGGCGGCGAGCACGAAGCGGTGCGCGGGGAAGCCCACCGAGCCCACGACGAGCACGATATCGGTGTGCGCGCGGTTCAAGTACAGCTGGTGCATGTGCTCACCGTAGGAGCCGACCACCACGTGCACGTCGGGCTTCATCGGCGGGGGCGGCTTGAATGGGGCCTGGAGGAGCGGCCGCTGCACCTTCTTCAGGTTGGTCATCCAGAAGCGCTGCTGGCGGCGCGCGATGAGGGCCGCCCGGATGGCGTTTTCGAACACTTCGTTAACTCCGTAGTAGGTAAGTACCTGAGAACGAATATAACATAAAGTCTGTTTTTTTTTTTAATAGAAATAACCAAGTCAGAATTTTGGTGAAAAAATTCGTAGCATCTTCATAGCCACAAATTTTGATAAAAAATTATGGTCATTTTGAGATGTCAAAATTTTGACTTTTATGAATCTTGTTTTCTCTTTTTGAGCATTTATAATCGAATACCTGAGGACAGACTTCACTACGTAATGTCTAAAGACAGAATTCAGTGCTAATAATATTGATAGAACCACACTATAAATAAGTACAACGTTGTGGATAAAAATGAGGTTTTTACTACAAAAACTTTAAACAGGGTGTCCACAGAAAAAAGTTATTTTGCAAAAGATACAAGCAGGCTTTATGAAGATTGGCACTAAATTTTGTGTAATTTATTGAAATGAGCTCAAAGTTGACTCATTTTCTAAATTTTCCTTCAAAATTGTTAATTTTTAACTCGTTCTTCAAAAACGGGTTAACCAGACCCACTAATTTAATTGCGTTCTTTCTCTTTGATGTTTGTGTTGTGTTCTCATCAATTTCTTATTCAAAATTAGAGAATATTAGCAAACCTGCATTACAAATTGCTCTACATTTTAGCGGTGGTCTTTTTGTGACTTCTGCTTGCATACTTTTTGTCTTCAAATTTCAAAAAACTATTGGCGGTACCCAATTTGTCCCCGTTTCCACAAAACCGGAACTGCCAACTTCCTTTATTAAAATTACCATGAATGAATTTGTTAGAGGTGGCAACGTTAAGAGTGCTTGACATTTCCATTAAAAAAAACAGACTTTAGCAATGATGGAAGAAGGTACGAAAAGATGGTACCATACCGATGTTTCGTAGTAGAATAGCCCCAGTTCTCTGGCGACGTCTCTCGCCTCGTCTGGCATAACGAGATCGCTCTTTCGCGTGGCCCTGACGAAGGGGCTGCGGTCGCGGAAGTAGCTCAGATAGGCCTCGTCGCGGTACATGTACCGGAGGTCGTTCTTGCATCCGACGAGGAGCACCGGCGTGCTCGGACAGAATCGCCGGATCTCGGGGAACCACATGAGGCGGCAGTTGCGCAGCGAAACGGGGTTGTTGATGCTGAAGCAAAGGAGGACGACGTCGGAGCGGCCGTAGGCGAAGCGGCGATCCTTCTCGTGGTCGCCGAACGTGTCCCAGAGACGTAGAGAAACGTTGACGCTGTCGACCACTTCCCAGGAACGCTCGAGGACGTCCTTGTAGATGCGGTACTGGTCGATTGCCCATACTGTGGGGACGTGAGTTGCGAGTAGTTGAGCTAAAGAGACTTGTTTGTTGCATGCACGGGCGCATATCAGACGGGTCTTGCCGACGGCCGTGTCGCCAACCACCACGCACTTGACGAGTTCCTGGTGGGGTTGTTCATTATCCATCCCCGGCGAACGCTGCGGCGACGATGGCCATCACACCACGGCCCCCTAAACCAACGCATACTTTACTTACTTGAATTATTGAGGAATGAAACATGTTATTAAAATTTTTATTGTTTTTATATGGCAGCATAACAAAATATTGTTCCGAGAAACATAAAACGTTGCATATTAATGTTTATCAACGTCTTAACTGTGCTAGATATTATTTTTTCCATTATTTTTTTAATTGAAAAAGCAAAGTTAAATAATGCTTCAATTTTCTCATCTGTTTTCATTGATTTACATTGTATTTTTTACAAAACTAGAAAAAGGACAGGTTTTCTTTTTCCTTTTCCAGTTTTCGAAGAGCTTGGAGCTCAAGAAGTTTACACCTAAGCAATTATGCGTCTCGGACGAGTCCACTAAAAGAAGAGGGGAATTTTAAGAAACAAAGGACGCCACTGGTCCGTGTCCCCTCTTATGTTTGCACGCAATTAGACCCCCGATCAGGTGTATACTTCTAGCCTTTACCCCACTATACTTAGGTGCTTGGCAAATTGTATTTTCTTAAGTTTGTTTTTTTTAGTGCTGTATAATTTGGCCTACCAAACCGGCCTTAAAATTTAACCAGGTTAATTAGTTCATCAGCCAATTAGTTAAACGGTTAACTAATTAACTAGTTAAATGGTTAATCTGTTAAACTATGAAATTAAGTGGCAAGAACCAACAGCCAAAATAGTTAGGGTACTTTTACCCTAATCCCCCCCCCAGTTTAGGACACCCCTGAATAAAAATTTCGACATTTTATCTTTGAATTCGTTTGGTTGTACCAAATTTTGTAATTTTATCCACAATGGTTGCTGAAATATTGGAAAAAATCCATTAAAAAATGTACTCTTTTCAGGGGATGTAGCTTCTTTATTTAATATTTTTCGATACATGTTGATAGGAAACTTTTATATTAAAATTGAATATTCTATCATCTCTTTAAATTTGTAACAATAAAAACGTAACACCTGTATATTTTGCGTTAAATTTGAATAAGGTCGAGAAAAATATATCTTTCTTTCATTATTTTCAAAAATAAGTTAAAAGTGTAATTGTAAAATGTAAATATATACTTACTGCCAAAGATTGTAAAAAAATGACATTGAAGGGAGCTTTTGAAGCTTATAAAAATAAAAAACTTGTTTAAAATATCATTTTAATGCTCTGAGTTCTAATTTTAAAAAACCTATGTAACACGCTTTCACTCTCACATTCAAGATTTGTTTTGATTTTAGACTGGGAACATTCAATTATCTAACTATTAAAATGCATATATTACAAAATTATACAGGGTGTTCCGTTTTTATTGTTATAAATTTAACCAGGTGATAGAATATTTTTAATTTTAAAATAAAAGTTTCCTTTAAACATGTATCGAAACAGTTTACATAAGGGAGCTACATCCCCTGAAAGGGGTGCATCTTTTAATGGATTTCTTCCAATATTTCAGAAACCATTGTAGATAAAATTACAAAATTTGGTACAATTAATAACCTTTATACACCTAAACGAATTCAAAGATAAAATGTCAAAATTTTCACTCAGGGGCGTGTTTAAGTGGGGGGGTTTAGGGTAAAAAGTGCTCTAACTATTTTGTCTGTTGGTTTTTACTACTTTCAGCCACACAATTCTAAATTTCATAGTTTTTCACAAAAAATAAGTCTCTTGGGTTTTTTCGATACCACTTACCGTTTTTGAGTAAAATTAGTTTACACTTTGTCTTACAGACCATAAAAAGGATAAAAATTAAAAATTAAATTTGTTTTAGACGTTTTAAGACGCCCGTGTTTAAAAATTTCGACAACTGATCTTTGAATTCGTTCAGGTGTTTAAAAGTTATCAGCCGTACCAACTTTTGTAATTTTATCTATTCTACAATAGTGGGAAAACCTCATTAAAAAACGCATCTCTTTTAGGGGGTGTAGCTCGCTTACATAACATTTTTTGATACATGTTCATAACATGTTCAAGGAAACTTTTGTCTTAAAATTGAATGTTCTATCACCTGTTTAAATTTGTAACAATAAAAACGGAACAGCCCTGTATATTTGATGCACATAAGTAATTCAAAAGCTTGTTTATTTTCGTTAAATAATTATAGTTTCGTTAAATTTAGAAACTGAAATATGCCAGACGTTTTTATAAAAAAATATTTTTAACTTCATACAAACACAAACACATTTAAATAATTATTGGTGGTCAAAATCCCAACTAGTTTAACCTGCCAAAAGTAAATACATAAATAAGTGGGTAGCAGAATAAATACATGAACGTTACAATATAAAAATCGTGTTTTAAATCATAAGCTAAATTAGGCCGTGAAAACCAACATCCCACAATGCTTGTTGAATCTTTGAAAAAATAATAAATAAAAAGGTCAAGTGCATTTGCATAGTAAATATGTTACTTGTATTTTATTAAAAAAAGCTGATTTTTTTCTTAAATCCATTGTGTATTATAACGCACACGGAACTTTAATACATATTAACACGCACTTAAAAATTAAAAACACCATTATTATACTCACTTTGTGTATTTTTATATCATAAATTATCACTGAATTCATTTGTTGACACAATATTTATAAATGTTGATAAGAAAAGTCGTAAAAAAAGTCTTTCACTTTTCGGCTTGAATCAAATAATTATTAAAAAATTTGTTCCTTTGGAAATAATGTTTTATCTGTAGCGAAATGACTCAGCGAATTTTAAATTTGTATTTTTAACTTGGGGTTTGTTTCATCGTGAACTTTGCAAGTCAATGTTCTATCGAATCGCATTCATTATTATGACGTCTTGAATCGTTGGGACAGCTCCCGTTTATTTAAACACCTTTGTGCTAACAGAATATTAATCCGAAGGAATGTTGTAAACAAAAACAAAAAAGCGTGTAAAATATTGACTGTCTGTTTAGCACCATAATCTGTTTAATTTGCGAGGTATCAACAAAACAATTGCGTATGAAATAAACAAAAATGCATCGTCCCTGGTGCGTCTAATTTGCTTCTCAAGTGCATCCACCTACACCCTAAACACGTGAATTGTTTTGATCAATGCATGATTGCAGCGGAATCCCAATTAGGATTTTTTGTATGCATCGAGCAAAGGGCGTGCTCGCAGCAGGTGTGGCGGAGGCCCCGGGGGCGGCAGTCGGCGCCGCGCCCTCCTCATACTCACATTCATCAGTTTGGCGAAAAAACGTCGTGACCGAAGAGCATTTATACGTAAAACTTGCCGACGCACTGCACTGCACGATGACTGTCCCGCCTCCACGACGGACTCCGGCGAACTGACTCTCTGACGTCGTCACTCTGACACCACGATTTGATCAAATCGACGCTAATTTGCGACCAGCGACCGCTAAACGTGTCCATTATCGAATAGAACCTCGCACAAAGCGGCGATTTTTTCGGAAAACGTCGATTTCTTCCGGATGCGTTTGGGCCCTCGGGCCCGCCGATTTTTCGCTGCAAAATAATAGCGATTGATTTTTCCGCGCCGTGACGTCAAACGCGAGGTCGTCGCGGGTTCATTCGGGAGTTTGAACTCGGCAGAGCCGTAACGTAATGATTTTGCCGCAACCACCCCTCCAACTCAGACGGAGCGAGAGGGTGGGGCCGCCCCTGGACGCCGCCGTGGACCCGACCCGAGACGGGAGATGCACGTCGGTTTAAAATTAAAACTCATTATCGAGCTGTTGCCGCTCATGAGCCTTGAACACTTTATTGTTGTTTTGATGGTGAGCTCGGCCCTGGACACACACACTCAAACAAAAAAATCATTTTAAAATAATTGGCAAAATCTCGAACAGGGCTATTTTTAGAGTTTTGATTGGCTTAACCGGAATGTTGTTAGCCCCGCTTCCATGAAATTTTCATTCGCTTCATTTAGACGTAATTGTTAATTTCAGAACATGACGCTTTGGACCAATCAATATTTCATCGCACTCATTGAAACAATCAATAAAACTACTTTCAAACTAATAATTTCAATTTATTCCAATTATAGAAAATCATACTTAGCTGAATTAGTTAAGCGTTATAATGAAAATAAATAAGAAAAACCTAACACGATAACGACTGCAAGATTTTCTGCAAATTGATAAAGTCCAACTCCAAATCAACAATCCTCGGCTTCTCCCCTTTCGGCAAATAACTCTTCGGTATTTTCACAAAGCCGACGTTCACCGGCTTGCTCTCATTCAAAGCCTACAAAAAAACGTAAAACCTTGTCAAAACAAGACTCCCGACCCACCTTAACCATTTCAATAGTGGGAAAAACGGCAAAATCCGCTTCCACTCTCCCTCCCATCTTCCTTTTGATAATCTCATTTGCCACCTTCGTCTGGAACTCCCGAGCTCTCCTGTTGAGATCCATCAACTTATCGTTTTCTTCAGCGAAATGTTTCTTCCAAGCCGCTGGCCCATTCCCCGGCTTGACTTTATAAATCTGTGGGAATTTCGGTTTGGCCAAACTCAGCAAAATTTCCTGTTTAAGTAACGCCCCTTCTTTGAATAATTTATCCAAAACTTCGTCCGGTGTTGTCTTAAATGAAGGCAACGGGGCCAGACTATCCAACTCCTTTTTGATTTTCTCATTTTCGAGTTTGATTCTCTCGTTGCGTTCTTGGTGGAATAGTTTGCGGAGATTTTCGATTTCTTGCAAAAGCAAAGGCGAGTCTTTGACCACTGCCGGGAGACTCGGACCCATCGACGATTGCTGGGAGGATAATTGCGAACCTGAAGTACTCTTCGACATCGATAACTCCATCTGGGTTTTCTTTGACAGCAATTTTAATTTTTCTTTCATCTCGCCCTTTTCATTCTCGAGAGAATCGATATCGGTCTGCAGATGATCCAAAGTCTCCTCGAACTCTTTCTCTTTCTTTTTGTAATTATTGTGCGCCTCTTCTAATTTCCTCTGGAGTTTTTCGATCGTCAATTCATAATCTTTATTGACGTTACCCAACTTTTTCTCAGCTAATTCTTTTCTTATGGTCATTTCGGATAATTGCTCTTGTTTTTCTTTAAGTGCTTTACGCAACTCTTTAATATCGGACTCTTTATTTTCCAGCTTGCTCGTCAAAGTTTTCGTTTGTTCCAGCTCTTTTTTCACGGCGTCAGCCCGAATTTGGATGGGTGGAATAGGCTAAAACAGCCAGTCGCAAACTTTTTCCGAAAAAACTCTAATTACTTACCTTCTCTTCGTTTTTGTTAGCTGTTGCAATTTCGTACTCATTATCTTGCAAAAATTGTGCAATTTGTGTTGTCTGAGTGACTATGAAGCTCAACGAATTTTTAATACTTTGTACCGGACCTAAATCGTCCTGTTCGTAAATCTTATCACTGGCATTTAATGCAAGTTCTTTGATTTTATCTTGTGGAAGTCCTTTTTCCAATTCTGAAACAGTTCAATTACGAAGGAAATGGCAAAAAATCATCAAACCTCCGCTAGATGTCATCATCTGCACTGAATTTTTCACGATATCTTGCAAGGTTTTTATGATACGGGCGCAATGTTGGTAACATTGATACAAATTCTCAAAAATCTCCTTATTCAAACCGATGTTGGCAACATTTGAGTCGGGCGGAAGTCGTCGTTTTATCAATTTCAGTTGTTGTTGCAACTGTTCAGATGTTGTTATGACATGTTGTGCTAACAATCCAATGTCGCCAACATTAGCAGTCTGAAAAAATTAAAATAAAATAAAAACAAATCGAATCGCACTATTTGACATACTTCAATTAAGTTTCTTATAACGATAGAATCGTTATTAAAGCCATCACAAGCCGACATCAAACTTTTCACATTATCGACCAATAATTGTGTGTGATTGAGACGATTTTCCGGTCCAAGAAGTACAGGAAACAATGTATTGAAATATCCAACACATTTTTCGAGTGCTTCAGTTGGTACATTCTCGTCTAATTGGTCGCGTTTGACCAGTTCAATAAACCCATCGATGATTTTTTCGTATGATGCCATCTCGGGATATGTAGCACCAACTTTGAGGAGTGCTTCTGTTTTACACGTATTCAAAGCATAGTAATATTGGTGCAAAATCGACTGTAAGGCATAAATATAAAACGAAGCTCTACACCTGAACGAAAACTGCTCAACAGCGTGCCCTTTCAAAATAGCCGCTCTATCAATCTTATCAACACCGGGAAATTTATCCTTAATCTGCCCTATCAAAATTTCCGTCTTCTGAATCATCCTCAAAACCAAAAGTAGCACTAAAACAGCATCGTAGTCCCCGCCTCGATTCATGAACGAATCCGGCATATACGACGTCAAATACTTGATGTGGCTTTGCAACTGTTGAATTTCAACCCTTCGCAACTCCAAGTCAATCGCTTTAGTGTGTGCTTTCGTCTCGTTGAACATTTTCGTGAAATCTATGATTTCGGGTAGGGTCGAGACGGGTTTACTCGACTCGTTTTCAAGTCGACTTTGCAGTTGTAGAGATTGCTCTTGTAGTTTTTGAACGAGTTCGCGGAATTTGTTGAGAGTGGCTTCGCGATCGGCGATTGTTTCTAGCGCCGCGTCTCGATCGCGCATCGCTTGTTTGGCCGCCATACGAGCCATGTCCAGGTCTTCACGCAGCTCGGCTTCAAGTTCGGCGTTGCTTTCAACCAGCTGGTCATTCATGTCCTGCAGAGCTTCCAGTTCGGCAACTTCTTCACGAAGTTGGGCCACTTTCTCCTCCAGAGTTAGCTTTTGCTCGCCGAGAAGTACGACCATTTCTTCGGCGCCCATAGCCGCGTCGACCTAGAGATGAAAACAGATGGAAATATTTCTTACTTTTGGAATGTTGATGAAGCGGCTGTTTTTAAGTGTAAGTGAACAGTTTTTCGTGAAAGTTGTGCTGTTTAAATGATCAAAAATATTTTACCTGCTATTACCGGCCAGCAAACTCACAATTAGTTAAAAAAACACTAATTAAACACTGTCATACCTGTTCCTGAAGATCAGCGACTTGCTGCTCCATTTCTTCGACTCTCGCACTCAACTTTTCTTTCGTTTTGCCCAATTCAACAATTTCTGATTTCTTTTGGTCAATGTCCTTCAAAAGTTTCTGATATTCGTGCTTATCGTGCGCTGAGAGGTCTCTCAACCTGACTAGCGTTTCACGAAGTCGGGCATTTTGTTGTTGGAGTTGTTTCATTTCGTAGGTTGAGACGACTTCTTCACCACTTCCCGAAGTCCCACCAGCTATTTTAAAAATTTGTAACGACTGTTTAACAAAAAATTCGAAAACCTACCGCGTTCTTGCATCTCAGTTTTGAGTATTTTTAAATCCAGGGTCACCTCTTCTAATTTTTCTTTGCACACTTCTAATTCAAGTTGCAAGGTTTCGGCTTTTTCCTCTGCCATTTCTTTGTCAAGAGTGGCCATTTCGACGGCTTCAGCCAAGTCGGCGACTTCTTCAGCGTGGGCTTCTTTCGCCTCAATTGCGTCTTTTGCCTCGTGTTTCGCCCTTTGTACTTCCCTCTGCAAACTCGCCTGCACTTCCATAATTTTTGTCTTGAATTCAACCAATTGTTCCAACTGTATTTTCAATTTATCAAGCTCCTTCAATTTCTCTTTATCCTCCTGTCTCTTAATTTTCAAAGTTTCTAACTTTTCACTCAAATCGCGTATTTGTTGATTGCGATTTTCGATCTCTTGTTGAAGTTGAATTACATTAATCTTCTCTTCAACGGAAGTAACAGGAGTAGGTGTTGTTGTGATAACTTGTCCCGGTGTGAATTGGGGATTGAGAGTTTCAACAAACCCGGTCTGAAAGTTTATCTTACAGAAAATTTTTAGTAAACTTGGGGTAAAATACCTCAATAAATGAGGCACGTTTGGGGATTTGGCTAGGGTGGTCACCCGCATCGGACTTTTCGACGATTGGTGAGGCCAAATGACTGCGACTCCCCATGAGGGACTGGCGACTTCCCGCAAGTGATTGGCGGCTGCCCGACAGTGACTGGCGACTGTCAGCCAAAGACTGTCGACTGCTGGCCAGAGACAACCGTGAACTGACAAAGAAAACAAACAAATAGACACAAATAAAAAGCAAAACATCTAAATTAAATAAAACACGGGAAAATTAAATGCAACATAAAGGCACACACAGTTAAATCGCCCTAAATACCTTGAGGCAGATAGAGAAGGTGGTCTTTTTTGAGGCGACGACTTACGACGCACTCTATCCATGCAGCAAAAATAAAATTTTTAACGTGATTAATAAGTTTTAAAATTTATTGTTGCAACTTACGTTGTAGGTTTGGGCTTTGTACCGACACTATAAATATCAAACTTTTATGTAATTAATGTTACAACAAGTGAAAAATCAGCAAACCTGCTGGGTCTGGTCCGGGCTTTCGGGGTCTCTTCTGTGGGGTCCCTGAGCGGCTTGCCATGTTCGTCAAGGGGGATCACCTGCGACGGCTTCACAAACAATCCATGCTTGTCTTCACACTAGTCAAATTCAAACTGTTACTCGCAATTTGAGGGCATTTTGCTTGACTCACCTTAAAGTATTCAACCCCTTGGACACTACCGTTATTTTTACCTTTGGGTTCGTCTAGCTTGAGACCTATCCATGTGTCAGAAGCAAAACTTGTTGGGCCGATGAACGCAATAACCCCCTGAACATCTTTTCCGGTCACTTTAACTTTTTGACCGACTTTAAGCTGCTCAGACATTTTTTCACAGAGATAACCTCAAAATTTTCTAACTCGGTTTAGCCAAATTACATCATTTTTTGATACAAAGAAAATGTTTTAAACGTTATTTATTTTTTAGCATTAAAGAAATCAAGAAAAATATACGTTTTATTAACTACACTTGCCACCTTTTCGACACTTGACAGCTGTCAACATGACAAGGGCAGGGCCGGGCTAAATTTTTTTGTGGTGACGCAAAGGTTAAAAAATACAAACTCAAGCTTAAATGTACGTAAAAAAGTTTATTGTTTTACACAATGAAAAAATACGATCTTTGGTTAATAATATAAATACTTTATACACAATTAAAACTATAGATATGCGTTGAAATACAGATTAAAATATAACACATCCATGGCACTTATGGTAACTTGGTCACTTTACGCTTACACAGGTTCATAAATTGGATTTGTTCTTATTTTTGGGCGGTTTCGGCGGTGGTGTGGGCGGTACGTCATCAAAGTCGATCGGATCAGGCGCCGGAACCAGAATTTTTAAACTAGTCCTGACTGAGTTACGTTGTGAATAAAGAAAACTCGTATTTTCGTTATTTGGCAAATTACAATAATCAACTTCTCTCGATTTCAACGGTAAAGGGGGCGGCACTGCGTCTTCTTCACTTACACTGGAATCAGTCGTACCAACTGAATCTCTGTTACTACTACTCGAACTTCCGGTTCCTCTTAACGTCACTGAGATACTACTTGATCTGGAAGAGAATTGACCACTGGGGGGCCTACTCAACCTTTTTTCCTTTTCGACTTCAGAGCGCAAGGGCCGTTTTGGTGTCAACTGAGTTAAAAAACGTTATTTTTCGTTAAAATAAAAATTAGCGGGTTTACCTCTTCAGTTAATTCGAATCTAGGTGACCCATTTGTATTTTCATCAGTGGTGTACCACTGGGTGGCGGAAAGTATGGACGGACTCGGCGTATGATCAGATTTACTGGAACGACGTTTCTCTCGGGTGATTTTGAACGATTTTTTGTGATTCAAGGCCGGAGTTGTCGTTAGACTTTTAGATGGGGAGACTAATAAACTTTTGGTGTTGCTGCTGATATTAGATTTGCTGAAACACCACAAAAATTGCTAAAAAACGGTTGGGAAACGTTTCTAAAACTAAATTTAATAGACTAAAATCTACTCGTGCTCCATGCAAATTTTAAAGAGATAATTACCCTGTATTAATCCCTTGTTAATTAAAAAATAGAGCTTAGTAGTAATGTTAATAAAAATTTAGATTAAGCATACGAAGTGTTGCGGTTATGTGTCGCTGAATGTTGAACTCGTCTGAAAAAAGTAACAAGAGTTAGGCCCGCCGTAAAACTACCAAGTTTTCGTCCACAAAACAACAGCCAAGAACAGTGGGTTAGTTGCAGAGCATGGACCCGTATTAGTTTGCTTTCTCCTCTACTTTGACACCAAATACAAACCTGCTGATACTTGGAGACGTTGCAAAATTAAAACTAGAAGTAAATTGCTTTAAGGAAGCGACTTGGGATTTCGTCAAACTCGAAACTCTGCTGCGACTATCCACGTTACTACATCAAACCGGAATAAAACATTCGCAACATAAAAATACAAAACAATTGAAACTTACTCAGAAATCATCGACATGTCAGATAAACGCGGATCATGAACAATACTGTGGTGCCTCCTCATCGTCACTTGGGTATCTAATTTAATATCACAGGTCTGAAAACAACATTTTCACTCTCTCAATTTCGCGAAAACCTAATCCATCTTACCCCCTTTCCGTATTTTTCTACAACGCTCTCTTGCATTTTCGCAAAACAATCCTCGAATCGCTTCTGTAAAGGTTGCAAATTTTCAGGCGCATTTTCCTTATGTATTCTGACACATAATTCCAACAGCGGAATTTGATCAGCAATTAGATCTTTCAGTCTTTGCAAAAGCACATCATCATCTTGGTGATGTGTCTCATATTCTTCAGTAAAGAACGCCTCTTCGTAATTTTTTATGCCTCCCATGACGGCAGCGTCCAAGATTCCGTTCAAAGTTAAGCTCAACGGATTAATTTGCATGTCCTTATCGCTGTTGAACAGAACCACGTAATTTTTCAAAGTTTTATTAGCTTTTTCCATAGTTTCGATGGCGTTTCGCAGGGGAGAAATCTCATGAACAGTTGATGAACTCACAGGGAACCAACGCAAAATCCCTGGCAAGGGATACGTTGTTGTTAATTCGGTCCGTTCGAGCCACAAGTGACCAAACTCGTTCTTTTCGTCAATCTGAGGGTCTTTTCGAATAAACGGACGCGAAAACGTAAATTTTTGTATGTCGTTCACTTTATAGTAATTGAGTATCTGTTCGGAGACAGGTTTGCCGGAAAATCGGTGCTTTTTCTCATCCATTATCGGATCAACTTTATTTATTTGTATATCTAAAAATTAATAAATTATAAGAGAAACACAGCAAAACGATAGAAATACATTGTTTATCCGACTCCGTAATATCCTCCCCCGGCGGCGTCAATTTATTCAAAAGTTCCGCTTTGGGAAACTCATTTAAAATTCTCGTATTGAATTCAGTAAGTCGTTCATATTCCTTTCCTCGATACACAAACACTTTATTTTGCAGAAATTGGGGAAAGCCTTTACCGAAATACCCGACACGAAAATATTCCGGTTTTGCTCGACCTTTTTTCATAATGTCATCATAAAAAGTCGACATTCTCTTATGTAACTCGCTCAATCGATGATAATCGAAAGTTTCACTCTCGAATTGCGAGGCCAACTCTTGGCACTTTTTGATCGCACATTCCCATAATTTACCCTTATCGTAATTCTCGATAATATTATAATAGAGAGCTTCTTTGAGTTGACGATGCGTATGGGCTTTGGGATGTCGATTACTTTTCAAAAGTTGGGGTAAATCGTCATCGGTCCAATTTAGAAGTTTTGCGTGTAAGTCGATAGTGTAGGCAGCTTCAGTGTAATTATCACACTCCAAATGAAGATCGTAGAGTTTATTCAAATATCGTATATACATTTCTTTTCGATTAATTTCAGCATAAAAGTCCTATTAAATTTTACTGTTACTACAAACTTTCAAAAAAGGAAAACGGAAATACCTACCAAAAGACTCACAGTACAACTCATACGATTTTCCTTATTTTCATCCGTAATAATACACCGGTATTCCAACAAGCGCTCCATCAGCCTTGTTACAGTTTTAACAAACTTAATCCCCGTTTCATTCATCGTGGCATGTTGGCTACAATGCTCCATCATAATATCATGAAACAAATCTTTGTAATTCTCATCTCCTTTTCCTCCCTCGACTAGAATATCCAATTTCGCAATCATTTCATTCTCAAAATCGTTAAAATTCCCCTTAACATGTGACGAATCCCGCTTCGTATCACCATAACTCTCAACTTCAAACCTCGACGAGTAAAATTCGCATTGCATCATATCAAAAAAAATAGGAATCGTCGCTTTACGTAATTCCGGTTCCGGTATTAGAGTCATTTCTAAAATCGCTCCAATTAAACTCGGTACAAACTGTACTTTGTACTGTCCCAAATTGAACCACATCGACCTGATTTCAAAGCCGGTCTCGCGTCGCATATCTTTATAAATTCGTATGATTTTCATTCTTTTATTAAACGAGAAAGTTTCGAGTTGGAGTGCCGGTTGGGTCATAAAAGCGATAGCGCAATGGAAGAAGTTGCTCCAGGCTTGATTTTCGAATCTTTCAAAGAAGCGGTCACGAATCGTATGCGAGAAAAATCGCAGCGCTTTCAAAATAACGCTGTTTTGGAGCATTATCATGTCGCACCAATCTTTAGGGAAAACCGTATCTTCTACCAAATTTTGAAAAAATACTAAAATCTCCATTAGAAAATCTAAAATGTCATAACGAGTGTTGAAACGTTCTACGTAGGCCTCGTAGTGACGTTCGGACATTTGCCGGAAAATATCAATCATTAGGGAGACTAAATTCCCCTAAAAACAAAGTTTTACAACTGTTTTTTCCCTAGTTCGTAACCAACCAATTGAGGATCCTCTTTAGGCATACCAACACGAGTATGAATCAAAGTTCTCAAAACCGTTGTTATAATCTCACTGATGTCGTCATAGGTCGGTCCTATGTCTTTACGGAACAGTAGCTCCAAAATGTCGCTCAGGATTTTAATACACAACTCGACCTAAATCAATTTAATTAGAAATGAACGATGGCACATGTTAGTTGTGTGAATGAAATAAGCGTGGCAATTAATTTGCTCAAAGCTTGTAATAAAGATACTAAAAGTGCGAGTTTGATTTTACTGTCACCTCTTCAGAATATCCTCTGTGTTGGTTGAGACAATGTTGCGTCGTTCCCAAAAGTTGTGCCACCTTAGCCACCGAGCGATTCTGTCGCCTTCCATCAAGTCTTCTGTCACCCTATAATACCCAGCGAACCACTACACTACTCAGATTACTCAAATAAAAACAAATTAAAAAAATAAATGCACAAACAACTAACAGAAAAGAATTATTGTCAAGTTAAAATTAATCAGTATTAATCAGACTACGATACCCAGCTCAGTGTCTGATCAAGCAAACAAAATAAATATTTTAGACATTAGGCGATTTTAAACATTCGCCGGTGAAGTCTAGGAGAACTGTTCTGAAAACCCTCATGTTAGTATTATAGTTAAAATTCTTTGTTTTTTTTATATAGCTTTTTAAATTTCATGTAGAAGATTTTTATTCGGTGATCACATGATAACGTTGATCTACATTTTTCGTTTAGAAACCTAATCAGCCTGTACATCAGAACGGAATCAGGCATAATCAGATTACAATGTAATTCTAAAACAATAAAATAATAACAGATTAATCTAAATACAGTTTAATCTGTTGAATTCGTATTTAATGGCATTGTAAGGGTAATAATTTTTGATTAGCTATGTAATCGAGATTGGACAAACTTATTTGGCCAACAGGTGGAAAGATTAATTATTATTATTATTAATTTAAATGTATAAACAAAAAGTAAAAAAGCGTACACTTAAAACAGACCACAATAATGCATTTCAGAAAAAGCAAACACAACACATTCTTCAAATGAACATAAGGTAAGTTCGTAAACATAATAGCGTTAATTTAGAAATGTAATTAAAAAACGCAAATTTAAGAAAGTAAAATCAGAAAATTGTATGAAAGCAGGAATTTAAGATATATCTGTTTCTGAAAGAATCCTGCAGACCTTGATCCTTCTTGATCATTGATTCTCACACCTGCTATTGCAATTTTAAGGATTGGCTATTGTTAAAATAAAATTTTATGACTGGTGACAAGAAAGTGGTAAAACAACCACAGCTTACCTTACAAGTTCATTTACTTGAATGTACATACAAGACATAATTAAGCATTACTTTAGTAATCTGTTACAAAATGTTCTTATTAAAAATTACATGGTTAGTTGTAATTATTAATTCGATTATATTTGGCCCTAACAGTGGCCATCATCCGGTACGACAAACACCGGCGAAATGTCAAATGAATTAATTTTTTAACCACGTATCACAGTAACAATCCACATTTTCTTAAATTCTTTATTAAAACTGGAAACTTCTGCCCTCCACCTCTTATTCACTAATCAAATCTCATGCACATTTTGGCAAAATCAAACATGCACTAAACTACAGAAGAAAAAAAAAACACGATTCAAAATCATGCTAAGCTAAATAGTATTTGAAAAAAAAAAGACAGGACGTGAAAAAAAAACTCTCAAAAGACTAACCATTGCAGAAGAAGACGAATCGTCGGTGACCAAGGTAACTGTGCAAAAGATTAGATTATTGCATTTCCGTTTTTGTTGCAAAAAAACGACATTCCGGATATTTACAAAATTCGATTCGTTTTGTGCATTTCATAAGCGCGCAAGCAACTAAAGCCATCGCTCACCTCCTCATGCTGCTCGAACAGGGTCTTGACTTGTTTAGTAAAGATTGGTAACATAATCCTGCGACATTCCGTGTAGAGGAACAGTTTACTGTGGACGATTTCGTTGATTGTCATCATTTTCTGTTTGGTGAGGCGCCCAGCAGGGATATTCGTGACGATATTACACAGAATCATGCTGAAAAAACTCGAGTAAAACACACTCAGATTAAAGAAAAGTGACAAAACCTCAATTCTTTTGCGTCAAAAATCATCAAAATGTCGGGAATCGTGCTAGGGAGATATTTAAGGCATGCACCTTGTTCCCGTAAAATCCCGTCTGATGTTAGGGCCATCATGTCGGTGATATCTTGCAATAAATCGCGGAGACTTTCCTCGAAATCGTCCTCGACATCGTCGACTACTTTCATCAAAATGCGCGATTTCGAGACAAACCTCATTACATATTGGAGAGATTTCATTGTTTTAAAAATGAGATCGTCTTTACTGTCGGGCGTTTTGCTGATGGCACGCCCGATTATGTTCTTAAGGACGCTGATCAATTTTCTACAAAAAATTAGCAAGTGAAACGACAAAAATATGAAATTTTACTCACTTATGGGCCAAAGTTGCGCTGAAATTTTCCTTGATGTATAAATCCAAGACCGGCTCGAAATGTTGGTACTTCCAGTCGTTACTGACTAGACTAATTATGTGCAATAAACAGTCGAAAACTAAAATATCGTACGTATCGGTTTCGGTAAATTCTATCAAAATATTAAAAAGCGAATCTAAAGTGTCTTGCAACAATTTAACGACTTCTTCGCCGTCCACTTTGAGCAAAGCTCGAAGGCAGATTTTTAAGTCATCCTTGTGCGTTTTCCAGTTCAAAAGACCCAACAAATCCACTTAAAAAGTTATGTTAAGAGTTACAAGTCACACAATAAAATGTTAATTACCGTTCTGTGTCAGTTTGGTCGAACAAATGTTGCTAGACATGACGAAAATGTCTTTAGAAATTGTTAATCCTGGTATTGACGGTTTCGGTCCATTATCCTTGACATCGCTAACGATCGAGGGTAATTTGAAATAATCTAAACTTTTTTCATCAAATTTTTTGTAATCGATTTTATAGACAATCAAATTATGCCTCGCATCTTTGAGAGTTGTGCCGTTTTCTTGCATGAGTTTCACATAAGACATGGCGAAAGGTTTTTCGTTTTTGTCTTTCGCTTCATTGGAAGATCGATGTTTGAAAGTGAATTTTAAATGACTCGTCTTGAATTCTTCAATAGGAATCGCGACTTTAAAAGTTTCATACCAATGCGGTTTGTCCTCGTGATAATAAATCATGGATTTATACTCATCTATTGGTGGAATTCCTGAACCTAAACCGATAACTCCCTAGAATACAAAAAAGAACTAAAATTGAACGTTTTTATTAATGATGGATGATTACAGGGATCGCTACTCCCTCTTCGTTACAAACTCTGACGACAACTTCGACATTTTTATCACAAGTTTTGTTCCCTTTACTGAACTCCCCTTTAATCAAAGTCAAATAAAGATCATTCCTGACGTCTCCCGGTAAAATAACTTCCGGAAACCCCATTTTTCGTGCGATCGACAAATTTCCCAAGACTAAATGGGGGTTTTCCTCCCTCACCTGCTTTAAATCACCTCTTAATAACTTCATTCCGACGAAAAGAGCGTGATTTTTATGCTCTGTTTTCGCAAAGTCTTTATTAATTATCTTCTTTAAAGTCTGCTCAAGATTATCCTTGTCGCAGCTAAAAATTACTGATTAACATCACTCGCGGGACGCTTTTTATCGACATACTTATAAAAAGGAACGGGAAATTCTTGTTCCAAGTCGCTCTCCCGCGACCCGTTCATAAAATGAGTAATTTCCATCGCTGCGACGCCAAAAGGTCGTCGGATTCCGTCAGTTGTGCCTTTTTTGTTCACTACTGAAACGGAACTACGGCGATGATCCGGATCTTTTGATTCCATCGCACCCACGCGCACGACGTAGCAAACCAAGTAAATTTTTTCCCGCTCTAAATCGCGTTTTCCGAGATCCTAATCAATTGGAAAAGTTAAACAAAACTCTATTAAAACTGAACCCATTTTCCAACACAGTTAAGTAAGTTGCACTTTCCGCACCAACTTAAACAATCGGAAATTTTATTTACGAGTTAGGAAACAAAAGTTGTTCATTTTATCAATTCGACAGCAACTTTTTTATTTGATCCGAGAATGAAGGTGCTTTAATCGAATCCAATGCTTTAAAAACGCTGATATTTGGGGAAGCAAAATTAAAATTCTCTTCTTAATTTTCTCTATTTTGTCATCTTTACCAATTTCTCGACTATCTTATCGATGAAACTTTATAAAAGTAATTCACATAATTATGAAAATCTAGGCTAGTAAATTATTGCTTTCAATACCATTTTTATCTACCCCATTTGGTATCTTTTGGTATTTTCAGTTTATTAGTTATTAAAAATCACATCATTTACTATAATAAGTAAAATATTTCTCGGTTATTAATTATTATTATTGAATTAAAAAATTCCGATGCCATAAGCGCAAACCAATACTTTAGAAATATTCTCCTAATAATAATTTAAAAAATTGCCGAAAATGTTCTAATTGTATTATTAAGGACAGTTTTCAAGTGCTATTTGTACATATTGTTTTATCTAAAGTGGATTATTAATGGGAATTCCGAAGTCAAAAATTTTATTGTTTTGACTGTGTTGGAAAAATATTCAGTCTTTTTGCTTGACAAATCTATTTACCGTAAACATAACTCTCAAATTGTACATCTGATCCAAATCACACATCAATCCGTCTTTGGACCACCGGACGACATAATTTTCTGTTATCGATTTGTACTCTTTTCCGTCATAAAGTGACATTAACAACTCGGCATCCTCGGTCATTTTGCATGTAAAATTTTTAACGGCTACTATAAAAATGTTGGAGTATTGTTGAATGGCAGTTTTAGGATGATTATCTTTCGTTTCGTTCTAATAAAAAATCACCATAAAAAATAATCGGCGACTCCAATTCTGGACTTCTCACCTTATTAGTCCTACTCATCCTTTCCGTCGCTTTTTTATGCAGATAATACATTTGCAATGTGCTGGTCTTTTCCGGTTCGATGACATTTCCGTTTTTATTTCTCACGATCAAATCTAAACCTAGGGTTTTGTTTCCCTTATCAATTTCCTCCGTTGCTTGTTTTGTTATTCGTTTCAATTCGTCGACTGGTAAAGTACCGCTGACGATTTTGCTCCTGTGTGTTATCAGATCGTAAATCTGACTTTTGATTGCCTCGAAATCTTTGCTGTGATTTACGTAAAGGTTTTTCCAATGCGGGGCCCATTCTCGCAATACTGAAGTGATTTCTTGCGCTACTGAAGGCTCCTTGAAATTGAACGTTAGGGTAGGTCCGGTGCGGTCAACAGTGCATGGTTTGATATGAATGTAACTCTTGGGAAAAATTCCCCTTTTGTGTCTGTCACGAATCAGGTAGCCGTAATACCAGTGTTCTTCTTCGTCGAGTATATGAAGGGAATCCCCGACGGTCAGTTCGAGTTTGAAATCGCTGTCGGCGGCAAAGTTGTATATTGCTGTGCACAATTTTAAAGTTAGTCACTAACGAGGATGGCGCGAATTATATCAATTAATTGTGCCCTAAATTTATGCCCTCGGCCTTGATTAGAGCACCGGTAACCTTGATAAAAGCGCAAATTCCCACACGTTGAATAAGAATAGAAAAAAAAACACGTATTTACTGGCATGAGGCTCGGTTACATCACGAGATTTAATTATCGCAGGAATTTACAAGAGTCAATTGAGTGTGTCAGACGCGTTGACCATTAGGAACCTCGTCGAATGATTCAATAATAAATTATTAAATTCACGTCTGACATCGGATGAATCAACATTTACATTGAGGAAGTGGTAAATAAAATCCTGATAAAAAGTGGGAGGGGCAATTGTAACAATTTTTCTAATTAACACATTACGTGAATTAAGTGAATCTTCAACAACGTAAATCGGAAAAACCTTCGGATTCTAAAAATACGGAATTCCTCTTGAAGGGGGGCCAAATGAGATCAACAAGTTTCACCAAAAGTGGGGTTATGTTTACATGTTACGCACGAATTAAATATCCAATTTTTTACCTATGCCGTAACTGAGTTCATCAGGTACTGATTCCCACACACTCATTTTAATAAAATTTTAAAACACCATCAAAAATAAACACAAAAAAATATAAGAGACGCCATCTTTATGGCATTTCCCCCACTTCCAGCACTTGACAATTACAGTTTTGCCAACATGACATATGTCAAATGGCGGCCAAAATTCAAATTCATGTCAGAAGAAACCGAAAGTCCTTATTCTATGACAGAATCTCAACTGGAGATGAGACGACGCAAACCTGACTATGGTCGCCTCTCTACACAACTCTTCGTCGGAATTTTAGGTGTGTCAATTGCACAAATCTTTTCAAATATGCAATTTTTTTTCCAGCTTGTCTTTCGTCGATATCGTTTGGGACGACGCTTGGATGGTCCCATCCAGTCTCGCAAAATCTAGCCCTAAAGTACAAAGACGTGGCCGATAACAAGCTCACCATCTTGTTGAGCATATCGCTATTGGGGTGCAGTTTCGGCGTGACGTCGTGTACGTTTATGATACAGCAATGGGGCCCCAAAAAAGCCATGCGATACATCGGCGTATTCTACATCATGACCTGGTGGCTCATTCTCCTCCCGCGCGGCAAAGTGCAAGTAGCCGGACGTTTCTTTCTCGGATTTTTTGGAATTTCGTATTCCATGTGTGGCGAAACTTTGTATCTCCAAACTGTGCATTACCATCTAAAACGGTACATTTCCGTCTTCCACAATTCATCAATGGTCTTCGGAGTGCTTATCAGCCATATGGTGGGGGCTGCCACGACTACGTTCTATTTGACCGTCTGCTGCGCCTTAATCCCGGTATTGCACTACATCCTCTTCCAGATTGTTCCCGAAAGTCCAGTTTTTTTGTACCAAACGAGTCATGTGGCCGCGTCTGAGTCCCTAGCGTGGTACAGGGGGGCAGGGAATTTTTACGAAGACATGGGCAATTTAAAAAAAGATTGGGAAGCAAATCGGTATGACACGGAAGCTTATGGGTACATGTTCTTCGCTAAAGTGGTGTACAGGGGGCTCCTAATTGTGCTCGGGGTTGCGTTTTTTCAAGCGTTTGGGGGGTACTTTATCTTCCTGTTTTACGAAGTTCGAGTTTGGGCTGAAAAGAGTGTTTTTTCACCGGTTGTGGATGCTTTAATAGGGGCTCTATTTTTCGTCGTTACTAAATTCCTATGGAGCGTTCTACATGAGTTCACGTCGAAAAATGTTCGTCCCTTGTTGATTTCTAGTTGTTTTTTCAGTGCACTAGCCCTTACAGCTATTGCGATTTATTTAATTTTGGATAATCGTAAAATTGATTTTTTAAAGTGGTTTTTCTGGATGCCTACACTAGCAATGAGTTGCTTTTTATTTTCATTCGAAATGGGGCTGAACTATTTTCCGAAAGTCTTAACTTTTGAATATATGCCCTTTCAAGTGTACAAAAGAGCGACAGTGATCGTTCAGTCATTATACTGGCTGATGGCTTTTTTAAATATTTATTGTTTTGCATCTACTTATCTGATAATTCCTACGTATGCTTTCTTTATTGTGTTGGCAATACTTGCCTACATTGGAACTTTGTTTTGTTATTATTTTGTGGTAGAACCTAAAGGTAAAAGTCTTGTACAAGTACAACTAGAGTTGGGTGGCAATCCTGTTGGTAGAAGAGGAGCGCTTTATCACCAAACCAAACGTACGCTATAATTAATTAAGGTCAAAACATTATTCGTGTATAGGTGCGAGTGAATAAAGCGAAATGTTAGAAAAGAACATGTTTATTTTTGAAGATATTTATTTCAAAATTTTGTGGAAGTCCAATAGCCCTACAATTTTATTTCACATGCTGTTCTATTGTGTCTCGTGTTGCATATTATTGTCGGATTTTTTTCGGTATTTTTAAGCCAATTCAGTAGGTGAACCATTTTCTACATTTATAAATCGTTTAAAAATTGTGATTACAAAAATATACTTAGCAAATAGCACACCATTACTGTTGTATCTGAAAAATATTTCATGTAGAATTAAGGACCCATGGAATGTTATAATTCTGTTGTCGTTTTATTGTTTTGTTGGTAGAAGTATGTTTAAAATAAGACAAAAATATGCATCACGGTTAAGCGGTTTGAAAGTAATGTTTATCACTGAAATAAGTCACAAATATCACTAATGTATTCTACAATACGAAATGAACAATACCGCACTTCACCTTTTAATTGTTTTAAGTTCACTTTAAACCAACTTCACTGGTTGCCTCTTTAAACAAAAGTCTCAAGTCATTATATATAATATATATACTTTTTTATATAATCAATATTAGTAGTTTATTCTCCTAAAGAATTTAAAACATAAATGTTTGGGCTATTCACTCATACACACATGGCAGCATTTTCTAAATAAACAGATTTATAAAATGAAAAACTGCACGAGTATCAATATAAAACATTTTTTCACTAAAAGGATCGGAAAATGTTTATATAAAAAATACCGCAGTGTATTGTTTTCCGACGTTTCAACGAAATAATGCACTTATTTATTTAGAAAAGAATCTAATTAAAAACTAAAAAGATTTTACAAGATAAAACTATCTATATCAATAGCATGAAATTTTGGACAACTAAAACTAATACACTACTAACAAATGGTTTTTTTGACATGTCGATCGGTTTCGCACCCTCGATAAAATAACAAGATTTACAAGAAACTAATCGTGGACGAAACCAATCGAAAAATCAAAACTCCATTGGAGTAAAAAAAAAGCTTGAATATACCATTTTTTACAAAACATGACAGGAAAAATCATTAAGTATATTCTTTATACAAATGAAACGGTTCATTCTCAAGTCCTTAAATTTTCACCACTAAAAAAATCACCCAAACATTTTCCTCATTTCCATAATCACTAAAAAAAACTTATTTGTGTATGTATATACAGCGTCGTCCAAAAAATAAACTAAAGATAAACAAACACGAAATAACCGAACTTAGAAAATGAACCTCTCATATTCAAATTAGCTGTGATGTAATAATTTCAATTTATTCACGATATGTATACCTTAAGGGATGAACAAAACATATAATGTGACCGACATGCACTTTCACACATTCGTAGCAGCTTGCAGCCCAAATAGAAACACATCATTCATCAAAGGAGATGTTAGTGGACCTCTGACGGTTCTGGTTTTGTTGCATGGTGATTCGCCGGGTCTGGCGTACTTATCGGCTGTAATAACAAAAATACAAATTAAACATCACGAAAAAAATACCCAATTTGTGGTAAAAAAAAGAAAAGGAAAAAAACATGCATGACAGAGGAAAAAATAAAATAAGAGAAAGCAGACACCTTGATTACTTTATGTTGGTAGTAGTAGTACTCACGAGAGCATGGGGTGGAACCACTGGACCCACCGGCGGGGCCGGCTGAGGTGTGGGTGGCGCAGCACTGGGAGTTACCGTGTGAGGGGCTTCGTGAGGTGTCGTGGAGTGTGCCTGTTGGACGGGAAGTGCACCACCACCTTGGTAGTAGCCTCCGTTTACCCCAGCCGGGGACACTGAACACATTCAAAATAAGTGCATCACAAAAACAAAAGCTACACCTCTTTTTGATCAAAATGGTAGGCGTTTGTCGGTAAATGTTATTAAAGAGACCTATCGAATTGATCAAATTATGACACAAAACATTAATCGGCGATAATTTAACATACAACTCAAACAAAACACGACCACGTCAAATCATTCATCACGTTAGTAGTAACAATATTACCTGTACCTTCGGGATATGAGCCCGGGCTCATGAAATATTCCTTATTGACGCAATTTCTTAAACACTCCGGGATCCTTCCCATGATGGCGCGTCTTATTTCCGACGCTGCCATTTCCCTAAGTTCTGTTGCTGAAGCGTCACTATAAAAGGCTGCATGTGGGGTACACAACAGATTTGGGGCGTCTTTCAATGGTCCCGAGAACACATTATACGGTTCGTTTTCGTGAACGTCCAACGCCGCAGCTCGAATCCGACCCTGTTTCAAGGCTTGAGCTAGAGCGTCGTCGTCGACGAGACCACCGCGCGCCGTATTCACCAAAAAGGCCCCCGGTCGCATCTGCTTAATAGTAAACTCGTTGATTAGATGATGGTTGTGTTCATTTAGGGTACAGTGCAGAGACACACAATCCGATTGAAATAAAAGGTCCTGAAAACGGATAAGTGAAATGAAAGACTTCGAAGGTGGCTATCGCGTACCTGTAGCGTGTAGACTCTCGTCAGTCCCAGACTCTTCTCAATGCCGTCGGGTAGATAAGGATCGTAGAAGATGACGTTGAAGCCAAAGGCTTTGGCACGGAGTGCCACCGCCGAGCCGATCCTGCCAAGCCCGACTATTCCGAGAGTATCTCCACGTATCCTGGCGCATCCTTGGGCCGCCTCCCGCACTTGTTCTGGACCGGTGAACTTCTTACCTTCCCTTACCATATTCGCCAACCAATAGGTCCGCCGATACAAATTCAAAATGAGACACAACGTCGTATCGGCGACTTCCTCGACGCCGTAACCGGGGACGTTACAGACGGCGATGCCGAGTTCCCCTGCCGCTTTAACGTCGATGTTATCGACGCCACTGCCTATGCGCACGATAATACGCAACGTTTTGAACTTTTCGAGATCTTCCTTGGTTAAAACGATGGTGTGCCACATTAGGGCTCCGACCGCCTCGTTCAACACTTTCTCGTGGATCTCACTGGTGCTCTGCGCGTCACAGAACGCCACCGTAGCCACGTCTTTCAATATCGGCATTTCGATGGAACAGTCTCTTCCGTCCAATAACGCCACTAATGGTCGGGTCTGCATCGGCCCGTTCGAAATTGGACCGCGCAAGTTTTCAACTCTAGGCCTTTTTGCCATCATTTTTCGTTTGTCCATTTGACACACGACACTAACCGCGACACCAGAGCCGCATTCACGGCACGACACTGATCACAACACGACGACGATGACGACAATTCACCTTCTTCACAGTGGTGATGATGATGATGCAGCCGTCCACCGTCTTATTAGCAAAACGCCGGACCGCAACACCAACCTCTTAGGTTACGCTTCGCGACTGAATATGTGATCCATTGTGATGCATGAAGACCACCTAGAAAAAACAAAACGCCGTTTATACAATCATGAAAACAGAGACAGTCAAAACGAGGACAGTAAACATGGCAATTGTCCGTCGTATAGAGAGGGTTAGTTTCTCTCGGACAACTATTACTACAGTTAAAACTAATTCCAACTCTCGACTACGAAACTGGCAAAGTTAGTCCTCAACTATTATTGCACGATGTTTGGTTTCAGGAAAGTTTGGGAAATGTGTTTCGGAATATGGTGTGGTGGTGGAACGCCAACGGCCAACTTTAGATATTTTAATAAATTATCATCGCCGCCGCCGCCGTCGTTGCTTCTCCTTCGTACGAAGCCGCGTTATTGCCACCAACCACTGGACATCTCCCTCCTCGTCCAACTTCCGCTGTTAATCACCGAGAGAAACCTCGCTCCGCCTCGGTACAACCCCTCCACGACGTCGAATTCCACCACCCCCGGTTTTAATCGATGAACTTTGCATGGGACCACTTGTCCTCGCCAAAAAATCGCATTGTAATTGTACAAAGTTCCTCGTCTCATTTATCACCGATCAGTTAAAAAGTCGACGAAAAGTTTGGCCCGCACACACAAGAATCATCTCAATCGACTCGACAAAAGTCCCGTAAAAGTTGCTAAAATCGATCGTCGACGGCAGTTCCCCTGAACTAACTTTTGCTATAAAGTATATAAACTTACACTTTTGTAACAACTTTAGTTCTCGGGCAAACTTTGGCCCGTGTCGGAGCGACTAGTTAAAAAGTTTGCAGAGTTTTCCTTGTCTGACTGCCGGCGGTGGAAAGAAAAAGAGGTGGGGATAGACCTCTTTGTCGCTTATTTCATTTCAAACTTCTTTCGCGCAAACTTTAATCTCTCAGATATAGTTTAATTAACGAAATACCTTTTGTTTTATTCGTCGATAAGGCCGACCGAAACAAAACGTTTCTCTTCTGCACCCAGCGCATCCGCCATTTCATCAGCGACAGACAAAAATGTCAATAATTAATTAAAAAAAAAAAATCGTGTAATCTGGCCAAATGGTTAGTTTATCGAGGATTGATTCGAACGCCGGGAATTCCTTTCGAAGTACTCAATACTGGCGTCCGGACGGACGCACTGCGTCTCTGTCGGTTCGATGAGGCGTCTTTGTTGTTAAACGAGGAAAAGCCAAAGATACGAAACCTTTGTCGTCGCGACGCTCGCTGTTGCTCCCGTTTAGCCAGTGTGTTACATGCGAGACCGGACATTCGACGGACAATCAATACGAGGATACTCACACACATGCACACACCTGAAGCGGTGCAGGATAACGAAATGGATGCGACGACGTCTAAGTTCGAATAGGAGACTGTTTTATTCAGTTTTATTCTTGATGTAATTAGAAAAGTTTCGGTTGTCTTGTCGTGCATTAATTATTTATTTCTCCAAGTCGCAAGTCTGAATTTCGGTCGCCGCAAACTCCAAACTTGGAGAAGACGGGAACTGGGGTACCACTACCGTCGACCCCACATTATTGACTTCGTTGGGGGGTCTCTGATGCTCTACTTTTCACCTCACCATGTAATTTCGTTTGTCGGGAGAAGGGAGATTAAGACAAAGCAGCAGCGATAAAAGTTACCGAGAAAGTGTTCGATGTCGGATTGTCATTGTGATTGTAGTGATTAAAAGAAGAGATCTGGAGTTATATGCTTTTACATTTACAAACAAATCGAAATCATCAAACAATATGTACGTAACAGGTGGCTGTTTGTACGAAAAAGTGAAATTGTTCAGTTAATTTGAGCGATAAAACGAACATGATATTAGATGCATTTTTATTAAATATACACACAAAAATAAGAATCTAGATACGGATATTTTTCAACTTTTCAATTGCAAGTGAAAATTTAATTAACAACCTTCACATTACACAGCCTATATTTTATTATTAAAACATAAACTACGCTCATACATTATCCACATAATACTTAACATAACTCTGAAGTTAAGAACAAGAGCTATTCATTTTTTTTTTTGAGAGGTTTATTCCTGCTGCAACACGAGAAGACTTTTAAACTGACTCATATTAACTCAATTTTATTCCCTTAAAAAAACTATCTCGCTAGTTAACAAATTTTGTCACGCTGTGACAGATTTTACTGTATGTGAAGAAACATTTACAGGCTTTTCTAATTTTTTTTTTGTATTCCAATATCGTTTTGCCCCTAAATTTGACGTAATTTTTTATTTCTTATTTTTGTAAACATTTAAGGATTGCATAAATCACTATACCTATTTCTTTAAACTGTTTATATCAGCGTATTTTAATTTTTAGTTTTATTACTGAGAAACAAAGAATTAATTTTGTAATAAATCAAATAATTAAATTGATTACCAATATTGCAATTTAAAAAAAAAATCGTCTCACAAGTGAAAGTTAAAATAAATCAAATAATCTTAAAAAAAAAAAATCTGCAACTCTGCAAGATCGGCCTTGCAACTCATGTTGTTTATAAAAGACATTGTTTAATGACGTATCGAAAACATGTCGAAACGTCACTTCAAGAAACGCCCACGTGTAGAAAAACCGGTAAAAACGTTCGTTCATAATACGAATCTATTAATAGCAAAAGTTGCCGCTTTTCACGAGAGTTTACACATTTTCCGTCCTCCTCTCCACCTGCGAATGAATTGAAAAGCGTTTCACGTGGTCTTGCATACGGCGAACACTATAAATAGATTCAAAGAATTTGAGTTTGTGCATTTAGCAGTCGAAAAAAACCAAAGATGAGTCGACGAAAGAATTTCCACAGAACGACAATTCTTGCACTTAGAAAATCGGAGGAAAATTCCGTTGAAAACTTTTCCAACACGTAACATGATAAACAATCTCATGGTCACCTCTCCCACAAATATTTCGTAATAATAATTCAATGAAAATTTAATTTAGAAAAAAAAATAGAATTCGAGTGGCGATAAGTCGACCGTTTAGATTTGCACATTTCTTTCTACAAATAGTTTTGTTATCTCTCATCACCAATATTTATCTTCAAATTAAATAAAGCGCAAATCAATATTAATTACGAAAAATCCGATACTCGTGATAAAACGCAAAACATAATTTTCCGTTTCTCTTGAAAACCCCCAACTTAAAATTAACTGAAGCGTCTTTTACCGCTACCACACCGTCAGAACAGTTAGAAAACTTTAAATTGTGTCCCCTGTAAAAAAGTTTAATTCGTTAAAAATTTATACCAAAGTATGAACAAAGTTATAAATCCGACAAAGTTTTCCTCCGGATCGGCGCCCGCACCGACGAAAAAAAAATGCAAAACTTTAATTGTTTTCTCTCGCAAAAAGGATAATCATTAAAAATGCATCGTGCACTAAAGGGTAAAAGAACCGTGAAGAGGATGTATTTCGGTCTTCTCCCACGATCGGCCAAAGAATTTTTCGCTGAATTCGCTCTTGTTTATTACTCAATTATTCGAAAAAATCCGACCGACGGTGCTTTATTATTGGCCCGTTTCTCGAACGATCAGCATTTCCACCGATTTTCGTCTGCGTCGGCGAAATCACAGATTAAATCGTCTCCGAAGCGCCGCATTCGTTAATTGATTCAGACACACACGTATACACACAAAAGTGAAACGTAAAACGTAACCGTAAAAATTAATCAAATAATAAATTTCCCCCGCCAAACTGACATCAAACTTTCTCTGCATAAAAAAATATACGGCAAGGCCGAGACAATTTTCTTTGTATGCTCCCCACTACAAGAATGAAATTAAAATTTCGTGGTCATTAATCTAAACAACCGAAAATATAGCCAATATGTAATACAAATCACTTTGTTCATTGGAAATTGATTATAGTAGCTATAAATACACTATCATACCGTTTTGGTAATCAATCTTCACCTGACCAATAAAATTTACTCGTCGGTATTACCAACATAAAAAAAAACATCACAAATAACATGATTGTATTCGAAAAGCACAACCTGACGTAATGGGAAAATTACATGTTTAATGCGGACCGCTACACTGTTGCGAATTTCGTGATTTGACTCGGAAGCAATTTGTTGATTCTTTTGATAGTTTTTGTGTCAAAATTATTTTAACTTTTTCTTTATTGGTAACAATTGACTACTTGAGCACACACCTTATCTGATCACTGATCAGTGCAGAAAACTAGAAAGCAGTACAAATTCTTATAACTGTGTTGAAAAAATGTGTTTATCAAGTGAAGAAAGTGTCACATATGCAAATTAGTCACTCATTGAAAAAATTACGCACTTGTGATAAAAATAATTTGTCATTTTTTAAGGAAAATATGACCGCTTTGAGAACGGTGATACTTAAGATAAAGATGATTTCACTTATTGAACCGTCGAAATATGTATTAATGGAAATTACTCATTTATAGTGAATATTTAAAAAAGTTTGTTTAGAATACAAAAGAGAAACTGATTGTTTCATAATGTGATCAAAAAGTTTTCGAATTAGAGTGGGCGATTGATAAATACTTGATGTATTTGACTGAAGTTAGAAATGTCAACTGTAAAATAATACGGAGACATCAAATAAATTTTTAATTATAGTGGGCTGTTGGCAATTTGACATATCGATTTTAAATCAAATAACTGTACTAAATATAATTATAGATAAAATGAATGAATAAAAAAGGTATTAATAGTTTTATTTATTTTTACTATAGTTATAAATAAAATAAGGAAATCGCCTTTTAGGAATATTGTATTTGAACTTGATAAAAATTGTTTTTACATATTATATTATTCTCTTTATCGATTTAAACAAAAACAAAACAAGCATAAACATTTTACAACAACAATAGCAAAGACATGTAAAAATTAAATTTGTTTTCATTGTCAACTAAGAAAGAAAATTCGTAAAACACAACTGCTATTATTACATGGAAAAGTATTATTAACGATCGAAAAGTGGATAATGAGAAAGGTTTATCTTGATAATGATAACATGTAAAAAAGCGTATTAAAGCTAAAACAAACAAAACGATAATGTAGTAGATGTAGTAAAACAATGCGGTATTTTGATTCGTGAGGGAATCAAACAAATAATAATATTAATAAAGTTTCGCAATATTTCAAGTGGGAAAATAACAATAATAACATTGATAATAATTAATTAATTTACATGCAAGTGTACTATTTACGATTTTTATAACTTTGAACAAAGTTACATTACGGCAAAATTCCTTTTTTAGGTTTAAAAATCAGGTATACTCGCAAACTTTCTCCTTTTGTGTTTTTTTATGTATAAATTTCACTTGACAATTATAATTAAATTGTTTTTCAATTAAACACGATTTAAATTGTAATCAAGTACGTAAGAGTCATTGGTCAAAAAAATTGAAATGACAGTCAAGTCGGCGAAAAGATAAACAGAGTGAGTGAAATGTCAGTCACAGGTAGTTCAATTCTTACGAAACCTCGATATGTAAATAATCTCAATTTATAATAATTAAACTGCGTACGTAAACGAATTTCAAGATCGTGGAGGGGGTGTTTGTATGTAAATTAGAAACGGCGAGTCGGGGGTTGTTCGCTATTGTAATTGCCGAAATAAAAAAACAAGCCGAGATACACCTGCCTCTAATTACGGAACTAGAATCAAGGTCGGCGTCGTTTGCACGATTGTCTTTTGATTTTTGGCGTGGAATGCGAATAAATCGCAGGTGAATGTAAAGTTTCTGTGCGTCGTTTGGGACAACATGGCAAATGCGGGTCATTGCCAGGAGACATACCGGACCGTGTGAGCGGACTTTAGCTGGTTGAACCTCTTCGAAGTAAACGCTCGCGAAAGACGTCTTGGGAGACGTCTCCGAGGCGGCGTCGGGGCCCCCAAGACCCGTCTGATAGACGTCGGCCATCGGCTTACCTTAAAACTAAACCGTGACAGAAACAAAGAGAAGCGGCAGGAGCCACGCTGCTAGATTCCAAGTCGGACACACTTTCTTTGCTCGAAAACACATAAACACAACACTTTTCACGTTCTGTACGGCTCCAGCGACGAGGAAATCGTCCAATAACGACCACTCAAAGGGATTATTCCGTTTTTCTAGGCCACTTTTCTGGATTTCTTGTATAACGCTAGGTGCTAACTATATCCCCACTTCTGCACATCAAAATGGCGGACGCGCACTGTAATAATACCGTTGCTTCGCCCAGCGGACTCCCCCCTCTCTCTGTGATAAAAGTTACCAAACTGTTGACAAACTACGCGTGTAGAATGCAGCACTTATATGTGTAAATGCGATAACCACGCCTCTTTCAACTTCTTCTATTCAAATCTTCGCAAGAACTTTCATTCAGAAGAATAAAACACGCACGACATTGTTAACACAACGCAAATAATACTTCATTTTTTTCACGAAACACAAAGCCAACTACAACACAAAAGCAACAAAAAAACTAAAATTAAAACAAATGAAACGCGAATTGACACTTCGGATTTGCCGCGCCGGCAATACCAACATACCAATCCAACAATATTAAAAAAAACACCTCAAAATCGCTCAAATTAATCCAATTTGACAAAAAACTGTCTCCCTCCACTGCTCTTGATCCTCCACCGTAACTCCAACATTTTACTTTTTTTAAAATTATTCTTACGTCAAATATAGTGATATTTCACCAACTACAGTTGGCGCCGCTTTTCCGACTTGGCGCCTTTTTTCCAAACGTCAACAAAAATCTAACCTGAAATAATTTAAAAAATGAACCACGAACCTTTGCGCTACGCTCACGAAGAGGGCCACACCGATGTCTGTTTCTCAACCGACGGCAGGTGAGTCACCCCAACTCCTCAAACACTTCCCACATCTAGATTTTTAGCAAATTTATTACTTGCGGGGCCGACGGGGATATCCGGATCTGGCCGTCGAAGGAGGACACCGACCCCACACATACTTGCATAGGCGAATGGTCACTTAGTGTGTGCCAAAAAGGGGAGTGTTTGTATGTCGCCACTGGGAGCAATGATGTTCAAATCCTCACCTTTCCAGGGGGTGAACGAAACGGGATTTTGGAACGATTTGTGGCCCCCATTAATCAAATCACACTCAGTAAAGACAGCGAGGTTTGATAAGAAATTTTTTTATGTTTTTTTCTTAAATCGGGGGTTTGTTCTAGACTGTTGCGCTTGCTGGTGAGGATATGCAAGTAAGATTGGTTGAATTGGGGGCAGAGAAAAGAGTTGAGGTTTTTGATGGGTTGTCAGGGCCTTGTTTGAGTGTTGCCGCCACGAGTAAGTTTCTAGCGGCGAGTTCTGGAGACGGGAAGTTGAGAATTTGGGATGTTACAAGTAAAGAGTTAGTCAAGGAAATTGACTGTTTTCCTAAAACTAACAGTTTTGCCAATGCTGAATATTTATGTAATTTGCTTGGTTAGTTTTAATAATTAACATAATGTTATTTGGTTTTTAGGTCGTATTGATTTTGACCCCAACGGCAAATATCTTGCGTACCCAGAAAAAGATTCAGTTGTTATTTTAGACACTACAGATTGGTCACAATATGGTATATTAAAAACAAATGAAGTCACAACTTATTACTCAATTGTACAGTTTTCACCCTGTGGCAATTATCTTCTCGCAACTACTCTTAAAGGCGATTTTGTTATTTTTAATGTTACAATTAAAATGGTGAGAGGGACCAGTAAACACCCTAGTGGAACACCCATATGTGGAGCAGTGTGGAACCCCTTAGGTATTTTTTGTATTTAAATATAGTAAAAGTTATAAAGTTTGTTATAAAGGAAACGGCCATATCGTTTACACCGATACTCAAGGCCAGTTAGGAATTATGTCAGACTGCATAAACACCAAAGCAACCGAAGAAGAAATTTTCACTGATAATAGTGTCAACTTTGGCGATGTCCAATTCGAATCTGATGATGAAGACAATGAAAATGTCATTTCCGTCGAGAAATTAAAAAACGAAGTCATGGGTGAAATAGAACCCGAGTTAAATTTCGACAATGGTAAGTTGTGCTAATTGTTTTTCGATTTTAATAAATTCTTTAAGCATCGTCGGCCCCAACTCCCCGTCCCAAGACCCCCGAAATCCCACTTCAAGCTCCATTTATGCCAAGTTCGACCCCTGAACATTTAAATCCTCGTTATTTGTGCTGGAATCACCTCGGAATTGTCCGATGTTACGGTTCTACGAATGATGATGATTCAGGAAAATCTATCGAAGTTGAGTTTCTTGATTCCTCATTTCATCACAGCATGATGTTGCAAAATTATCAAGATTATTTTTTGGGGACTGTCAGTAAAGCTGCTCTCGCTGTGGCCAATGCAAAGTTACACACAAAAGTTGATGATTTGTTTTTTATTATCCGAGTTTCTTTTAGACAACTTTATGTGGTTCCCTTGAATTCTGGTTCAAAGGAATGGGTGCTCAAATTAGAAGAAGACACTACAGAAGAAATAGTTTTAGTTTCAGCTTCTGAGAATTTAATTTGTTTTGGGTCAAATAATTACATAATTAGAGTTTGCTCTATTTTTGGGACTCAAAGAGGAATAGTTTCGATTCCAGGCCCTTTGGTTTCAATGTCAAGTTTTCAAAATTCAATTCTTGTGGCCTACCATTCGGGAAGTGTCCGCAACAGTGACCAATGTATCAACATGAAATTAATTACTTTCAATGGATTATCGATGCAAAGTCGCGATATCGGCTCGGCTTTAGGCCCCGAATCCACACTGTCATGGCTTGGGTTCACCGATTTTGGTACTCCTTCTATGATAGACTCGCTCGGAATGCTCAGTCTTTATCCTGTCACTAGTAACATTTGGATACCTTTCTGCGACACTGCTAAACATGTAAGTGGTAGTAAAATACTTGAAAAGTAACTAATAACTTTTTCTTTTAGATGAAATCACCGTCTGATAGTTTTTTTGTTACTGCCGTTCTCGAATCATACCAATCCGTTGTGGGAATCAAGTGTCGTGTCGCTGCTTATCCGAGTTTCACCCCAACACCAACACTCAGTGAGTTGATGTTAGGGCCCCCATTCGCTGAACCAACAACAGATAAAACAGAGTTAGAAATGAATCTTTTTACTCTCACAAATTTACAAGTCGGTAATCAGGATAAGAAATTTTCAGAAGCTGGCTTGAAAGCATTTGCGGTAAGACGAAACGGACCGCAGACTAAACACTACAGTTTGATTATAGCTGGCCTGTAAGAATAATTTGGATCAGAGGGCACTAGAACTTATGGAAATTTTATCCAGTCGTCAGTTGTTAAATTTGTCAATGAAATATGCCCTAAAATTGAATAAAAAAATGCTGGCGGAAAAGTTAATGGAGATGGCTTCAAGACTGATGACAGAGGATGACGATTCGACAAATTTTATTGTGGTAACTGTTATGCAATTAAGTGACGAAACTTTTTTAATTTGGTTCTTTTAGAATACGCCAACTTCGTCACCCCTCGCACCTAAAAAAATTACCCTAAGTTCGATTAAGCGTACACCAAAAAACAAACAAGTCGTCAAAGAAGAGGTACTTGTTTATGTTTTTTGTTTCCGGTTTTTAGTGTGAGTTTCAGGCGACTGCACCGGAAGTCAGTCAAGATAGCCAAAGTTCGGTTTTAACTCCCTCACTGCCAGTTCAAGAATTTTCAGAAGAATCTCCAAATCCATTTTCCAAAAGTGCACGAAAGGGGATCGAATTGTCAAATCCTCTCAGTCTTACTGACAGATACGCGGGTGTCGAATTCGTCGACGCTAAAGAAAATAAAAAAGAGGCTGAAAAGAGGAAACAACCCGATTCTTCCCAGACTGATAAACCGCGTGAAAAACAGAGAAAACTAGATAGGTTTATGTTTGGTAAACGCACATGAATTATGATAGTGATTTATTTTTATCATAAGATACCAACAATATATTTATTTACGTTTTCGTGGATCACGGAATATTCCTTTCGCAAACATATCCTCCCATTCGCTCCCATTGGGGTACTCATACTTGATTATTGCTTCAGGTTTTAGCGTGGTACTGTAACCAGGAGTCTGAAATTGTCCGAAATGATTTTTCCGTAGGGGAGAGTTTGGAAAAACTTACCCTCGGGGCCATATAGCAGGCATTTTCGACAATAGTCGGGTTGATAAATTGCTCGTGTTGTTGGTCAACGTACTCAATAAATCTACCGTCCATGGTACCCGACAAGGCCACATAGTCCCACATTTGCAAATGTTGGACCATTTCGCATAATCCGACACCGCCAGCGTGAGGGCAAACCTTAACTACGAAAAATTATTAACATCGAATTTTTTTTAACAAACACCAACCTCCTAATTTTTTACACATCAAGTACACGCTTAAAATCTCATTAACTCCCCCGATTCGTGCCGAATCGATTTGGCAATATTCTAAGGCATTGGCCTGTAAGAATTGCTTGAAGAGAACTCGGTTGCAGCACATTTCGCCGGTTGCAACTCCGATTCCTAGCGGTTTTAAAGCTTTGGCGATTTCGGCATGGCCTAAGACGTCATCAGGGGATGTAGGTTCCTCAATCCATAAAATTTTAAAGTGTGCTAATTGTTTCATCCAATCAATAGCCTCCTGTACTTCCCAGATTTGGTTCGCATCGACCATCAAAATGCGATCCCAACCGATGATATTCCGGATCAGTTCCAATCGTTTAATGTCTTGGAATAAGTTTTTCCCAACTTTAACTTTAAATGCGTTAAATCCTTGCTCCATGTATTTGTTAGCGAGGTCGTAAATTGTTTCGTCAGTGTACCCCAACCAACCTACAATAATTTAGAGAGTTTATTTTTAATGATTTTTCGGTGAAGTACCGGCTTGTGTGGTGTAGGCGGGGTATCCTAGAGCTAACAATTGGTTCATCCTTTCTTCCTTCCCCACTCTGCCTCTTCTCAACAACTCGATTGCTTCTTCCTTCGTTATAACATTTGACAAATACCGGAAATCTATAGTCGAAACCAGCTGTTCGGGTTCCAAATCGGCCAAAAGTTGCCATACTGGCTTATTAAGTAGTTTCCCCCAAAGGTCCCATAGGGCGTTAATGATCGCAGCTGTGGCAAGGTGTATTACCCCTTTTTCCGGTCCGATCCACCTCAGTTGACTCTCACTGGTCAAACTCCTCCAAAAGCCGGCAAAATCTTTATAAATATCGCTGACCACTTGACCCACGATGAGGTCGCTCAACGATTTGCAAGCTTCGACGACGATTTCCGTTCCTCTGCCGCAAGTAAAGGTCATGCCGTGACCTTCCAGGCCCGTCTTGAGTTTGATGGTAACGTAGGCGCAAGAATAGTCAGGGTCAGTGTGCTGGAAACGGATTTGAGAGTATTGGGTATAAATGTGGGGGCTTTTACCATAGCATCCGAGCCGTGCGCTTCAAGAGATGTCGGGAAGCGGACATCTTTCACGTCGAAAGAGATTATTTTTATATTTTCGATTGTTAGACTCATGCTGTGGACGAGTTGGCGGCACTGTGATTTTTGAGATGGTTTTGAAATTTATGTCGGAGGATCACGAGGCCAATTTGCATTGTTTAGATAAGGTGTTATCTTGATTCTTGTTTATCCTATGTGTTTAAATTTGTGATGCAAGAAAAAATACGATACATCAGATGCATGACATATTTTTGATGGTTTTTTACCAGAGGAAAAAAATAAAAGCAATGAACCCCTTTAGGGTCGCATGTGTTTTTTTTAAGAGTGAAGTTAAACAAACTGGATTTTTTGAAAAAATATAAAAAAATTTAAGTCTCACATGTTCTTATCACAGTTCTTATGTAACTTAAAATTATAAACAGTGTTATGCAACCAACAATTCACAAGCACATAAGCTTTAATCTACCTTAGAAAAATATTTTGTTTTAAAATTCACTTGCGCGAAAATATTGAAACTTATGCATGTTTTTGTAAGAATCAAGTCAAGGATTTTTTCTAACTTTATGATTTAATACTTTTGGAGCTTAATCCCATAAATTGTTTTATTCCGTTATGTTTATTTTCTTCGTTTGAGATAGCACTGTGATAACACCATGGACCTAGTATACTAAATACTACCTCCATAACACTGAATAAAAAGTATGGAACCAAACGTTTTTTGCTTAAACTATTTATTTTTTTTTTGGAAAAACTAATTGATGATTGATGGATGATAAAGTACTATAAAAATGTGACGTTTTATCAAGAATAAATTTTTTCAAAATTTTCTTTTGTTTTTGAGTTCTGCAACATTTTTAATTTTTTTAAATGGCAACCCACTATAAAATCATTTTTCTCCTAAAGGTTATAATCTAAGTATTACAACTATCTATCTAATTTATATTTAATATTTATCAAAAAAAAGTTTTTACAAAAGTTGCCATTACGCCAAAAAAAGTCGCAAAACTCAAAAAAACAGTTTTTGCGGACTAAAAAATAAAATTAGTTACTATGGTAACGAAATTTTTTTAATTAGTAAGAGGTGTGAATTTGTGTTTTGAGACCTTTAACAAAAAAATCTTGTATGCACCACGTATGCAAAAGGTTTTAGGTGACTCCTCCCGTCCCCTAAAACCCTACTTTGGGTACTTAAATAGCTATTCTGGAGGCAAAAAAAATGCTTGATCTTACTTTGTGTGTAATGAATTTTTTAAAAGTGCATGCCTTTGTCAAATAATCGTCTTATTTTTAAAACTAATCAAAATCGACCAATAAAAGTTTGGCTTAAAACATTGTCGTAAAAATCTACATCCAAAAATGCAGAAACATATGATGTCTCATTTAAAAAAATACAAGTTTGTATTGTAACTTATATTTTTGGGACACGATGTATAATTGAAAATAATTTTAGGCTATGGACTAGATTATTATCTATCAATGTCCTATATGTATATTTTTTTTTAATTTTACCATTTAAAGGTCACTAATGGTCTTTACCAACTAACTGGCACACCCTGTATATTCTTCACTCTGTATAATTAATTGACTGTAACTGACCCAAAGTTACGGATATTCAGAAAAGTTCAAAAACATATACTCCTAATAATACATTAAGGAATGCCTCCCTCACTTATTGACTGATATCTATTTATTATCAATAAAACTCACATCAGCTTCATAAATATTATATTTTTATTATTGTATTACTTTTTTATTATCAGTAATACTTATTTCATTTATTGAAAATAGCTAGAGTTTCCATTGCAAAAACACAAAATTAACTAAAACAAAAGTTGTCACGATTCCAACAAATGTCATAACAATTTTATTATTCACTGATTACCTACCTACACATCTTATTTCAACTTAGTGACAAAATAGGATTTCATATCTTATCATCCATTTTTAGATAGTGTAAAATAAAAATTTTAGTTTGTTGTAACCATTTTGTCTGTTACCTCTACATACCATATAATTATTCACTGTCCTTGAATTTTGCACTAGGCACAATAGTTGTCTGCTATTAAATACATATTTTAAGGTTTTTCATTTTTATTTTACCTGTGTTGTAATTCATATCGCAAGTCAAGATTATGAAGTATTTATTGTTATAAATATCAGCACTTAAGCTGATATCAATCACTTAAATCCTACTAAAGTGTAGCAAAACCACAATGGACTCTTCTTCAAATACACAAACAGTGAAAGTGTATAAATATCGATGGATAACTCTTTCAATATTTTGTTTCTATTCTTCAATAAACTTCGTGCAGTTTCTTCAGTATTCGATCATTTCAAACATCACAGTCTAGTAAGTTAAGTTAAATATTTCAAACATACAATTCGCAATTGTTTGTAGTTATTACAATGTAGAAGACACACTTGCGGACCTGACAGGTCTATTCTTCATGATTTCATTTATCATATTTTGCCTTCCAGTCAACTACCTTATCGAAAAATACGTAATAATTGTTTTTTTTTTATACAACTGAAATTCAAAGCAATTTTCTTCCAGAATTTGAGAACCACTGCCCTTATCACTAGCAGTTTAACAACATTAGGAAACCTTATTAAATTACTTTCAGTTTCTCCGGACCGATTTTATGTTGTTTTAATTGGCCAAGCTCTCTGTGCTATTGCCCAAGTTTTTGCGATGAGTATCCCATCGAAATTGGCATCAACATGGTTTGGAGCAGAAGAAGTCTCCACAGCTTGCGCTATCGCAATTTTTGGGACTCAGATCGGGGTTGCAATGGGAAGCATCATGTCTTCACATTTGGTCAGAAATAGTAAGAATATTGACGAAATTGGTGATGACTTTATGACACTACAAATAATCAACGGCTCCATAACGGTTGCTAGTTTTATTACAGTTTTATTATGTAATGATTAATTTTTTTATTTTTAACAGTTATTAGAATTTTCATACAGTTTTTAGGGCTAGACCTCCACAGCCTCCAAGCCAATCTCAAGTCACCATCATTGACGCGGAAAAACCTTCGACTATGTCAATTATCAAACAAATGATCAGGAATAGAGATTATGTGTTATTACTAATAGCGATAGGAAGCTCGAATGGATTATATTCCTCGTTTGGAATTTTGTTTAATGGCCTTTATCTCAATTATTTTCCTGTAAATATTTTTTTTTATTTTGCAAAAGCAGTTATAAGAAAATACTATTTTATTTTAGTATCTAATAACGCAATTGTGACTTTAAAGAGTAAAAAATCATAAATTACAAAGTGGAGTACAATTTGTGATTGTTATAATTTTTTGTAGTACCTACCTATTTGCTGTAAAATTAATACCTCATGCATATTTTTTGAATTTTAAATTTGAAATTCTTTAAAAACAAAACACTATTACAAAACACTATTATTTTTTATTGTTTTTAGGACTCTGAGGCCGAAGCTGGGATAATTTCAGCTCTAGCCATTATTGCTGGCGGTTGCGTTGGCAGTGTAATATTTGGATATGTTTTGGACAAGTGGCACCATTTTAAGTATACATTTTTCCAATAAGTGACAAAAAATACCTATAGAATTATTTCCAGATACACCTCCTTTTTCGTTATTTTTTTATCTGCAGTTACATACATTTTTGTGGTTGTTTCAATGGAAGAAAAGGTTCAATTGGTCACATATTTCACCATTCCACTGTTTGGGTAAGTCAGTAAGAATTATAAAAATATTATCATCAAAAATTGTTTCAGATTTTTCATTGCGAGTACATTACTCGTAGGTTTTGAATTTGCTACTGAACTCATGTATCCCGTTCCTGAAGCCGCATGTTGTGCCATTTTAAATGCTTTTATTTATATTTTTTCAGTGGCGTACACTCTAATTTTCGGTGCTTTGTTTGACTCGATTGGTTATATACCGACAAATATTATTATAATAGTAATTTTAATGCTAAGTTCATGTATTGTTTATTTTATTAGACCAAATTTGCGACGAAGAGAAGCAAACATGAATAAATAAACTATTTTTTGACTATTTTTTGTGTTCTTATAATCCCAATCAAATAATTTTATAAAAATGTGTACATATCATGTCAAAAATTATAGAGAGATTACAGTAGTGGTTCTTTTCTTTATTCTCAATTCGCAGAGTATCTCTATTTTCACTTCTTATTATTTGGTTACAAACACATATACATAATTTCAAATATGTACAAAATTTGTTTCCACTGTTTTTATTGTTTTTTAGTTGTTGCATTTATTGATCATTATTTGCTTTACACATTCCGAATTTTCTATAAACAGAAAATCATCATTTTAAAATTATCGAAATGTCGTGTATAGACTTTTTTTTTTCTTGAATACATTTGAGGTGTGATTTATTATTATTACTTTGAAACCATATTTTTTACTAATTATGATTTAAAAAAAAAAATTCTGTCACAAATCTTTGGTTCCTTTTGTTTTTCTTTTGTAATAATTTTTATTTTTTATTACTTCTTAATCAAATAAGATAATTTTCGATAAGATAATTTTACACAATAAGATAAATTAGTGCAGCATCTTTAAAGTATAAAATTATATGGAACATAGAGGAATAATAATTATGAGTATTATGACAGACTGTAAATAAAGTTAATTTTTAAGGTTTTCTCATTTCTATAAAAGCAGTACGAGATAACAACAAGTTTCGAAAAAAGCAGCGATATTATGATGGACTTTTCATCAAATATCACAACAGTGAATGTGTACAAATATAGATGGATCATACTTTTAATATTTTGCTTCTATTCTTCCATAAATTTTGTGCAGTATCTGCAATATTCAATCATTTCCAACATCACAATCAAGTAAGTTGTTCAACTAAAAATTCCAAAACCAATTTTCCATGGTTTATAGATATTACGATGTAGAATACATTTTTGTGGACCTCACAGGTGTACTCTTCATGTTCGCCTTTATATTAATTTCTCTTCCAGCCAACCAACTTATAGAAAAATACGTAATAAAATTTCCTGTTTTCAATAACCAAACTACAAAAGCCAATTTTCCAGAATTTGAGAAACACTGCCTTATTATCTAGCGGCTTAACAACTTTAGGAAACCTTATTAAATTACTGTCAGTTTCTCCGGACCGATTTTATGTCGTTTTAATTGGTCAAGCCCTCTGTGCCATTGCCCAAGTTTTTATGACGTGTATTCCATCAAAATTAGCATCGACATGGTTTGGCCCAGATGAAGTGTCCACAGCTTGTGCTATTGCAATTTTTGGAACTAATATTGGAGTGGCGATCGGTTGTTTCATGTCGTCAAGTTTGGTCAGAAATAGCGACAATCTAGATGAAATCGGCGATGATTTTATGACACTACACATTATCAACAGCTCTATAACTGTTGCCAGTTTTATTGCAGTTTTGTTATGTAATAATTAAAATTGTTTATTTTCAAAAGTAAATTTTGAGTCAGTTTTCAGGGCTAGACCTCCACTGCCACCAAGTCAATCTCAGGTCGCTATTATTCATGCTGAAAAACCTTCTACTTTGTCTATTATCAAAAAAATGATTAAGAATAGAGATTATATTTTGCTAGTAATAGTGATTGGAAGCTCCTCTGGACTGAATTTATCGGTTGGAATTTTGTTTAACGGACTTTATCTCAACTATTTTCCGGTAATTATATTTTTTGCTTTTCTAAAAGAAGCATTGTAAGATTGGTTATCCTAATCAATGAATTGTAACTAACATTACCACATTACCTACCACTTATTTTGGTTTTTAGGGCTTCGAAGTCGAAGTTGGGATAATTGCAGCTATTACTGTCATTACTGGTGGATGCATCGGTAGTGTAATTTTTGGATATGTTTTAGACAAGTGGCACCACTTTAAGTATTTTTCATCAACAATAAGTTACACAAAAAAATTAATTTTATTTCCAGACTCACCACTTTTTTCATTGTGTTTTTCTCAGCAGTCACATTTAGTTTTGAGATTGTTTCAATGGAAGAAAAGGCCCAATTGGCCACTTATTTCACCGTACCGTTATTTGGGTCAGTGAAAAACCGCAAAATTTTTAATTAATTGAAAAATCGTTACAGGTTTTTCATTGGGAGTTCATTACTCGTAGGTTATGAGTTTGCAACCGAACTCATGTATCCCATTCCTGAAGCCGCATCTTGTGCCGTCTTAAACATCTTTATTTATATTTTTTCACTGGCGTTCACTTTAATTGTTGGCGCTTTATACGACTCGATTGGATATACCACAACAAATATTATTATAGTGGTTGTATTAGCGTTAAGTTCACTTATTGTTTATTTTATTAGACCAAATTTACGACGAAGAGAAGCTAACATGAATAAATAAGTCATGTTTAAGTGCTCCGTTTTTTCATTCGGTTCAAATATTCTCCTAAAAATCCACACAATTCTTTATTTAAATTCATGTCATGTGATTAAAAACAAATCAAAGTAAAATTATAGAGAGATTACAATAGGAGTTCTTTTCTTGATAGTTAATTTTACTCTCGATGCTGTCGAGCATCGTATTAGTGGAACAAGGTTGTGAATAAATTATAAGCAAGTTTGTATCTAAATTACTCATTAAACTTGCCTCACCAAATTCAATATCAATTCATAATAAGGAAGCTCTAATTTCACTTCTTATTTGGTTACAAAGGCATCAAAGGCATCTTTAAAGATGTACAAAATTTGTTTCAATTTTTTGTTTGTTTGTGTTGAATGCTCCAGACCAGTGGCGCAGCTAGAGATAGAGTTTAGGGAGGGTTTACCTATCTAAAACAGTTAAAAAAAATCTAAATTTTTTTCATTTGACGTATGCGGTAACCAGACTGCTTGTTGAAGTTTGATGAAATACGTTGATCTACAACAATTTTCGAACCCCAAACCTACCTTCCGGAAAGCAGAATCTTACTTATGCCGCTACACTACCACGCTGCGAACAGTAATTCAATATATTCATATAGACTTTTTCAAAAATTTATGTTTTGCATTTTTACAACGTTTTTGTACTTTTTTAAGTTTCTTGAACCTCCAAGAGTGCAAATGGCTTAATTTCAAAATCTTTAATTTTTTCGATTTTTGTACTAAATTTTGATAGATTTTTGGTACCTGGAGCCGTTAATTGCTAATAACTTTGAAATTATTGATGCTACTCCTTTTTATTCAGTACCGTTTAAATTTTAATTTAATTTATTATCAAAAAAAAGATAATTGTTCTATATTAAATAGTTATCGAGAAAATTGCTGATAAAGTCAAAAATGTTCAAAATATTAATCCAATTGTAACCTCTAAACGATCAAGAATTTTGCAGTTTTCTCGACGCCAATCGATTTATTGGAACGTGTAAATGTAATGTAAAAACATTATATAACGTTTGAGGTATGGTTTTGCTGCAATTTACAAAAAAGTAAAAATTTTCTGAAGTTATGACATCGAAAATAATTGTACACAAAATTAGAATGTTTAAATTGTTTATTTCTAAAATATAATTTTAGTTTTATTACCACTACAAAATCATGGTGCCTGATTTTGTTCTGAGGGGTTTAACACCCAACACCCCCCCTCGCTGCGCCACTGCTTTATACTACACAGGAATTTAAAGTCTTTTTTAAGTTGGTGAGTATTTAAATCGTAATTAATGTAAAAAAAAAATTATTATTTTATTTCAATGAAGCTTTCATGTTGTAACAAAATACAAATACATACCTAGATACTATTAAATTTATAAAATTCACAAACATGCCTCTCAATGTTTTCTTTTTATTTTCTTGAATAAATTATAGATGTTATTTACTATTTTTTGAAACCATTTATACTTAATTCTGATTTTTTCTAAAAGAAAAGTTTTGTCACAAATCTTTGATCCATTGTTGTCTTTGTTTTGTGATAATTTTAATTTTTTTATTATTTCTTAATCAAATAAWATATACTTATTGTAAGATAGTTTACATAATAAGATAATTAAGACTTTTACTTAAAGTGCAAAATTATATGAAACAAAGAATAATAATTATTGCAGACTGTAAATATAATTATTTTTTTTAGGTTTTCTCATTTTTATTTCATCAGTACTGTTATTCAAATCGCGAGTAGAATAGCAGTACGAGATAAATAAATTTTAAAATGTGTAGCAATAATATAGTGAACTCTACACTAAACATCACAACAGTAAAAGTGTACAAATATAGATGGATAATACTTTTAATATTTTGCTTCTATTCTTCCATAAATTTCTTGCAGTTTGCGCAATATTCAATTATTTCTAACATCACAATCAAGTAAGTTGTCCAACTAAATATCCTAAAAACAGTTTCTCATGGTTTATAGGTATTACAATGTAGAGGACATATTTGTGGATCTCACAGGTCTGTTCTTTATGTTTGCCTTTATATTAATATCTCTTCCAGCCAATCAACTTATAGAAAAATACGTAATAAAACTTCCCCTTTTTAATAACCAAACATTAAAAGCCAATTTTTCCAGAATTTGAGAAACACAGCCTTATTATCTAGCGGCTTAACAACTTTAGGAAACCTTATTAAATTACTGTCAGTTTCTCCGGACCGATTTTATGTCGTTTTAATTGGTCAAGCCCTCTGTGCCATTGCCCAAGTTTTCATGACGTGTATTCCATCAAAATTAGCATCGACATGGTTTGGCCCAGATGAAGTGTCCACAGCTTGTGCTATTGCAATTTTTGGATATCACATTGGACTTGCGATCGGTTTTTTCATGCCTTCAAGTTTGGTCAGGAATAGCGATAATCTCGACGAAATCGGCGAGGATTTTATGACACTACAAATTATCAACAGCTCTATAACTGTAGCCAGTTTTATTGCAGTTTTGTTATGTAATAATTAAAATTGCCTATTTTCAGTAGTAAATTTTGAGTCAGTTTTCAGAGCTAGACCTCCACTGCCACCAAGTCAGTCCCAAGCCGCTATTATTGATGCGGAAAAACCATCCACTTTAACTATTATCAAGCAAATGGTCAAGAATAGAGATTATTTGTTCCTAATAATAGTGATAGGAAGCTCGAATGGACTGTATTCGTCGTTTGGAATTTTGTTTAACGGACTTTATCTCAACTATTTTCCTGTAATTATATTTTTTTTGCTCTTCTAAAGAGATTTATTGTATAATTAGTAGTTTTGACGAATGACATACATATAGTAGAACTAACATTACCTACCACTATTTTTTAATGGTTTTTACTATTTTTAGGGCTACGAGGTCGAAGTAGGGATAATTGCAGCGCTTGCAGTCGTCGCTGGTGGATGTATCGGTAGTGTAATTTTTGGATATGTTTTAGACAAGTGGCACCACTTTAAGTATTTTCTCCAACGATAAGTTACACAAAAAAATTAATTTTATTTCTAGACTCACCACTTTTTTTATTGTATTTTGTTCTGCAGTTGCATTTAGTTTTGAGATTGTTTCAATGGAAGAAAAGGCCCAATTGGCCACTTATTTTACCATACCGTTATTTGGGTCAGTAGGAAATCCCAAAATTATTAATTAATTGAAAAATCGTTACAGGTTTTTCATTGGGAGCACATTAGTCGTAGGTTTTGAATTTGCAACCGAACTCATGTATCCCATTCCTGAAGCCGCATCTTGTGCCATTTTAAACATCTTTATTTTTATTTTTTCAGTGGCGTACACTCTAATTTTTAGTGCTCTGTACGACTTGATTGGATATACCGCAACAAATATTGTTATAGTGATCTTATTAGTCTTAAGCTCATTTATTGTTTATTTTATTAGACCAACTTTGCGACGAAGAGAAGCAAACATGAGTAAATAAGTCATGTTTAAATGCAGCGTTTTTTCCATTCAGTCCAAATGTTTTCGTAAAAATCTACACGGTTCTTCAGTTTCTCGATGTGAATGTTAATTTTATCCAACATGTTTAAATTCATGTTCATGATTTGGATTAATAAATAAATCTGAATTAAAAGTAGTAAGATTAAAATAAAGTTGTTTACACATTACCGGTTCTTCCTTGTTTTTAACATGACAGTCGGTTACTTTACTCTCAATACTATCGAGCATCTCGTAGTGGTTCGACAAGGTTGCGAATAAATTATCTGCGAGTTTGTATCTAAATTACTCATTGATTACGTCCATTCGTTCTCAACTTACATGCAAGCTCGATTTTCATCAATAATTTCATTACAGTAACATTTATTTTCAAAGCTGCGCAAAATTTCCTCCCATTTATTTTGATTGTTTTGGACGCACGATAAAGTAGAGTCGATTGCGTCATGAGCCATTTTACTGTTCACTAAACGCGTGTAAATTATTTCCAACTAAAACAAATATTTTGGAAGCAATCCAGGAAAAAAGTAATCACCTTGTTTCTGGAATTTGTCACGTAATACAGCAATTGCGTAACAAAAGTCAAATTATTGAAGAAATGTTCTTCACAATCTCGCAATTCACATATTCGCCTGTCTACAAAATGGTCTAAATCGTCAAACATGAATTTTTTTGTGGCCATTTTCACGTCAAATTTGTCAGTTTTATCGAACGTCACTCTCGTTATCGGTGCTTTCATCAGTGGTTGTTGTTGGCGACTTTTTCCGGTTCCTTCTCCTCTTTTGCTTGACTCGTACCGGAGTTTCCAGACCTTTATGACCAGTGCATGATGGACATTTGCACTCAGCTTGAACTTGGGCATTTTTCATCCCTTCCGGACTTTCGAAACTGACCTTTTTCGCTTTTTCTTCCTCTTGGTTGATTTGGTCGCAGATGCTCCCTTCAATTTTAGGAGTTACTTCTTTCAGAATTAATTTTTTGTGCTATTAACACAATAAATAATTTGTGATTTTAGAAAAAGTAATTAAGCAGACATTTTTTGAAATCGGCCCTTGTAGCCATGTGCAAGTACAAAGTATCATCCCTGCGAGGTTTTTTAAATCAGGCCTCGCTTCTAAAACCCACAAATCAGACTAGAACCACCCCTGCAAAAAATACCTGGTTTTGCCCCCAAATCCGTGGTCGAAGTCTGACAATCGAGGTGAAATTTGCACTGGTAGGGCTGATTCAACTGTCTTTGCAGTTGGAGCAAATCAGCAGCGGTTTGTTGCTGCAATTGATTCAAACTCTGCATTGCTGGAGTTTGACAGTACCAATAATTTTGGGGGTAGTACTCTTGGTTTGCTTTGAAAGTAAAAGTGACAGCGTTGGGGTCTTGGAAACTTGGTTGCATTGTTGGGTAAATTCCGGGCATTCCGGTTACTGATGTCGTTAGAGTGTTGAATATTTTTCGATGTTGTTCTTGCGAAACTAGGACATCTTGACCGAAAAGCGTCCCTGGAGCTACGATATCAAAGTTGGTTTACTGGAATGTAATGGGGGCGGTTTACTCGTATTTTGCGTTCTCTCGTCGAAGATGTTAGTGTTGGTTGATGAAAATGGGTTCAACATTTTGACATACAGGAATTTTGATGTGACAAGCAAAATTTTTAATGATTTTTTTGTGTGAAAGAAATAGAGGTGAAAATAAAACGAGAGAAACCCCCGCATAATTTAATATTATTAAAATATTCACAAGCAAGAATCGAGAATAAGACAATGAAATTAGTGTAATTTATCCAACTACTGCTAAATTAAATAAATAAACTTTGTCTGGACAAAAGTAAATAAGTGATTTAAATTAACAAGTAAATAAATAATTATAAAAATGGATTTAAGAGATATGCCCAGATATAATAAATGACAACAGACAGAGATGTATAATAAACAACAAAAAATTACTGGAAAATTATAAGCTACGACACACGAGAAGGAAGTTTAAAATCAATATTAGTTACTTTACTTATTCTAAATATTAGGTATGTTATGTTATGTTATGTTGTATATTCTCTCGTCGTTAGCCACTTTTATAAAATAAATAAATTTGAATTTTATTTTATTTTATTTATTTTATAATGGGTACAAATACATGAAACGATAGAATAAAACCTTGTTTATTAATATTCAAAATTTTGCTTTCTACTATTAATATTAATAAAATTGCTAGAAATAAGCATATTTTTTGCAAATAAGTCGATAATAACGCTGCAACCAAAATCAGAAAACAAAACAATATAATATAGCATTCAGCAATACAAATTAGTTTGTAAAAAAGTCGCTTTTTGTTAGAAAAAAAAATAGAGAACGATTCTTCAATAATCGGACCTTTAACTTATTTCAAATCATTGTAGTCATATTTTTTTTAATTTTTGGTAATTGCTTTTGTTATTTTGACTTGTTTATAAGTTAAAAGACTTTTATTGTTATTTTTTTATACTTTATACAATACGTATAATACTTTCAATTATTTTAAACATACCTTATTATTATTATGAATTATGAGTATTTTTTTTCAGAAGGTAGTTTTCGTTATTTAGCCGTGCCTATAGTTTTGCTACATTTTGCTATTAATTTTGTGAGCAGTTTAACGTTCTGATTTATAATTTGCAGCTCAAAATAAAAAGATAATAAATAAAGTTATAGGTACATACATTATTAATGACGTTATTTGCTCGTTTTTTTTTTTTTTTTTTTTTTAATAAATAAAGATCAATTTTTATCTACTGCAATTTTTATTTAATTTGCCCATTATTATAGTAACAAGTTCCTATGACTGCAAAGTTTTTTCAAAACAATTTATTCAAACTGACTAAAGGATGCAATCGATTCATATTACGTTAATGTGATATTACAAAGAATGGTATCAAATATTAATCGACGTCATTAAAAGAAATTTCCCTTTGAAATGGTTGCGTTTTCAAACATTTCCCCTGTGATTTCTAAAATACTTAGTCATACAGCAAGTGCCACTGATTGGTTTTCACTTTCTTTACTTATCCATTGTTACCAGAACTGTAAGCACCGGTTAAATGCTTACGTGTGATCCTCAGGTTAAAGTCGTAACCTACTTTTTTCTAGTGTTTTTTACATCGAGGAAAACCCGTTGATCAATTTGTAAACCTTGCATCAAGGTGAGTTTTTATACTATGCAATTAACCAAATTAATTAAAATTAATAGTGACCGGAGGAATGTCATTGTTTACATTTTTAGACGAGGAGGATGGGACAAAAGTCCCCTCATTAACTCGGTAAAAATCAAACAAATGAAAGAGAAAGTATTATTTATTCATGAAACCTTTACATTTTCCTTTCAATAGACCTATCTACTTAATCACAGATCCATATTATTAACCCAATTTACTAAATACATTGATTGTTGATTATTTTACAAGAACCACCGTCACTTGTGAACATTCCATTCCCCTATTTGGTAAGTTTCTAACTTCCGCAGAGTTTCCTCTAAAAATCGTTAGTTTTCCCTTGACATCCTTGCTCAAAAATCAGACTGGTTATTACAAGGACAATAACAAATGTTTATTCTAGGATGGTAGTATCAGATCTGTATTTGTCTTGGCCAGTGGTACAAACTCTAACGTGTGCTGCACTCGCGGCGATTTTAATCGTAAAATTATACAATTTTCTCACTTGCCGTTATTACACGGGAATTGCAAAAATGGACGGCAAGACTGTGATTATCACCGGCGGTAACGGCGGCATCGGCAAAGAAACTGCCAGAGAAATTGCCAAAAGAGGAGCGAGAGTTATTTTGGCATGTCGTAATCTTGAAACGGCCAAAAAAGCCAGAGGCAAGTCGCATCACATTTATTTTCATTTAATTTTTTGGTGAATTTGTAGATGAGATTGTGCAAGATTCGAACAACCAAAATGTGATCGTGAAAAAATTGGATTTGTCTTCGCAAAAGTCCATCAGGGAATTTGCGGAAGAGATTACGAGGAGTGAGCCGAGGTTGGATGTTTTGATTCATAACGCCGGAATGGCAGCGAATAAGATACAGATGACTGAAGATAATATTGAATTGACAATGGCTACCAATCATTTCGGGCCATTTCTTCTCACACATCTTCTAATCGGTGAGTTATTGACAGGAGTGGTACACTTTCACGCACCAGTGATGCTATGAAACAAGTCTGGAATTATTTTAATGTTCAAATGTCAGGTAGAGCGTGAAAAAATAAAGCTACAGATTATTACCCATCGAGTAGATTTATACACAAAGTCAAGTAGAAGTTTGTGATTATTGTTTCTATAATTTGTAGAATAAACAGACAAATAAAATTTATTCGGTATATGAATCTGAGCAACTAAAGAGCAAAACCGGTAAAGACAGGTACCTATAACAATCTCCATGCAATACATATTTATAACTATAAATTATGTAGATTAATATTTAGGCATTAAATAAAAAATCTATCTATTTTAGCTATTCGCGTTATTAGCAAAAAAGTAATTAAACCATTTTAAAATGGGTTAAATTACTTACTTAATTTAAACAAAATCTGAAACATCGTACCTTCAATTAAAAAAAAAGTTTGTTTTAACTTAGAATAGAAATGAATATAGTAGCCATGCTACTGTTAGTCTAATTACCTTTAATTCTAAAATTAAATTGGCAACATTGAAGAACGTTAAAGAAACAAGATTTTTGAGACTTATAAATTTTATATCTCCTGTTTCTATACATTTTATTCAATGCTGCTGACACAATAGTTGCACTTTTATTATTACTTTTAAAAAGTAAAATTATTCATTTTTAAACTTTAGCAACGAAAAATAATATAAACATTTATTAGTAGAAATGATGAAAATATTCTTAAAAAGTTGACAATATTTACTGAGAATGTGTTACTTTTGAGAGAAATTATTATGTAAATCTCTCACTTGAGACACTTATTAGGTAATTCTCAAACAGATGGTCCAATTTTTTTGTTCATTACTTAATTTTATGTTAACGCCGTTTACTCGATTATTAACAACTTTTTTTAAAAAGTTTTTTACAAAATAGACTCTTATTAAGAAATAAATTGACTTGATTTTTATAGAAATAGTAAATATGAATTTTAGGATTAGAGGTTTTAAATTTTTAGATTGACTTTCTTATTTAGTTTTGGCTATAAATACACAGTCAAATGTTTGATTGAATACTTTTGTCTACGAAAGTAATCATTATAAACGTAGCTAATTTCCAAACGAAATGTTCCACTGTTAATGTAATGTCTCAAGTTATTCTACAAAATATAATAGCATGTCATTATTGTTCGATCAATTAATTGCTCCATTTCTTTTAATTTTTTGTAAAAGTAACAATGTTATCATCGTTATGTATCTACCTAGATACATAATGTTTTAAAAATACTTTAGTATCAATTAGACTTATACAAGCAGTTAAAATATCTAATAATTATTATAAAAGAGAAATAATAATTAATCAGTAAAGTACAAGAAAACCTTGTAAAAAAAACCTTGTCAACTCCTTATGAAATAACATTATGTTTACTAGAAACAGTTTTATTAGTTGTATTAATTTTTAACTTTTGTTTTTTCAATTTCAACTCAAAAAAAACTGTGTTGCGTGTGATAATACGTTAAGGGCGTGTTTCCTGTTTATTTAATGTAAAATTTTGTTTTAAATGGAGATTGATATAATGAAGCTATTTTTTTTTTTGATTAGGAATAGTTAAATTTAAAAGACATTAGAGGTGTAAACAAATGTTTAAAGCTTCTTAATTATTTCTAAATCTGTATAGGTATAGGTACAAAAATTAAAATTTCGTTTTAAAAATATGTCTGTTTGTTGATTTATAAGTGTAAAATTGATCAAAATCAAACTGTTGGTAGTACTTAACTCAATAAACAAATTTGTTTATTGATGATGTAACAATCCATCTCAGATTTACGCGTTTTAATATTTAATTACAGGTTTATTAGTGAAATATTTTCGTCAAAACTTAATTTTATAATTTTCTTTAGACTTGTTAAAAAAATCAGCCCCTTCTCGCGTCGTCGTCGTGGCTTCGGAGCTCTATCGCATCGTTTCACTCAACCTCAACAACGTGAATCCCACGAGGTCGTGGTTCGTACCTCGCCTCTACTACGTATCTAAGTATGCCAACATTTGCTTCACGAAAGAGCTGGCACGTCGCCTTGAAGGCACAGGTGTGACAGCCAACTGCCTTCACCCCGGAATCGTAGATACCGGCATTTGGGAAAGTGCTCCGGTGCTCTTCCGCTGGCTTTTACGTCTCGTCATCAAAGGTTTCTTCAAAACGCCGGTTCAAGGCTGTCAGACCAGCGTGTACGTGGCTTGCGCGGAGGAACTCCAAGAAGTCACGGGCAAATACTTCGCCGAATGCAAGGAGAAGGAAGTGACTCGGGGGGCCAGCGACGAAAACAAGGCGAAAAAATTGTGGGAGATTTCGGAACGCTTAGCTAATCTGAGGCCCAGCGATCCCAAAATTTAAACTTGTATTTGTTATGGTGCAATAAATTGTATTCTTGTTGATTGAGATGTTTTTTTTTTTGAGGAAGTGATTGATGCAATTATGCAACTCACATTCTCAGACAAGTTTTGTTTAATATTAATTTTGACCTAATTTTTACTCTGATCAACAACAATTTAAATTATGTGGTATATTATAGGTATGTACTTATTCCCAACACATTTCTTTCATTTATCTTTTGTTTTTTCTCTTTGGATGGTAAAACAGTCATTATCACGGATCTCAATAATGGAATTGGAAAAGAAACGGCCAAGGAACTTACCAAGAAAAAGACCAAATTTATTTTGACATGCCGGAATTTGGATACCGCGTCACAAGCCAGAGCTTAGTTAAAAAAATTTCTCGTTTCTGTTAAAACTTGTAGACAAATTTATTCAAGAAACTATTTGTGCTAAAAAACTTGATTTGTCGTCATTTAAATCGATTCCTACGTTTACTGGAGCATATAAATCGGACAGAACAACAATTGCTTCATTGCTTAGATGTTCTTTATTCATAATGCTGGAATGGAGTTTATGAAATTACAACAAACGGAAGACAATTTGTAACTGACGATAGCTCCGGATCAATTAAGACCGTTTTAATTGATTCACGTCTTAATTGGTAATTAATGATAATTACTTGTTTCATGTTTCATTATTCAAAGTCCAAAAAACGAGTGAAAAAAACGACAGGTAGAAGAAAGCTTATTGCAATGACAATAAAATAATACAGAAAATTTATTGGAAATAATATCTTTTTGTAATAATACAGCTGCAACTTTCTTAATCATCTTTATGTGTAGAAAATTCTCAAGTGTGATATAAAAAAACAATTAAACTAAAGATTGAAATAAAAAATAAGGCAGACAAATTAAAATAAATTGTTAATAAGAAGTATGTCCAATAAAATAATTAAACTGTAGTACTTAAGTCGATAAGAAACTTAGATTTCTGGAGGCGTCGAAATTGAGGAAAAGGGGAAAAAGTTGTGGTAGATCTCGTAAAGAGCAAATTTAACTTGAGCATTATGAAAATTATGAAAAATGTGCACTAATAGATATAATGACTATATTGAAGTGAGTATATTTTTGAGTTTTATGGATTAGAAACAATTTTATGAGTTATTGCGTTCAAATTCGTGATTCCAGTATTTAATTCTTATTTCATACTTCTGAATTATTAGCTCGAAATGATGACAATTCTTTGCAAATACAGTTTACATTAGGGTGATACCATATGGGAAAAAAGGATTTACACAAACACCCAGTTGGAAATAAAAACTGCGACATCTGCCTTGTTTCGTCTAAAAAACAGAAAATGCATAAATTACTTCATAAATAAAATAAACACCAACCGTTTTTTCTTTTTTGTTTCATTCTTCTGTTCTGGAACCAAGTCCTTATCTGAGTTTCTGTTAAACCAGTATTTTTACTCAATTCCTTACGACGATCTGCTTTTATATAATTTCTCTCAATGAAAGCAGCTTCTAATAAAGATTTTTGTTTACCATTAAATATGCTGCGGTGGCTTTTTTCTGTTCTTTTAGAGCATCGATTTTCCGTAATTGGTTTGTCGACGTTTAATTTTTCATCGCTTTGGCTTCCTGATAAAATTATCTATAAAATTGTCAATAGTAGATAAATAAGCTTCCATTAAAAAAAAATCAAATTTACCTTCATATTTTGAAAATAATTTGATCCGTAGGAAGTAGATGGTGGTACAGAAGGAAACATCGGTAACAAATCTAAATCTTGCACTAAACGACTTGCTTCTGCCATTATTTTTACACAGTTTTAAGATATGGTCAAAGTGAAAAAACTATCAGTAAAAACCAAAAAAGTGGAAAAAAGTAAAAATCACGGAAGACTTATTTTATTAATAAACAAAACTGAAAATTTCTTTCAATTAATTACACGTGGTAACATTAACTTCTTAATAAAATGACAATAAAATATTTTTTCTGTTGAAGTAATAAAAACTAACTCTATAGTTTCCAGGAACGTCGCCGATTTTGTTTATCGTTTCTGCGAAACCCCCGGCTGGGTCGATTTCCGGTTCCCAGTCTCAATTATTGCGAATTAGTTTTTTTAGTTAGTCTGTACACACCTAGGCTGGTGATAGAAGCTCATACAGGGAGCCCTCTACTTTTGTACTTTACACTTCATTAAATATTCTTTTAATTAATAGCCCAAGCGTATTCTTTCAAGATACCTTCAACATTTTTTTTGAGTAGAAAATCTTAAGTAGATTCCTTACGAAAACAGCGTTTTTCTATTGAGGTTTGAAAGAAAGGCGCAATATTGAGTGAAATTTTTATTCAATACAAATAAAACTTATAAAATACAGTTCAATTAGGATGCGGCTTGGACCAATCAACCGTAAGTATAAGATGATCATAACCGTGTCCGTTGAGCATCGAAATAGCTTTAGCTGCGTCGTTCTTGAACTTAAAATGAATATAAGCGAATCCTTTGCAATAACCAGCTTGTTTGTCTTTCGCCAAATACAATTTCTGGATGGGTCCAAAGGGTTTCACCAGATCCTCCAAATCAGTTTCAGTTGTAGATTCACTAAGATTGGTAATTCGAATCGCTGTAGCGTCATCTCTACGTGCCATATTGAGATTATCTGACTTCCTGACGGCGCCGTCTCGCAGACTTGGAGGAATGTACTTAGATCCACCGGCTTTGCTCGCATCTGAACTTGATGGAACAGCCGGGCCTTTCTTGTCGTCTGGGACTTTACCCCCTGCGAGCATGGTGTCCTTCCACGGACATTTGGAGGTCCAATGGTCCCCACTGCAGGTCCTGCACTTGACAACGTTCTTGTCTCCCAAAGCTGCCACAAAACAATTAATATCTCTCTGTCGTGCATAATAGACAAACCTCACCTTTTAGCTTCTCCAAAGCATCATCTTCCTGCTTATTGTCCTCTTCTTTGCTCGTGATATATTGCATATACACGTCTTCGGCAACGATAGTGGTGGCTGGGTTAGGTCCAGGTTTGTCGTTGGCGCACTCACCGAATTTCTTCCAAGTTTTCCGGAAGGCGATCGATTTTGAAACGACACGTTTCTCGATCTTGTAGGTACGCACAATTTTGACTTTTTTATCATCTTCGTTGTACGCGTATTCGGTCACGATCTTGAAGCCGTTTTCGTACACTTCAGTAGGGGGCGGGAGAGATCCACCCTCCAGTTCGACCTCGTCAGCCCAACTGGACTTGACTTCTTCAGCAACGGGCATTTTTAGCTAATTTTGAAACACTTTCTTGGAAAATATGGTGCAATAAACACGTTCCAAAAAACTAACCTCCAAACTGTCAAATAGACGTTTGACAGAAATGGAGAAATGACAGCAGTCAAATCAAAATGTCAGAATTTTTATATTCGTATTTTTCCCAATTGTCATTAAATTCAGGACAAACACGAATAATTTTCAATATAAATCGCATCAATACATTTGTATAAATAAAATTCCAATCACATTCGAATTATTTATTTGTTATGACAACATAGGGTCAACGACCTCGCAAAATCATTCTTTCAGATAAAACCTAAATTTGTTATATGCCACACTACGTTTGATTCTTTTCCCGGCTAATGCCACGGCATATGGTAACAAACAGTCTCGGATATAAACTCCCCTTTTTTCCGGCGTCCAGGCTTGTAATTTGTATTCAAGTTCCATTTTCCCTGTCACGGCCACCCAACCTAGAATTGAACTTTAGTCACAATTCCACTAAAATACAAATGTCATACCTGCGTTAGATAAAACAACATCATTTGAAGATTTGTACCACGACTGTCCCTTTACTGTAAACTCCTTAGCTAATTCCAAGTTCGGCCACCTTGAGATTCGCTTGCTGTCGCCACTTGGCACTCTAAATAAATCCGTTCCGAGCAATTTCTGATACATTTCCTCAGCGTCTTCAATGGTACACACCGTTAGAGGCAATTCTTGGGATGCAAAAACCGTCAAGCGAATAGAAGTGGGACCATCCACGTAATCGAGTCGCGCCAAACCCGCGATAAACAGGCTTGAGTTAGGTTTAAGGCACAAGGTTCTAGGTATGACCAATTCTTTAGGTAACGTGAGAAGCAACTCTTCGGTTGTTAGTAAGTGTATGATTTGGTCAGGTTGTACCACACCAGGAGTGTCAAAACACCACTTACTATAAGCAAATTGTGCAAGTTTTTCGTCGACTCCCATCGTTAGTTTACCACTGGAAGCTTCTCCTTGGGCAAATAAATCCTTAGGATCCGTGGTTATCGAATCAGGGTTTTTCGTTACGCCAATGTGTCCAATGAGAGACGCATATTTTGCATTTTTTGTCTGTCTTAATTGTTCCTTTCGTAATGTGTTTTCCTCCGCTTGTATTTTATGCATCAGATTCAACCGTTTCTCTCTCAAAAACTGTCGATAACCGGCGGGACGTTTAATAGGAAATTTTAACAAATTCAGAGTTGTTCCCGGCCACACACTCGTTGTGGCTCTCTGTATTAAATCAATCGCTTGTGTCTTGCAATAATCCGACTGAATTAAAGCATTAAACAAACTCGACTTGCCCACATTTGTGCACCCTACAATATAAACATCTCCTTTCACCCTGTTAAGACTATTCAACCGCGTTATCAAATCCTCAACTCCAAAGCCCGTTTTCGCCGAAATCAGCGCAACTTCCTTAATGTTAAAGGACCCAAATCCTTGCAATTTAACATAATCTAACAGTGTCTGTTTAATGCGTTTCAAAAAATTTTTACTGTCTTGTGGTAACAAATCAACCTTATTTCCAACAACGACCATTGGGATTTTATAACCGAAAATTTCTCCAATTCCTGGCCAAATCGAGCACGGAAAATCCAACAAATCAACCATTAAAATAACCAAACCCCCTCTTTGACTAATACTTGATAGAACTTTGGGATAGTCGTCTGGGGTAACCTGTACTTGCAAAGCCAGGTTGTAGTGTTTCAAAAAATGACACCTTTGGCAAACAATCGCTTCTAAAGCGGCGCCCCCATCCTCAAAACTGTTTTTGAAAATCTCAGACGGAATATATCCGGGAATGGCAGTGTCTTTGCAGTGAAGGAGGGCCCCACAGCCCCCACAAGGAACATTGCTGATGTCAATAGAAGGGTCAGGGGTGCCGTAATTTATTTTATATTCGGTCACATCCAAGTCGATTTCTTTGTCCAGATTGCTATCGTCGTAACTGTCGTAATTTACCATCCAATTGTTCATTTCTTTTTGCATTTCATACCGGCGGCGAACCTCTTCGTTTGCTTCGCTAGCAACATCTGAAGATGTTGTTTCAATTTCTTCTTTTGTTGTAACTTTTTCAACATTAAACCCTTGGTTGTATGGGAAATGTATAATTTTTTCAAGGGGTTTTTCTTCCTCAGGATTGCTACATTCGTCCGATTTTATTTCTATATCGTCTAAGACATACTTTAAACTTAAAGGTAATGGCTCAATTGATTCTTTCGTTTCTCTACATTTCCTTTTTTCTTGTTTTTTGATATTTAAAACTTTCCTCTCTACTACACTATTAAAAATTAATTTTGGTGCATATTGCTTTATTAGTTGATCAGTGTAATCGTTACTATCAATTAAAGTTGTTTTCAAGTAGAGTTTTGATTTAAAAGTGCTACTTTGTCGAAAGGGGCCCAAGACATGTGAGATTTTGAGGTTATAAAGTCGACCAATTCGTAACATTACAAATTACGCAATTTACCAGCTCGGTAATTATAAAACACTTACAACAGTAATAAAACCACACTTTTACTCACATTACTTTGTTCTTTTATATTTATAAAAACTTAAATTTAAGGTTAATTGTGTTTTTGTTGGTGATTTTGTAGTGATTTTACTTTTTATCAAATTGTTGGTAGCCTTGGTTGTCATTAATCTGTCAAACGTCGATTTATCTAAAAATGATTATAAACATAAAAATGTGTTAAAAAAGCGATTTCTGTTGTAAAAACGTGGCCTCGTAGCGCGATTCACGTAAAAAAGTCCGTTTAGCAAATTACCTTATATCGTACTGTATGAGGTAAGCAAATGTTGAGTTTTGTTAAGAGCGGTCCTGACTACAAGAGCAATATTGTAGAAATGGCCCATTCCGGTGTCGTACCAGCGGGTAAACGAAAAGAAATTTACAAATACATCGCGCCATGGCCATTGTTCAGTATGAACTGGTCGGTACGTCCCGACAAACGTTTCCGTCTAGCTCTCGGTAGTTTCGTTGAAGAATACAACAACAAAGTACAAATCGTATCTTTAGACGAGGACAGTAGTGAGTTCTCGCCTAAAAGTACATTTGACCATCCATACCCAACAACAAAAATCATGTGGATACCCGATAGTAAGGGTGTCTACCCTGATTTGTTGGCAACCAGGTATTTGATCTTTTTACTCTAATGTTACAGAAAATAAGTCATATTTTGCAGTGGGGACTATTTACGAGTGTGGCGAGCTGGTGAACCTGACACTCGTCTGGAGTGCGTCTTAAACAACAACAAAAACTCAGACTTTTGTGCTCCCTTGACAAGCTTTGACTGGAATGAAGTGGACCCCAACCTTGTTGGAACGTCATCAATAGACACCACTTGCACAATTTGGGGCCTAGAGACCGGACAAATCATCGGCCGCGTCAATCTAGTATCAGGACACGTGAAAACTCAATTAATCGCCCATGACAAGGAAGTTTACGACATTGCATTCTCGCGAGCTGGGGGTGGCAGGGACATGTTTGCCTCTGTCGGTGCTGACGGCTCTGTTAGAATGTTCGATTTGAGGCACTTGGAACACTCAACCATCATCTATGAAGATCCAGCACACACGCCGTTGTTGAGGTTGGCTTGGAACAAGCAGGATCCCAACTATTTGGCTACTATTGCAATGGACGCTTGCGAAGTTATAATTTTGGATGTGAGAGTCCCCTGCACACCTGTAGCAAGGTTGAATAATCACAGAGCTTGTGTTAATGGAATTGCATGGGCTCCACATTCAAGTTGTCACATTTGTACAGCGGGAGATGACCACCAGGCACTCATTTGGGATATACAACAAATGCCAAGGGCTATTGAAGACCCAATTTTGGCATACACAGCCGCAGAGGGTGAAGTCAATCAAATACAGTGGGGAGCGACGCAGCCCGATTGGATAGCCATTTGTTACAATAAGTGTTTAGAAATATTAAGAGTTTAATTTACAACAATTTACAGACTCCCTATTGATAAGTACCAAATAGTGTGTAAATCATATTTTACATTATTCCATTGTAATATTTATTTCATGGTCCTCATCTCTGATAATCACATTTTGTAAAATTAATTTTACAATAAAATTTACAATTGTACAATCGTATTTCAATTAAATTTCCTTATGAAAATTTAAGAAACTTAGCGTGGTGCTAAACCATCAATTACAGTGTCGGTACATTGAGGTTACGCGTGCGAGTTTATTAGTTTTATTAAAATCATTAATTAAAAGTAGTAGAAATGAGCATAAGAAGCTTAAATTTGATCAAAAGAAACTATTCCCAATCAAACTCGAAGTTTTTCGTGACAACACCAATTTATTACGTAAATGCGAGTAAGTCAAAATAACCTAAAAACGATGTTTGAAATAATTAAATTACGAGGCTTCTATTTTATTAGTTTATCTCCAGACAAGTAGTTTTAATTGGTAAATTACTAGAAAATGATATTTTAGGTCCCCACATTGGTCATTTGTACAGTTCCGTGATCGCAGACGCAATTTATAGATGGCAGCAAGTGCTCGGCGCGCGTAAATTTAAATTTTCAACAGGTACCGACGAACACGGTTCCAAGATTCAACAAGCGGCTCATAAAAACAACTCAAATCCTTTTGACTATTGTACAAAAGTATCAAGTGACTATAAAAGGTTGAGTCAACAGTTTAGTATCAGTTATACCGATTTTGTGAGAACCTCAGATGAGGAACACAAGAAGTGTGTCCACAAATTTTGGGTTGGTGTTTTTTTTTAATTTGGGGGTCGTAATTTGATATTTGTAGAACATTTTGAACAGTAAGGGCAAAATCTTCTCGTCGAAATATGCGGGTTGGTATTGCATTTCAGACGAGACATTTGTAACAGAATCCCAGTTGAAAGAAAAAGTCGAACCGGATGGTCGTAAAACAATTATATCCGGGGAAAGCGGTCATCCAGTCGAGTGGATCGAGGAGGTGAACTATGTGTTTCCGCTTGGATCTTTGCAAGACGACGTTAAATATTGGCTGAAGACCGGTAAGTCTATCGGTTTTCGAAAAGAAACGTGTCATCGAGATAAGTCGCTTAATAATAAATGAACTTGTGTCACTCTTTGTTCTCTACCTCCGAGACCGGCCATACATCATCGAAAAATCTTGCGGGTCACTTGACCATCCGGGGCGGAATTACATTTTATCGATCATGTCTCTACGGGTGGGTGTCCTAAATGGGGCATTGTTCCCCGAGAGTAATTATGGAGTAATTTTCTGTTAGGGCCTTTTGTGGCCGTCATGAGCAAGCATTTTTCAAAGCTGGAGTCTAATTAGTTTAGAAAGCAAAAATTCGATTGTATTTCAGAGAATGTGGTTAGACCGGCAAAGTTTCAAAAGATTTTGTTGGATATGGTGACCGAGGGCCCTTTGCCGGACCTTTCAATATCGAGGCCGACGTCTCGGGTGCACTGGGGCATACAAGTACCGGACGACGAAACTCAAACGGTTTACGTATGGCTGGACGCCCTCGTCAACTATTTAACCGCCGCCGGATATTCGCATACGAGTTTGCATCAAATTTGGCCTCCCGACGTCCAAGTTATCGGCAAGGACATTCTCAAGTGAGACTCGAGTTACTAAATTAATCAATTAGCGATCCCATCCAAACACATTCCACCGCAAATACGAGTAAAAATATTACAGGCATGAATGGGATTTATTCAGATGTAAAATAATTGCAGCATAGGTACACAAAAAGAACGTTCTTTGTTTATTGAAGCCTCGACATTGCTCGACTTTTTTAATTATTATCTGCACTGAATTTTAAGAAAGTTACTATTCCTTATTAAAATAAATACATATTTAAAATATATTTTTCAATTGTTTTAGGCAATAATTGAGTTTGCTTTGCAATGGAGAACTTTTTAACTTGACAAACGGCTCAGAGAAAAGATGCAATTCTTTGCAATTCAAACAAATATCATTTTCTAAAGAAACTTTTTACTTACTGAAATAAAAAACTCTGGTCTACACACTCTCAACAATATGTGTGAGAGTGTAGATCCAAATATGTCCGACAATTGGTAAGTTTGAATAACCATATGGATTATAAAAGTTATAAAAATTTATTTTTTATTTATTATCTATTATGATATGAATTATGATTCTGATATATGGTTTATCCTATCCAGCAGGTGTAAAAACACCTGCAGGTACAGGAAACTCCACTTAAATTTACAATTTGTGAACAAAAAACAAATATGTATTCGGCGAAACTTTATTAAACATAGTCTATAGTTTCTAGATTTAATACTTGTCTAGTAATGGGTGCATTGTTAATTAAGGTCAAATTTAATGATCAGTTAATTACTTAATCAAAGTAATTGATTATTGATTATCTATGTAATGAAACTTACTGAGATCTAACTAGGATAGTCGAGATTCTACTCAACGTTTTTGCCTATGAGTGGAGTTAAAAACACTACGAAGCAACCTAGTTATAAGTTTTGTATGTTAGTAATAAGTTGCTCAAAAATCAAATCAAATCAAAAAAATATTAAAAAAAATATATTTATTACTGAATATCAAACATCTAAATTACTTGTTTTACGTATTTAAATAATAGTAATTAGAAATATTAATTTTTAATCTTTGACATATTTTATTTTGTTATGAATATTTTAGATGTTTTTTTGTTAGACTATCATAAATTAAAATTTTCCAATTTTTTAAAATACAATTTTCAGAAAAATATTATAAATTGATATAAGTTTTTTTCATTGAAGGACTCTGCTGAATCCAGCTTGAAATTTTATTATTGTTTTAGTACAATTTCAAATTTTATATTTAAAACTTTTATTGATACTTATTTAGGCGTAAGATTTTTTTAAGTACTCACTAAAAGTTGACGAATCAATCAGTTTCATATTTGATGTGTAAAAAACAGTTAAAAAATATTCAGTTATAATACCACGAGTAGTCAAAAATAATCTACAATGTTTGACTAGGAATTGTATTCAAGAGACTATTCAATGAACCAAATGTCAAATTTGCGGTACACATGATTTCATTTTCATAGCAATCGGTAAAAAAGCAAGTTAGTTTTACAACCACTCGTGGAATATCCAATTACATTTTATCACGAGTGGAATATTCGCTTGAATTTGTTGTTGCTAAGATGCGAAAGTAGTAAATATCTGCTATTTTATTTGAAAAAAGAGAGGTGAATTGAATAGTCGCTTTTATTTTTTTTTCCATCCAAAACATTGTTTACTATAGATCACTTATTTCTTTTCAACACTAGTAATATAATATACTGTTTACATGGTGCATTAATATACGCTTTTCTATAAAATACGTTTTGAACTAATTCTCTATTTTATCTGAAAATTAAATTAAGAAAAGTTGAATCTGAGTATTTAAAAACTCGTAAATTGTAACAATGCGGGTTTGTAAGTAGATGCGATTTACAAACAAAGAATCAAGGGAATGTAATTTAAACTAAATTAAAAATTTATTTGCTACAGTGGTCAAAAATAAAATTTTGCCATCGGGATAACAAAGCTTTAACAATTCAGACATAATGGATTTTGAAATGGCCACATACATACGGGTCCATTCATTCGTACATTCTTATTGCATTAGGTACATTCATTTTGTTTAAATTTGATATGTTTTTTTTAGTTTTACATTAAATAAATGTTGGTGAAACTTCTGTGAAAAAAGTAAATTCAATTATCGTGTTATTACTACCAATACTGCAATATTTTGTAAAGTTACCGATTTTTTTAATTTGTCAATTTTTTGAGATAATTCACTTCACTTCACTAAACATGAATGTAGTTTTTTTTTGTTTGTAATGGAATTTGTTTGAGTTTGAGCACTTAGTTTCCTTTCAGTCCTTTGTGCCTCAATCGGCTTTAAATTTTTTTGCATTAGGTTTCACGGGATTTATTGGCCCGCTTTTTTGATCGCTGCCGACTTAGAACCCCCTCTGTCGATTTTGTGTCACTCGCATTGGACCGTCGATGGTGAAAAAATGTCCAAATCGAAAAACAACGTCGTTTGTCCGTTCCAAAGAAGTGAAATATACTCCAGCGACGGTCTCCGTTACTTTTTACTGCGGGAAGGTGTCGCACACAGGGACGGTAGTAAGTGGATTTATACCCCGATTGCCTACTTTATAACTTTACGGATGATATACGGAAATGTCCTTTTTATTTCTTGTGTTTTTTGGTGAGATTACAGCGACACCAAAGTCATCCGCATCTTGAATTCGGAATTGGCCGATACTTTGGGTAATTTATTGAGTCGGTGCTGCGGAACTGCCCTAAATCCTAATCAGTCGTTTCCGAAAATCGAAGCTTCGACCTTCGAAAGTGTCGCTTCATTCGACGTGACGAAGAAGTTAATCGAAGACGTCGCCACGCTTCCAGGTGAATAATCACTTTGATGCGAATTCACTATTTCACGGTTTCGAGTTGGTCAAAGCGCGTGCTTTCGCATTAATTGAACTTTCAGCGGCGATAAAACAATTTGGTTCGGGCCAAACAATCGCAACTCGAAACGTGTTTGGCAAGATAAAACGGAAATCACCGCTGGAAGTTACTGTCCGATTCGGGGAAAAGGGTAACTTTTCGTGTGTTTATTTTTTAGATGTTTGTATGGATCATTACTCTAACTTTAACTTCCATAAGGCCGTGGATAGGGTAATAGCGACTCTTCATCAAGCGAATTTGTTCTTTGAAACTTTCAAGCCTTGGGAATTGAAAAAAGAGTCGTCCAAGTCGAGGGAGTTGGACGTCGTCTTGCATTTAACTTTAGAAACTTTAAGGGTTTGCGGGATTTTGCTGCAACCTATTATTCCGAATATAGCCTGTAATTTATTAAATAAAATCAATGTGGCGAGAGAGAGACGAACTTTTAGCGACGCCAAGATATTATCATGGGACGATACCAACTTTGTCCGCAAGGAATTAGCCAAGGATAAGACGTTCTTGTTCAAACGAATCCTTCTAGAAGGCGACAGGAAGAAAACCAAACAATGACTTCGTTTCTCATTTAGTATATTTCCTCCTATATTTTATTTATGTATGTACAGTAACAATTAGTTCAACATCGATAGAGGGTATAAAACATTCACTTCTTCTCTATATGCAATAGATATTCGGATAGAAGTTCACATCGATTTAGATATTTACAGAAATCTACACATTTTTATACAGATATGCTAACCGGCGACTTAATAAATCGCAGAAATTGTCTTGTTGTTTGATTTAAATTAAACCCTGTCAGTTAATAAGTCCCTCTTTGGGGGTCCGCACAGTCATAGTCCATTTGAAGCGGTCACTTTAATAACATCAGATTATTAGAATCGATTGCAAATAACAATGCGCATTGCACTGTTACTCGTATTTCACTTTATTTCGATTCATGTAATTGGCCCTAGTTTTTTTTTTAATTTTAATTATTTAAATATTAAAGGTGAGAGGTGAAAGTACCTAAAACTGGAAAAAAAATTGTTAATTTTTAAAATATGAATTTATGAAACAATTTTCTGTAAGTTTAAAATATAATTATAAATTCTAGAATTAATATAAAAAACTACTCTCCTTCTAAATGTTATGAAAAAAAGTCTTTTAACTATGTACAGACTAAAAATCACCCCAAGCCATAATTTTATTATTTTTAAAAATATTACAATACCTCTTAAATCAAGAACAGTTTTTTGTTATCAGTCGTTTGCTTGTCTTTGATAAAATGAATAAAAGATGTATTTTTTGTAGAACCTACTTTATTTAATTTAATTTTCAAATTGCCTAAAAACATTAGTGAGCTTGTTTAAAAAACAATTTAAGGAGGAATTCAAAAATAATAAAATATACAGTACGTTTTATTTAAAAAAGTGAAAAAGTAGCAGTGGTTGTGCATCTATTTTAAAAAATAAATGATAATAAACTGTATAACTTTGATCTAAGAAGTATTGTCATATCTTTTAAAAAAATGGAGTTATGGCTTGTGGCGTTTTTTATAATGTAGCTTGTATACAAATACAATAAGAAAATCTGTTAGTTTAAATGAATTGAGAGAAAATTTCGAAGAATATTGTGCTTCAAATTGTAAATATAAATCTTATCAGTTATTTATTAAATTTTTGTCAAATTCTAATTTGATCGAAACAGATGAAAATAAGTCAACTCAGATCTAATTTTGTAATCTTCTGTTTTGTTTTGATAAAATGTCTCGAAATTAGTGAATTTCCTATTGAAAAACACTCTTAAGTTGAGCGGAACAGGCGAAAAGATTGAATTTCAAATTTAGTTTTGTGATTGCAACATTTTTCGAACTTATTGAGTTTCTCTTGAGAAATGCTCTAAATTGAATGAAACAAACTAAGATAAATATTTTCAAATATAACTTTGCAATTTTGTGTTACAAAATTTAAATTTTAATATCTAAATTTTTAAAATTTTTCGTTAAACAATAGATAGACTCGTAAAATTATGACAGTTTTGAAAGCATTCTGTTGAAATGTATCGAGGAAAATTAAGTTAGTGAAATGGTCAAATTTTTCTAATAGCCACAAATTGTGACTGAAATTTGAACATTTCATCTAAGAATTTTGCGATGTTAGCGATTATACCTACGAGTGTATTTAGACAATATTTAGATTTCATATGATTGAGAAACTCATTTTTTCCTATAAATAACAACCGAGTTTTTCAACCGTATTTCAAATCATTTGAAAAAGGAAGCAAAGAATCTCTTATTGTTTTATTGGCAATGAAGAGTGGAAAAAAGAGATAGATCAATAAAAGTTTTCCGGAGCGTTGATTCAATGTAAATATTTGTTCTCTGACCGAGCCCGATCAAATAGTGCCACAACTGTTTGGAGACTAGAACGTATCACAACCTCATTGAAGTATTGCTACTTGACGAAGACTGAAACTGATATGATTTGATCACATTTAAGACTAGAAGTAGACATCGTCCGTCTTTAAGCCATGAAGACGACGCCTCGAGAGACATAGTGGTCCTCTACAGTACATAGAAATGTAAATTTACGTATGAAATTAGTAATCCACAGCCATTTTGAGAAGAACATCTTTGCGCCGTGTTAAACCATCGTGTCTTGCAGATGATCGCAGTCCTGTCAAATGGCGCTGACGCCCTCGCCGAAGAGGTCCCTCTCGGTGGAGTTGACTCTCGTCTGGTGCACCGACTCGGTGCTGAGATGTTCGCTGGAGTACTCGCCGAAGGAGCCGTTCCTCCTCGCGTTCACAATCACCGTTTTCGTGCCGTAATCCGTGACGAACTTGTCGTTAGTGTTCAACGAAACGGATTGGTAGCCGCATTTACACCAGGCCGGGTAGTGGGCGGTTAGAATCCGTTTGAAAGCCTCCCGAAATTCGGTGTTGAAGATCGAGTAGATGATGGGATTAAATGCGGAGTTTGAATAGCCGAGCCAAGTGAGGATCTTGAAGGTGATGTCCGGAATGCACGTTTTGCAGAACGCCGCCACGATGTTTATGCAGAAGAACGGCACCCAGCAGATGAGGAACACACCCATTATTATGCCCACGGTGACGGCGGCCTTGTGGTCGCTTACGTGGTAGGGAGAACTGTGGTGGTTGTGCAGGTGGATGTGGAGGGCTTTGTTCTTCTGCTTCATGCTCTTTTTCGTGCTGCTATTCTCGGGGAGGTCGATGGGGCGCGTGATGGCTCTGATGTTCTTCACGTGTTTTTGAGCGTAGCAGTAAAGGCGGCAGTAAATACCTGAAAAACAAAAAACAAACTTTAAAATGTACAATAAAGTAAGAGTAAAACCTTTCATAACGCAGTTATAAACTTAATAATCAACTATCCTTAACGATATTAGAAAATTGAAATGATAAAAAGTTTTTCTTTAAGATACGAAGGAAAAAACTAATTTTAAATCTAATTCTGCAATTTTCTAACTTATGTTCAAACATAATGTTGAGATTTTCGGCTTTGGCAGAATTTCCTGAAATTAGTGGGTTTCTTCGTGAAAAAAGCTTTAAATTGAGTGAAACATGCGAAATAACGAGTTTTAGATTTAATTTTGAGATTTTTGTAATACTTTTTTTTAATCTCTCGGTGAAAAAGCGTAGAGAATATTACGAATAGACGACAATTACTTTAGACCTAACTCTCTGTCAAAGTTTTATTTAGTCTGTTGGTGAAAAACGCCCTAAATTAACCGAACCAAACAAAAATAACCAAATTTATATCTAATTTTGTGATTTTCAGTTTTGTTTTGGCAAAATCTTATGAAATTTGCTTCCTTAAATAAGGGTTCAAAGTGATTTAAACAGACGCAAGCGAAGACGAAAGTAATTAAATTTAGATATGAATTTGCAATTTTTATCCTTTATTTGATGAAATTCTTTGAAATTAGTGAAAATTTCGGTGGCCGTAGCGCTTTAAAAAATGAAGCAAATCACGTGTTTGTACGTATCCAATTTCAGATTTCAGAAATAAGTGTGTTTTTTGCTAAAAAACGCTCTAATGCGAACGAAATACACGTAATTAACAACATTCATGTTTAATTTTGTGATTTTATGATTTGTTTGCTATAAACTTTATAAATCGAGCGAAACATTCGAAAATAACAAATTCTAATAACAATTTTGGCAAAATTTGTGTTTTTTCGTGAAGAAAAGTGCTCAAATTAACCGAAAAAGATAGAAATAACTAAATTCAAATTTAATTTTGCATTGTTTCCTTAAAACAGACTAAAATAACGAATTTCATACTTAATAAGTTTACGCTTTATGATTTCTTTTGGCAAAATTTCTTAAAATTATTTAGTTATTTAAAATAATTTTTTTTTATGAAAAATTCTCTACTAAATTGAAACAGGCGAAAATAACAAATTTTACACCTCATTTTGCACTTGAGAATTTATTCTGGCAAATGAAAAACGCTATGAAAAACACTACAAAAAGTGAAAATAACTTCACACTTATAGTCGACCGTTGACCGAAATAGGTGAGTATCAAATTTCAGATCCTATTTTGTGCCTTGTTTTGCAACTATTACTTCCCCGTTTTGAGGAATAAGAGATACTTAATTGATTAGTGATTAGTGTTTCGTCATTGCACATTAAAATTGAATTTATTTTGAAGAGGTTACAAAATGTAGAACACATTTTATTTTTCTAACTTTCTTCGGAATCTTTAGTGAACACTATGTCTCATCGATGGAGATTATATCAAACGCGTTTGATATAAACAAGTACAATTTCTATAAATGCAATAACTTTATGAGTAGACTAGAAATAATCTTTTTTATAAAATAGGAATGTTATTTCTAATAATAAAAAAAATTAAAAAATGAATGAAATAGTTATTCATTCGACGAGTTTGAGTGTAAATCGGACGGATTATTTCACTGAGTGTAACGAGTGGTTTATCATCCACGAGGTGGAATAAAGCGTCCGATTTACACTCAAACGAGTTGAATACAACATTTTATTCTTCGAATTAGACTCAATAAGGCTTAAACTTGCTTTAAATCTGTTAAAAATAATCTAACGTTTCGTATTGAGAAATGCCAAACAGTTGTCAAAACTTCCTTACATGGGAAAAAAACCGTAAATTTTAACAGTGTCGAAGAATAAAATAAATTTTATATGACTATAAATAAAAGCTTATTCAAAGCGTAAAAACGTAAACTATATTTAGAAATGTTCACTTGATAAGAATCTTTTTCCAAGTTATGAACGAACTAGTAAAATTATGAAAGATTATTAAAAGAACAACTTTGTGTTTATATTGTTTATATTATGTTTTTTTTATAAAGCACACTAAACTGATTTTTTTTTAATATATTGTTTTTGTTTGATGTTTAACATCGCGTTTTCGTACATCCATATTTAAGTAAGTTTTTTATTATTATGTTTTACATTTTGTCATAACATCTTATCGGTAAAAGTAGAGAATATTATGCTGACGCAAATTTTATTGTAGAAAATGTAATTTCCACACCCCTATTTGCTAGATTTCCTAGATCTTCATGTATCATCCATTTTTTTGCAACGTTTCAAAATAAACGTGGAATGTGGAGATAATTGCAGACATCATTTTCACATCGTTCATCAAAATTGTATTGAAGCGTTGGCGCTGATCTTTTAATTTTTTTGTCGTCTTAAATCAATTTTCAATTTACTTCTCTTTGTAACCAAAATTTGACCACAGTGTTATAGCTTGTTATTTACACCTCTAAAGCTTCATGTTTCATCCTAAACACATAAGTAACAGTTACTAGTTTGTAGTTTGGCGAACTTCTACAAAGCGACTTTGTGTATAAAGAATGTTTATTGGACTTGTATTTGATATGAGGGACTCCTTCTGGCGACTTTTCACCGAAGCAGCCACACACTCGCTCCCTAGACTTTTATTTTGCTCACACACTGGTACGTGCTACATACATTTGGATTAATAAATAACGCTATAAAAACTAATAAATTACTCGGCAATTTTCTCAATAACGTAAGAGGAGTGAGGATGAGAGGAATGAACGAGTTCTGAGTCCATAAAGCTTGTGAGGGACTTAGTAGAAGTAAATCTAACGCATTGAACTAATCCGGAGTTCTTTCCTCGTAATTTAAAGATCTATTTTGGTCGTTTGCAATTTTTATGGATAGTCGAAAATTGCGATATTTCCCTTACCGATCATGACAATGCAAGGAACGTAGAAGGAGATGCAGCTCGAGACGACAGCGTAAGTGGGAGTGAGATCAAGTGCGCACGTCGGATAGTTTTGGCCCCCGGCATTGTAGACGAGGGGCTGCGGAGGCCGGTGCAAGCCCAGAGAAATGGGAACGAACGATATAAGCGCCGCCAGAAGCCATATTGTTGCTATTGTTCCTAAAGCCACTCGTCTTGTCACCCACCTTCCATATCTGTAATCAAACATCGACCCTCATTGTATCACAGGTTTCCTCCGAAAAAGAACACACAGTCATTATCAAACTCACTAATCACAATACGGGCATTTGTACAAAACATATGCAATAAAACTAATACAGCGGCGTAATTGTTGTAAATTTGAAACGATGAATATATTATTTATGTACAAGCGCTTGTTAAATATTTTGATGGAAAATGCTACCTTGTAAATTGCGGTTATTTTAATCGAGTGCTTGGTTTTCAAACTTTGCATTGTTTTGTCTGCAAACTTATTCACACCCATCAACTAATTCTAGACGCGTACGTGAATTTTGCGAGGACTAAGAGTAGTTATATAGGGCGGCTAGTAATTTATTTGTTCCAAACTTGGAGTGGTAACAGAATTCTGTCGGCGAATGCCATAATTTACTGTAACACTGACCATAACTCCATAACTATAAAAATTAATATAGAAATTGTCAATTACTAAAAACTTTTTGTATTACAAGGGAGGAAAGTGTACCTTTTCCTCCCACAGATGGAAGTTACTGCTCGAGACTTGTCGAGAGCAGTAACCACTCAAGCAGGAAAATACTCTTTCCTTTTTTTCAAGGATCCAGCAAGAAAAACTTCAAAACTAATAATTTTTCTTGATATCCCAGTTTTGCCATTAAATCCAGTAGCATGTTTTTTCGTTTTTATGGGGGAGGTAAAAAGTACATTTCAAGGAGGTAATTGACCAACGTCCTTTTTGAAATTAGGGTGGATAAATTTATTTTCTGTTAGAGTCGTTGGAAAATATGTTTAGACTTGTGGTAATTCTTTTCTTGAGTGACTTATTTGTAATATACAGTGAGCGGCCAAATTATGAAATAATCTTACTAAAACTAAAAATATTTAGTTTTTGCCAAAATGCCCGAACAGGTTAATTTTCGTTTTAAAAAATACACAATTTTTAACTTATTGATTTAAAATTTTACACTTTTTGGTCATTGAGTAATGATGTCATCGACATTTTTTTTTAATGAAAATCCTTAATTTTTTAGCCAATTCGTTAGATCTTTTAATGATCGAAATGACAACACCAAAATATTAAATATTACGTAGTTTTCGAAAAAAAAATTATCTAAAAAGTAAAACAATATCAACAAAAAACAATTTTAAATCAAGTTGAGAATTTTGTATTTTTAATAAAAAGAAAATTGACCTCTTTTTGCAGTTTTGTCTAAGCAAAATATTTTCAGTTTTAATAGGTACCTAAATAATTATTGCATAATTTTGTATAACACACTTGTAAATAACTAAATTATTCTTCTTCTAATTTTGCAGTATCTGATATTGCAGGTAGTCAGTTTTGACTATATTTTACACTATTTCTTCGATGCTAGATCGTTGTGATAAGTTACAAGCAAAAGTTTGTTTTTATTTATAACTATTACTACTACTACTACCACTACTCAGATTATAGTTACATATTTACGTGAATTTAATATTAATATTAAATATTAAAAAAAATATTTAATATTTAAGAGACTAGATTTTACCAAAGTTAGTTCATGTTAGATGAATTTACCTTTTTAATACTTGTTTTACTAATTACAAATTGTAACGATTTAACCTGTTTATAAATAAAGTGTAGCATAGTTAAAACTTATCTAGATACGACGTAACATCAATAATTTAGCTCGCTCACATAACGTGGTAAATTTGCTTAAAACATAAAATCGATAAATTTTAACTATATACTTCTCAACTAATAAATACTATTAGATAAAGTTGTTATTGATTGCAAAAACTTGGTATTAAACAATTTAAACAAAACAAATTATTAGGTCCAAATGATATTAAAATTTTTTATCTTACAAGTTGAGTTGAGCTACCTTAGACCATTGTTTTCGGTGATAGAAATCAAATATTATTCACAAGTGAGTAAATTTGACTACTATATTATATTTACTATTATATTTTTATAAGTGAATATTTTACTTGAATGAAACTTCATTTTTTGGATAGTTGCACCTGTAAAATAAAACGTCGTATATCACACGTGATCGAAATGCCATTATAAAACTCGTGAGAAGTGTCCCACTCGTGCACAAGCGCACTCGTTCGTCAAAATTCTCACTCGCGTATAATGATGCATTTCTATCACTTATAATATAATGTATGTACTATTATTTCTAACCCACAATTTTCTCTCTCTTTGTCGTTTGTGTAGTAAATAATAATGAATGTATTTTTAAACTGCATTATTAATAATAATGTAACAGTTTTTTGATCGTCATAAATAAGTTTACGGAACTTATTTATTTTTCAATTAAAATTAAGTTTACAATTTTTTTTATTATTACATTGTTGTGAAACACTGTGTAGTAAAAAACTACGATGGCATCAAAAACATTTAAAAAAATCAACAAAGAAATTTAAGTTAATAAGTTTTTTCAATTTAGTTGTGGAAAGCAACCACTGTGATATGTCATTTTAGTTGTCAAATGTGCTTAATTTTACTACTAGTGTTAAAAAATGTGTAAAGATAACAATTAACACAATTTTTATAGCAACGCCCCGACACTAGATAATTTTCGAAAATTAATAAAATCACAGATTTTAAAATTCGAATTTGATGCCTATGCTTTTCACAACCAAAGTAAAGTGGAAAATGGCTTATTTTTGCACACGTCGACACGATGTTACACTCGTGGTCCAATTTTCACGTCTAATGCAAAAAAATAGCATTATGTAACTTCAAAACAATAACAAAGTATTAAATTATTGACCGTCAAATATTTATAATTTACAATAGTTTACCAAAGCAAACACCAAAGTGTTAACTTTGCAACATCAATTGCTATCAGTTTTAAAATCAATAAATAATAAACGTTCCCAAAATTTTTGAATTGAAATATCTACTAATGTTGTCATTAAATGTCAATACTCATTGCAATCCGTTTAAAACTAAAGTGAAACAAAGCATTTTGAAGCGTAATTAACATCGATAATTTGTACTCACATATTTTGTTGTTTTAAAAGCTGATGTGACGTAAAAGGAATTATGACAGTGATTTATTTTATTTTGTGCTTTTGCGAATATTTACGAAAATTAATTGTGAAAACGCTCCACACAACGCTAGTAACAGCCGTCAGAATGTAATTAAGTAATGAGAGAAATAATTATGATTTTTGCCATGAAGTAAATTAAGCAGAGAGAGCAGAAGTTTTGCGGCCTAATTTTATCTTGGAAGTTGTTTTCGCTTACCACAACCTTGAACTTTATTAAGTTGGTTAATACCTTTTAGGAAGAATCAATAAGACTTTATTAATATAAATTTCTGGTTAGAAAAATGGTGGATGCGCCGGGCGAATTTATTTTCAAGAGAAGGTGTAAATTTTAAAAGTTAATTAACAAAAATTACAGGTGTGCTGTATTGCATTCCCTTTGTGTGTTTACCACAATATACTGTAAACTTTCGCATTTGAATAACAATTGCTCAGCTTGAGCAAAAACTTTCTTTTTCAACAGGTAACAATGTTACCTGAGAAACAAGAAAAAGGGTGTAAATTGTTTTTCTTTGACTTTTTACGTTATGAAAAGCTGGTTTTTAGTGTAATGATTTTAAAGGAATTATGACTTTGTCGAGAGTCCGTTTAAAATTTGCGTTTTCGGGCGAAAAACCTGTGAAAAATTCAAAGTTCGGTGCGATCTTAATGTAACACGGCGCCCCACTCAATATCCAAGTATGCATCCTTTTGTATGTGTTTATATTGAATATAAACATAAATCTCGCTTCCATTTCTCGGCATAATGGGTTTTCTCTTTGGCCCGAAAATTTTTCGTCACAATGCGCCAACATAATAAGTTTATATATGCATGCAATATAACGAACTAAATCTTCCTCGTGTTTACCTCAGGGGGTCTTTAATGTGAATGTATCTATCTAGTGATATAGCGCACAGGTTTAATATGCTCGCTGTCGAACACATTACGTCGAAGGCTACCCATGTGTCGCAGAATTGGGCACCGAATATCCAATAGCCTAAAATGTCGTTTACGCCGGCGAAGGTCATCACCAAAGAGGCGACGAACAGGTCGGCGATGGCCAAGGAGGCCAAGAAGAGGTTGCCGATGCGTCGCAAACCGCGGTCGGTGTAGATGGCCACGCACACCAGGATATTGCCTGCCACGGAGAGGAAGATAAGCAGAGTCAAGAACGTTCCTGGAAAAAAAGACTTTTTTATTTTTTCAGAAAAATAAATGTTTCGGGGTAGAACACACGATGTGATATTACCAACTTAATTTCAGGCTCACAGGCTGAAAATTTAATTGAAGTTAATTAAGGTTAAAATTTTTGCAATGAAGCGATATAAACATCCTTAATTTAATAACATCTTGTTTAAATAAGTAGGTGTAAATGTTTTGTCGGTTTTGCCAAAGGTGGAGATAGAATATTAGCCGTCTACTCGTACTTAATTAAGTTTCTTAATCGTATTTACTTCTAGTTTCTGTTTTTAGTCGGCCATTGTTTACGTTTTTTGTGTTTTAAAATTGTCTTATTTTGTGGTCATTAAATATAAAGCTTGAAACTCTAATCCAATAGATATTTTTTGTGGCAATTTTTTCTGATCATAAAATTAGAAAAAGCTTGGCAGCCAATAGGAAAAAAATACGAGAAATTGTTACGTTTCACGTCAATAGAGTTGGAAAAATTACCTTCAGCTAATAATTTGTGCAATGTTGGCACATACAGGGAGATTGCCATTATGTTTAACAAAAAAAAGTAATAAACTTTGAGAAATGTCAGACATGATGAATTGTCTAAAATATAACGGGTGTTTTTTTTTTAATTTGGCGTTTTTGTTCCAATTCGATTTCATGGCTAGCTTTGACACCAAATTTAAAAAACACCCATTACATATTATAATTAAAGAAACATGATTTTTAAATCTAGTACTTGTGGATATTTATACCTATTTTGGGTTACATTTACCGTCAGACTCGTAATTTTATGTGAATCTATCACAAATCTTGTTGATTCGAAATATGAATTTAATTCAATCACGTATTTCAGGTTTTTTAATTTATTACAATGCAATTTTAATCCTGCACATTCTGAATATTTTCCGTAAAGAGAGACAATGTAACGTATTAACATATTTTAAAAAAGTTAATCAAACAAGGTGATAAACTGCAGCTAAAGCAAACATTTTTTATCAAGTTTGATAAATAACTTTTCTCATTGCATTTTAATCATAATAAGTTTTGTTTGGATTTCGTTCACTAAAAACATAATTTTCATCTACACTTAAACACAGAAAATGTGAGAAGGGAAATTGAAATTTTGGAACCTGATTTGCTTTTGGCAATTTCGGAACTGCCTTTTTTCAGTTGTAAATCCGATTACTAAATTGAAAATGTGATTGAAACGATTAAAATAATAACGAGTGGACGTGCTGATTATCCATTTAACGAGTATTTAGCACAGTGTTCGTTAATAAAAGGATTGTTGACAATATTTGCTCACATCCGGAAGCTATTTGTTTTGTATCATGCGTTCCATAGTAAAAATTACCATTTAAATTGGCTATTTTCGCTTCAACATTTCAATTAATCCGGAAACTTTCACTCGACTCATTTCAACGGAATCTAAAATATGTTTCCTCTTACCCACTACCAATATTGACATCATCGTGACCGGATCCTGATTTTCAGGAATTTCGTTTTCCAGGTCGGTCTCATTGACGGTTACCTGAAACAAAAATGTTTTTTAATAATTCTGATTGAAATAGTTATCATGCAAACACTCAAGTTTTCAAGTTCTCATAATCCGTATTCTGTTTGAGTTGCTAACTTCTTGAAAGTCGACTTAATTCTGACTAATTATACAGTCAAGATGAATACTAGAAAGTGATATTTTTGCATTAAGCTGTTACGTTTGAAAACTGCTAATTGCGGTGACACGCATTACATTTTGCAAGTTTCAATAATCGATTAGGAACGGTCACATAAAGCATATTTATGGCCACTAAGGGCGACGATAAATTTGGTCACTTTGGAGGTCATCCTTTAATATTTATCTAGAAGCTTGATAAAATCAGAAATTGTGCCAAACTAGGGCAACAACAACGAGAACTTGTTTTGGAAGCGAGAATTAATAAAATTGGGGCTAAAGTTGCCGCCAAAGTTGGTGACAGAATCTTTTGTTGCGATGGCTTTTCATAATTCTGCCGAAACAAAAACAGTTATTTGGATCCGCTGCTTATTAAGAAATTTGTTCCAGTATTAAAATTATAATTCTTCAATGTTCATTATGGAAATCAACGCGAATGTTTTAACCATTAACTGAGCGAATCTGATTGAAGTAAAATTCAGAAAGACAATTAGTAACCGATTCATTGGAAACTCAGTTATTTCTGAAAAGTGATGGCTTTTTTCTTTAATTACTGTTTAAAAATATTATATTGTTTAGGATTAGTAAGTTGTTATTTCTTAGAATTTGTTCAAAACTACCTTTGTATAGGGTAGCTTCCTCAAGCTACTTAAAAGTTTAATTAAACTTAACATACGAGTATGTGGTCTATTCATTATCTTTATAAATAACTTTTAAAATTTACAGCAACGACAAAATTTTAATTAATATAATATTATAACTTATTCTTATAAGTTTGTCTTAAATTGGACATTTTAAGTAGGTTTAGGGTTGTAAAGTTATTTAAGTCAAATTTTTCTTTTCGAAGTTTCATAATTTTTTCCTAGACTCTGGTGGATGGTCAATGTTAAAATTGATTTTGTAACTGATTACCACTACTTTCGTATTAATTTTGTTTGGTTTGTGTAAGCACAATTTGATATTTAACTGCATTATTATTATTCTTGACAGTTTATAAAATAAAATTGAATCAATTCACATATGAAACCAAAATTTTGTTTTATATAAGTTTTTTTGAATTTGGCGTCAAAGCTATGCATGAAAGTTACCTTGTGAACGAACCATCCTATTGAAACTTATTAATCTGCCTTTTGACAGCTCTCCGGGCGTATTAAAATTTGTGGTCCGTTCACAACACACTCATATAACCGCCAACTATGACGCCAAATTTAAATAAACACCCTTTATATATAATTTATTCTGCTGTTGTGATTCAAAATAGAATATACATGTGTCATACTTCCAAAATCAGAAAATGTCCGTTTTTCAGAGAGATCAATTTGATCTCTTTTAAATCGTTTTGACTTTGTAGGTACCTTAAAATCATAAGATATTGCATTAAGTATTTTAACAATCTCAAAATTGCTTTAAAAATGTCAGCAGTTGTTAGAATTCTAAAATTTAACGATAATAATTAGTCATCTTCAAATTTTGTAAAACTTAAGAGTAACCGAAAATATAAAAACACAAAACTGAAGACTAAAAGGGACTCTGAAACTTGAAAACTTAAGAAAGTTTAAAGTTCTTCCAGTTTCAATTAAAAAGTTTAAAGTGTTTAAAAATACCCGTTGTAATTATTTAAAACTTAGAGAATCATGCTACTGCTTCCTCACTGCTTCAGTTAGAATAGCAAAAACTTTGAAATCGCAGATAGACAAAAATATTAAAGATCGTAAAATCACGGAATAGCTTTAAAACTTTAAAAGAGACTAAAGACTAGAGATTTCAAAAGCAGGAAATTAATTGTTCATAAACTGTAAGACTTTTTATAAAATTAAGTGCTTATAGCAGATACTTGTGTTTAGAAACTAGATACTTTAGAAACTTGTTGAAACTCTAAAAGTTATATGCAAGTTAATAATGAAATACAAGTATTATATTAAAGTCTCGTATAATTGTGAATGTGCAACTGGCACTTTTATTAAAAATTGGAATATCCGTTTTTTACAAGACATCTGCAATATATGATATCAATAGCCAACTTTGCAAAAAAAAATAAAGAATTAAAGAAATGGCTGTGTATTCAATACACAGTTTCAACAATCAGTCTATTCTATTAAAGTCAAAAGCTTTGAAATGTTAAGCCTAACCTAACCAAATAAAATTTACAATTTTTGGACTAGTTTCAATGATATAATATAAAAATATAATGTTAAGAGAAACGGAAGTATAAATGAACTCAAATAACAAACGTCTCAAAAAATCGATGCAGCTGCACATGCCGAATTATAATCTGTATGGCTACATAAACCGTAAAACCATTGATTTTTATTTTAAATTTGTTTTTATTTTGCACTAGTTATACAGGTCGTTATTTTTGATCAACAGTTTAAAAAAATATATACAAGTGGATTTTTATCAGGGAAATTGTTTTAATTTTTTTTTATAAAATAAAAACATTTAGGCAAATTTTTAAAATTACTTAACTTATTCAGATCTAAAAAATTAGGAGCTGTTGTATAATGATGCATATACGCATAATTCTTTTCCTTTTCCACAATGCATTTCGATTTTCCGATAAAGCGAATTTGCTATACATGTTCAAGAATTTAATTACATCTGATACATGCTCACAGTCATGTTTTTGCTAATTCAATTAAGGGCCGAATTCAATACCAATTCCTTTAATATCTCAAATTGGGTTTAATGAATTAATTTTTTTTTATAGTTCTATAGAATGTTTGACAGTTTGAAGCAGCTCTACGATTAGTTTTATTTATTCGTTTTTATTTTATCATTTTTTAAATATGTATACAGGATATCCCAGCGAATTGAAAAATTCCATTAATGACCGTTAAATGGTAAAATTAATAAAAAATTATATAGAACATTGATAGATGCCAATCTAGTCTATCGCCTAAAATTATTTTCAACTATACAACGTGTCTCAAAAATAAGTTACAATACAAACATGTGTTTTTTTTTAATGAAACACTATAGAGGGTGATTCAGATAAGATAATGAGTCCGACGTTCTGGCGATGCAACCCAAAAAACAAATTTCATTTACATCTTGATCTAATTTTAATTACGATTGCAATCCAAGTTATCTTATGTTGCTCTGACAGTGCTTTGACAAGCAATTTATGATTTATAAAAAAAACTGTTTGCCGACTTTTAATGTTTCATTCTTTCATACATTTTGTATTGGGTTTACACCGAAAAGACTTCTCTAATTTCTCTATCATTCCGCGAGAACTTAATGGAACTCTGCACTGATGTCAGAGTGACATAAGATGATAACTTGAATTAAACTTGCAAATTCTAATTTAAATTGGCAAAGGCGTAAATGAAATTTGTTTTTTGGGTTGCATCGCCAGATCGTCAGGCTCATTATCTTATCTGAATCGCCCTGTATGTTTCTTAGCGTTTTTGAATGTAGATTTTTATGACAATGTTTTAAGCTAAACTTTTATAGGTCGATTTTGCTTAATTTTAAAAGTTTTTTTTTTGGCAAAAACATGCACTTTTTAAAAATTTATTACACAAAAACTAAGACATCTAGAAATATTTTTGTTTACTACTGCAAAGAAGAAGATACAAGCTATAAGGTTGTAACATTTTTTTAGTGTGTTGCATTTGTAAAGATAAAAAAATGAAAGCGTTTGTTACACCACATTTATTGTTTTTGCATTTAAAAAATTATTAAATTGTCTTTCTAAAATTGATTACTTTTGGGTGTTTATAATCAATAAGTAAAAAGATATTTAACGTTAAATATTAAACAAAATAATTACTATTGTTTCAGTAGCCAAAAAGTGCATAGTTACATAAGAGATTGAAGAAATATCACTTATTAATCACATTTGTGTTAAACTGTTTTTAAAATAAAATAATTCGAATTTCAGTATTAATAACGACTTTTACAATCTGTGGATAAATCAACGGATAAGTGATCCATGGTGGAATTATTATGATAGGATGATAGGCATTGTTTAATAATTAATTAGCATTAATATTGAATGTTAAATAACGTTTTTATTTATCAATTCTAGACATTAAATTTTAGATAGACAATTTATGAATCTATTAGATTCAAAAACAAAAAATAGGGTGTTTTATTTAATTTTTTTAAGTTATTTAACTTTTAACAAACTTTTTAATTTATTAATCTTTACAAATACAAAACATTAAAAAATTGCTACAGCTTTAAATTTTGCACTTTCTTTTTTTTTGAGAAGTAAGAAAAAATTTGTTTTAGCTGTTTTAGTTTTTGTGAAATATATTTTTAAAAGGTGCATGTTTTCGTCAAAAAAAACGTCTTATTTCTAAAACTAAGCAAAATCGACTAATAAAAGTTTAGCGTAAAAACATTGTTTTAAAAGGCTACATCCAAAAATGCAAAGAAACGTACGGTGTTTCATTAAAAAAAAAACACAAGTTTGTATCGTAACTTAATTTTGGGACGTGATGTATGATTGAAAATAATTTTAGGTGATCCACTAGATTAGTATCTATCAATGTCCTATACAATTCTTTTTTAATTTTTTCATTTAAAGGTCATTAATGGACTTTTTCAACTCGTTGGGACACCCTGTATACCTATTCTAATAATCAAGACATTTTTAGTTTGGAAATTTCTTTTACGCTTTAGGGAGTTTTAAAATGTACCTACAAAGATTAATATTTTGTTTAAATATTTAGGAAAAATGCACCGATTTTTAAGGAAGGCTGAAAATTTATTTATTTACGTTTGAAGTCTCGGCGGTTCTATTAAACGCGTTTTGGTGGCGTGAAGTAGAATTCGTCTTTCATTGTTGATGAAATATTGGTTAAAGTTGATATAAGAGAAGTCTTGTCGTATATTTTCGATTCAATTTC